ATGATACGAACACGGCGTCGACGACAATGGTGAAGGTGACGATGTCGTCATAACGTGTACGTGGTCATTGTTGCAATGGCAACAATCTTCATTATATGTTGATGGATCGGACCTGCACTCTCCCCTTCTCTTTGAGCAGATTGTGGGGCACACTCAGGGTAAGACGTTCTGTGTCTCGCTTTGGGTATTCCAGGGGATTGTCTCACTGGCTTGTGAAGCTTCTGGTGGGGGGGGGGGGCACCTTGGTTCTTAGGAACTGCTTGGGCCTTTTTGCGATGCCTTGAGGCATCCTTGCGGAGCTGCAAGAGGGTAGAAGACAGTGAGGGATGAGGAGGATCTGACGAGGATGAAGACTTATGGCGAGGAGAATGGAGAGGACTCGGAGGACCTCATCAAGACATCATTTCCATCGGTTTTGCAAAGCTTGGACATCCTACCACGTCCCTGCGGGCTCGTAAACACGGCCATAAATGCAAGCACCACCGCCAGCATTTACATCCCCGACCACATGAGAGCGCGGGACAGGCAACCACAAAGCACGACCAAGCAGGCGTGGTCTAGGCAAGAGTTGAGACTGGCCCACTTCACAATTCAGGCTCGTGTTCCCTCCCACCCCGCGCCCCAGCGCGAGCAATCAATGCTACATGATGTCCCTCCCCCCAACACAGCGAGAACTGAGTAGCCAAGACGAGGCCAGCGCAGCTTGCGAACGCATACGAGTTCGCGTTCGCAGCTGGCTTGAACGCGCAACCAGCGGGCGGTATGGCGTGCCTGCTCGGAACCGCAACATGTCCAGAACAAGCTAATGGGGGTGTGGACGTGGAGAGGCAAGAGGATGTTAGGTAGAGACGGCAGGATGCGAATGGATACTGCAGTCGGCCCCAATGTGGGCCATCAGGATAGCTTCGCCTTCTTTGAAGGAGAAGATCCGATATCAGCACGAGAGGCCCAATCCCAAGGCAACCTTTTCAACTCAGAACCCGTCGGCAGGTCCACTGTGTTGACCAGCACAGGTATGGGGATGTCAGTGGCAACCGTGCCAGCTACTTTGAAAGGCCCGCCCACGTCGGCTGCGCTGACGCGAATAGCCAAGGTCTTCAGTGCCAAGTTGGCCCCTGTTGAGTCCTCGGCTTGCCTGATGGCCCAAAACGGGGGGAAAAACTCAGAGCCGCCGTTGGAGTTGCTTGGGAACTCCTGGCGGGAACACAGCCACAGAGAAGATGGCTTGCCTGCAGTGCTACAGATATCGTACTCCACTTTCAATGAGCCTAACGGTTGCTTATCACTCACAACAATCTGGGCTGCCATCGGCACTAACACAAGTTTATTCTTACTGTATGGGGCATTCGTCACAATCTTCACTACAACTGGTTTGCCCCCTGGTGCTTTCTCGCAATGAACTGCGAGGTCAACGCTACCCTCCCGTTGACGGCAAGCCGCTGCCAACGCAACCCTGACCATGCTCTTGCCCATCTCATGCTGCACGTCGTTGTGCTCCTGAGGCGGCAAGGTGCTACTCGGGAGCCCTACACCACCCCTCTTCTTCATCACAATGTTCATCATACTCCTCCTCCTCCTCCATATCTCCATGCGTATCTTAATCGTCATACTCGCCCTGCTCTCTCTTTCTCACTCTCTATCTCGTTCTCTCTCCCCCTCTTTCTTCTCCTCCTCGCCTTCGCCTCCCTCCCCACTACCTTCCTTGTCATGTTGTCGCCCTTCCCTGAGACCTGCTCCAATTCACCTCATCGTCATTGTCCTCATCGTCTCGTCGTCTCTCTCCCTCTCTCTCTCTCTGTCCCGTCCTGGCCCTGTTCATCTTCCGTGCACTCACCTTCATCCTCATCATTATGTTTCTCACCGTAGGGAACCGACAGCACACACGAAAACACCCCCAACCATAAACTAACAGGGTGATGAAGAGGTAAACTTGTAATGATATCTTTCCTGGGCCTCTTGGGAATCTATCTCCCGAGCATGTGTTGGGGAATTGGGTGGGGCAGGATTCGGTAGCCCCGCAGTCTCCCCGAGTGGCTTCACATCCTTGGTGCTGAAGGAAAGGACCTTGGTGCCAACGACCAGCTGGGATTTTTTTTAGTGGGCTGACGCCTCCATTCTGCCCCGAGCTTGCGTTAACATGGTTGTCAATGCGCTCTCTGCTCTCTGCCAGCTAACGAGCATGAGCACGATGTTCAAACCGACGACGACGACGGCGAGCAAGAGGAGGCGGGCCAGCGGAAGGATGAGGGGGTGGGAATTATGAGGAGGAGGTGGATAAGGAGGAGGAGGAGGAGCAGCAAGGGCAGGAGCAGGAGGAGGATGAGGAGGAGGAGGAGGACAAGGAGGAGGAGGATGGCAAGGAAAGCTATCAAAAAACAAGTGAGCGGTCCTGGTAGCCCTCGAGGAGTTTGCCTGGCGTGATGGTCATGCTCATCGTCAACCCCGACTTGTCGCTGATCCTCCTCTTCGGCTTCACGATCTTCGCGTCATCGTGGGCCTCGTCCGTGGCACTCGCCTCGTAGATGAGGTCGACCTTCTCGTCAGAGACCTTGTCAATGACATACCCCGTAGTGATCGCAGCATCTTTCTTGCGGATGCGTGCTTTTGCGACAAAGCCGACTTTCTTCAACTCTGATACGCCGATGCCACCTCCAACTGTGAATTGCCTGATGGACGAGTCGACGTTCTGCTGGGATCGGGGTGCACGTTGCCAGGGAGACATCACGTTCGCTGCATGTGGAAGTCTCTCGATCAGCTCATTGACGAATGCGCAGCCTATGTCGTCATACGTCGTGTAGTCCACTTTGGTCTTCGCCTTCTTGCCCAGCACCATCATTGCCAGCCTCACCTCCATTGTGCCCAGCAGCTTCGCCTTCGTGTTGGTTTCAAGCTCACCGAACTGGCTGATGAACTCATTCGCGCGCTTCATGTGCTGGCAAGCGTCGACAACCTTTGGTTTCAACTTCGATGTCAGTGCCGAAGTGTCGGTACTATTTATCAGCCGTGAGACACCATCCCTGCAGTAGTTCTCTGGCGCCACGAGGGCTGCCTTCAAGAGGCTGATCACGAATTCGGGATGGCCCTCGAGGTTCAAGTTCCCGAGCAGCCTGAACACGATTCCAGGAACGTCCCTCGAGTACCTGTTGAGCGTTTTCGAGAAGAGCTCCAACTGGTCGAGGAAAATAGGCGGATCTCCACCTGCATAGTTGCGAACGAAGAGTGCCATATCAGCCACTTCTCCCCTGACGTGCGGCTGGCAACGCTCGACGTCTTTCACGACGCTTTCCCAATCGATGGCCTTGCCCGCATTGGAGAGGTTTTTGTACCGCTGGTAGATTTGCCGCAACACCTGGATTTTCGAAGCCAGCCTCTGAGTCCCTTGATCTGCATTCCCAGATTCTTGTAGAAAGCTTGGTAAGTGTGGCATGTGCTCTGAACAGACTGCCTTAATCACGACCCATTCCAAACCAATGTCCATTGCCTGCTTAATAGATGGGGCCTGGCCGAATACGATGTCGTGGCTGAGTTTGCCGTCCTTGGTACAGAGCTCCCCAACCGTCGAGCTGGACTGGTAAAGCAAGCATCGCAACAACGCGTTAGTGTGACTGCATGTGACGGAGAGGTAGCGCATGTCTTGCTCCAGTGGTGTAGGAAGGAGTCCATCACTGCTCCCAGCCAGCGCAACATTGAATGCGAATTGTGTTTTCCCGAGGTCCCCTGCGCCGACCTCGAAACAATATGCCCTGCTGCATTTGTGCCAACTCCACCCTCGCTTCACTATCTCATTCAAAAGAATGTGTACATTGCCAGCGTCCAATCCAAGTCCGAACCTGTTGTCAGGATGTGTCAGAACACACTTGGGAACTATGCGCTGCTTGTATGCATACCCAGAAGCTGAAAGCATATCGATTATTTTGTCTGCAACCGTAATCATCTCCTTGCCCTCTTCGGTAGAAAGCTTGAATGATTCCATCATATCATTGATCTCTCTGAACATTTTGGCTGCGTCGTCCATGGTTTGTCCGTATGATATCACCTGTTCGTGGGCTACCTGAACACTTGGAAGATCGTGTTGAGCCAAAACGGCTATGGCGGAAGGGAAGGGGGGAGATTGATCAGGAGAAGGGTGGTGAGGATGACATGAAGCAACCCAAAATCTGATATGAGGAGACGGACGATGTGGAAATGGACAGTTCACTGATCAAAAACGTCGCCCCGTCTTCTTTGGATTTCGCACCGTGGACACAGCAACATACCCTTTCACGCTACGCGGGATTGGGGTACCTGAACTGAGCTAACCAGGTTAGCTCGCCTTAGCTAAGTCGTTGCTAACCTGTTTAGCTAACCTGAAGCTAAGGGGTTTAGCAAGTTCGGCAAAGCGTTTTGGTATCATGACCTAACCGCGCATGTTGCGTTTAGCTAACCGACTTGTAACTTGCGCAAAACCGCTTCGCGATCTCAGCGACGACATTTAACCGCGTGATGTGGTTATGCCCAGGATATAACCAGATTGGGTAACATAAGCCGAGATACCCCAACATAGAAGTGACATACATCCTGGTTATATCCATCTTAGATTCGGCCAAACTACTTAGCAAGGGGGGCGGGCATCGCAGTAGGAGGAGGAAATACGGCATAAACGTTTATTTATAGCGCTCCGCGCGTATTCGTTGCATCCGCGCCGGACCCCCCCTCCCTGGCGCGCAGAGCGCGCCTTGGGCGGCGCCGGAGGCGCCGCCAGGGGGGCCCAGCGCGGATTCGAGAAATCCGCGCGGAGCGCAAAAAGTGTATGTCAATGTCGGCGGTGGACAAACCTCCCTTTAGTAAACCTCCCCTTAGTGAAAACGGCCTGGGACCGAAACCGACGGACCTGGACCCGCAAATATGACGGCCGCGACGCCCTCTCGCGAGCCGAAAACGGCAAATTCCTTAATCGACGTGTCAGGGTAGGAGGTCTGTCCACCCCCGACGATGGCGTTCTTTCTCCTTCGACAGAGGTGCCTCTGGGTCAGGCCCTGCAGGACGCAGCCAGCCGCCGAGAGCTGGTCCAGGAGCTGCTGCGCCTGGAGCTCCTGGGGAAAACAAAAGGTACCGATTTTCGCTACTCCCCGGACCTCTCCCGTGGTGCGTTCCGACCAGGGCGTCGAGGCAAATCCAGCAGTGGCGACGAGGGCCTCCAAGTGGTCCAAAAGGGGGAAAACCAAGGAAGGGTAAGAAGCCCAGACCTCCGACGTCGTGATGTTTTCACGACGTCGACCCCCAGAGGTCTGGACCCCTTCCCCAGGACCGGCTTTTCATCCTGAGCCGTTTTTTGACGGTCCTGGGGCCAGGCGACGGCCCGGTGACGGCCCTCCGAGGCCGAAACTAACAAAAAAACTGCCGTCGTGAGTTTCTCATGACACGGAATCGAGTCGAATCAAATCGAATCGGAGGAATCGAAACGAGCCCTGTATGGGTACCTTTTCCTCCTCCTCCTCCTCCTCCTCCTCCTCCTCCTCCTCAGTTTCCCCCTCCCCCCCTCTCCTCCCCCTCCTCCGCCTCTCCTCCTCCTCCTCCTCCTCCTCCTCCTCCTCCTCCTCCTCCTCCTCCTCCTCCTCCTCCTCCTCCTCCTCCTCATCCTCCTCGTAATATTATTGCTATTAGTATAATAATTATCGTTAGTAGTAATAGTATCCGTATGCGTCTTCTTCTGCATTGTTAACTTCAGTATGAGCATTACTAGTATTACTATTAGTCTTACCGGTATCACTAGTATGTTTCTTAGTATCATTCTTACGATCATTAATATGAAAATTCCTAGTATTGCGAATCGTAGTATGAGTAGTATTATTCTTACTCGTCTCGTATTAGTAGTACTACCACCCGTAGTATTATCAGTATGTGTGTTACTCGCACTCGCATTCGTCTGAAAAGTATTAGTGTCATGATTCGGACTCTTCTTATTCATAGTACTGGTCGTAGTTGCCGTCTTCGTATTATCATTATTCTTGATATTCTGATTCGTTTGATAGTAATGTAGTAGTAGTAGTAATTTCTTCTCCTCCTCCTCCTCCTCCTCCTCCCCCTCCTCCCCATCCTCCTCCTCCTCCTCCTCCTCCTTTTCCTCCTCCTCCTCCTCGTCCTCCTCGTCCTCCTCGTCATCCTCCTCCTCCTCCTCTTCCTCCTCCTCCTTATTAGTATTATTGTTATTAGTAGTAGTATTAGTGTGAATATGATTAGTGTGATTATTAGTACCATTATTAGTAGTAACGCATCAGTACTAGCATTACTACTATTATTATAGACAATATGATTAGTAAGAGTAGTAGTAGTGTTAGTAGTAGTATTAATCGTGTTGGTTCTAGTAGTATTAATATTAATAGTATTAGTACTATTATTAGTAATATTATCATCATCAAAGCTTATGAGTAGTAGTAGTATTAGCACTATTTGTATTGTTAGTACGATCAGTATTAGGATTATTGATATTATTAGTACTGCTATTATTTGAATTATATTAGCATCAGTAGCAGGATTCGTATTATTAGTAGTATTCGTTTTCGTCGTATTCTTCTTCGTGTTAATATACTCCGTCTCGTTAGTCTTAGTATTGTTAGTCGTATTATTATGCTTCGTAGAATTATTAGTCTTGGTAGTATTATTCTTCGTCGTAATATTCTGTTTAGTAGTAGCATTCCTCTTATTCTTTGTACTAGTATTATTATTCCTCCTCGTCCTCCTCCTCCTCCTCCTCCTCCTGTTCCTCCTCCTCCTCCTCCTCCTCCTCCCCCTCCAATTCTTATTATTATTAGCATTATTGTTAGTATTATTATCATGATAATGATTAGTATTATTATTATTATTATTAGTAGTAGTAGTAGTATTATTAATATCATTATTATTATTATTATGCGCATCATTACTAATATGATTCACATAGTTAATATTATTTGCATTACTACAATTCTTATTATTAGTATTAGTCTTAGTATTGTTATTATTATTCTTATTATTATTATGATTACTCTTATTATTATTCTTAGTATTTGTATTAGTATGCCCATTATTAGTGTTCTTTTTTTTCGTGTTATTATTTGTCTTATTATTCATATTATTCTTCTTAATATTCTTCGAATTATTAGTAGTAGTATCATTATTCATATTATTATTATCATTACGAATATTATTATTATTATTATTATTATTATTCCTCCTCCTCCTCTTCCTCCTCTCCTCCTCCTCCTCCCCTCATCCTCCTCCTCCTCCTCCTCCTCCTCCTCCTCCTCCTCCTCCCCTTTCTCCACCTCCTCCTCCTCCTCCTCCTCTTCCTCCTCCTCCTCCCCTCCTCCTCCTCCTCCTCCCCCTCCTCCTGTTCCTCCTCCTCCTCCTCCCTCCTTCTCTTCCTCCTCCTCCTCCTCCTCCTCCTCCTCCTCCTCCTCCTCCTTTCCTTTTCCTCCTCTCCTCCTCCTCCTCCTCCTCCTCCTCCTCCTCCCCTCCTCCTCCTCCTCCTCCCCCCTCCCCCCCTCCTCCTCCTCCTCCTCCTCCTCCTCCTCCTCCTCCTCCTCCTCCTCTCCTGTTCCTCCCCCCTTCCCCTTCTCATCCTCCTTGTTTTTTTTTCTCTTCCTCTCCTCCCCTCCTCCTCCTCCTCCTCCTCCTCCTCCTCCTGCTCCTCCCCCGCTTCGCCTCCGACTCCACCTCCTCCTCCTCCTCTTCTTTTTCCTCTTCCTCCTCCTCCTCCTCCTCGTCCTCCTCCTCCACCTCCCCCTCTGTGAAACAAAGTTTCATACGCAGCGCCGCTTCTACCTCGCAGCCGGCGATGCTCCCGCCAACTGCAGTCGCTCTCGAGACGCCCTTCGTCGTCTCGTCCCGCGCAGCACGGCACCGCATTATCTGGGAGATAGGGTATATAGAGAAGTGGAGGTGGTATGGCATTGGGCTCCGGAGTAGAAGGTAGGAGAAAGGTGGGGCCTCTCCAGGCCCTGGGACCCTGCTGGTCCTCGGCAAAGGCCTGTAACCAAACGGCTGTGGATAGAGCGAATTCAGAAACATTCTGACGCGTAGATCGGCAGATCAACATCGACCCTAAAACACTTTCGCTCAACATCCAGAGCTTGGACGAACGGGCAGACAGCTAAGTCTGAGAAAAAATACCCAGAGATCCGGACGATAACCTGAGATCTGCAGTCTCTATTGCCGAAATCCCGAGTCATGTTCGTTTCTTAGCCGATTCAAACATCTGATCATACACTAGACTCCACCTCCATGCACTACCGGAAAACCAATTTAGCTGCCACCTCTCGTGGCCCTTGGTTAAACGGTTTGCAAGCATAGCGTACCTCCCAGGATCCCGCTTCTCAGGGCCAACATGTCAAGTCCGGTCCGATACCCTTTTACTCCCATGAGCCTCTCGGGACAACGCAGTCGATCCTAAAGATTCTTGGAGTCGGTAACTAAAACTCCAGGGGTCCTTTTCACCCGGGCCCATGGGTCTCGAACATCAGGTTGCCATCCAGACAGCTCTGCAAACAGAAACCTCACATGCGTAACCTTGGCCTAAATACTGCCTGCGGTTGAAACTTCTGCCGCCGCTGGAGACCTGCACGCTCGTTCGACCTTGAACGACCGCCAGCTCATGAGAGATATTCCGGTCTCTTCACCTGACAAGAACGACGACGGCACTACTCCGATGATTCTGCCTTCCGTCGACTTCCCGCCGATCCCATCAGCAAACGCCGCACCACCCCAGCCAACGAGAGCCCGCTGGTTTTCAGTCTCGACTGAGAAAATCTCCTAGCAAAGCCCTGGCAACTCCTTCGCCCGGCGGATCAGCTCGTTGACCCAGGTCAAGTCCTCGACCCTGCAGGGCTCCGTCATGCTCTGCAGTAAACTCAACTCCGCGAGGATGCCAGGGCCCGCATGCGCACCGTTCCACTGTAAGCTCCCGGTGGCTGCTCTGAACTGACTCTTCTCGGACTCCGTCACTGATGCCGACATCTGCTTCCGGCGATCTGCCAGGATCTCGATCTCCTCGATCTGTTCCATTTGAAACTTCTGGCTCAGTTGGAAGCTCCAGTCTGCCTTCGGCGCGATGCCAACACCACACTCCGCGAACGTCCCGCACTCCCACTCGGCCCACCTGAAAGCTTCCATGAAATGCTCCGTCGCCGCGGCCCACATCTCATCATCGCCGCGCCCGGCAAACAAAAAGTCATCCAAATGAGACGGCGCCATGCCACGGAAGCGTTCAGGTTGGCCAGAAGCCCATGGCGCAGTAAGAATCCAAACGCATGGATCTGATCCCAGCTGTCTCCAAGACAGTTCCAACGACCTCTCGTTCACGGCCTGGCGCCATGCCCTTGGAGCCTGGACCGAGTCATGGGCAGTCTTTTTGAGAGGTGTCACCTGGCCTTGTCGAAGGCGTGGCAGCTCAGCTACATCGCCAGTCAGCCGCGCAAGAAGATCCAGATCCAGCCCCCCACCTTGAAGAGAGGCCGACTGCGCGTCGCCCTGCGCCACTCTCATCATGTAGCGAGCCGCCTCCTGCAAGAAAACTTGCCTAGCTGTTCTCGTCGCCGTCGGCGCATGCGACTCTTCCGCGGTCAGGTCGGGGCCCTGGAAGCCCAGCATCGCCAGCCTCGCCTTCGCGTTCTTGCGGCAAGGTTCAGCAGGATCGACCCTCTATGGTGGAACCCAGCGAAGCCGCACCATCCTGTCTGCCGCACCATCCAACACCATTTCTTTGACCCACCCCTGCGCCTCCTTCGTCGTGGCCTTCCGGATATTGCGCATGTCCTCCGCGGATAGCCGTCTTTCCTTGACCCCCGCCCGTCGACGGCGAAGCTGTGATGCCGCATATGCTTGTAGATCTCGGATCGCATGACCGCTCAGAGCGCCTTCAGGCATGGTGATCTCCACCTCTACAGCGTTCTCCTGCAGGTTCCCGCAGCACTCCTGTACCTTCGGCTGACTCATCAACGACGCCTGCTCTTCTCCCCATGCCTCTTCTGTCTCTCAGCGCGCCCCTTTCCGTGCCTGGGCTCCGGTGAAGCTTTCTGGATAAGATGCCCTGCGCCTCCATGCCAAACGAGATGGTGGGCAGGATCCCAGTCTTGAACAGCCTCGCCTATTTTTCCCCTGGGAAGTTTCACGCCCTGCAACTTGGCGGTCCTGAACCTGAACTTCCGAAAGCGCTTTCCCCTGGCAACCCTGGCCCGCGGATGACTGCGGTGCTTGCCAGCCGAGAAAGCGATCCCCAGATTCCGAGCAGCCCGTTCACCTCTTCCTCAGGGAGGAGACCCAGACGTGTCAAAATCCACTGGAGAGCCTCGGTAGAACTCGCCGCTGCAACCATCTTCTCCTCGGCAAGAGGGAGAGAGAGAGAGAGAGAGAGAGAGAGAGAGAGAGAGAGAGAGAGAGAGAGAGAGAAGAGAGAGAGAGAGAGAGAGAGAAAGAGAGAGAGAGAGAGAGAGAGAGAGAGAGAGAGAGAGAGAGAGAGAGAGAGAGAGAGAGAGAGAGAGAGAGAGAGAGAGAGCGAGAGAGAGAGAGAGAGAGATTTTGCGCAACAGCATTTGCCAAACTTCGAGCAATATCTCTCGGTTGTTCAAACACCTGCTGCAAATTGGCCCCCCATGAAAGCATCGACAGGTCGCCCACATGCAATCCTTGACTCGTGTTAGGCGTTACCATATGATTCACAGTCGCGGGGGGTAAAGACGATTTTAGCTCCATGCGCAGCTGAAGCGCCGCCTGCAACAATCCCTCGCCTCGGCCACTCACGGGCCCCAAACGCCCCATCCAGCTGAAGGCCCCTAGGCCATCGATAAGCCGACAAAGTGTAGACTAAAACATGAAGGGCGCAGTTAGACAGCACAGTCTGATCAAGCAGCTCTTGATGTCTGATATGTTCGTGGAACTGCAAAATACCGCACAACAATGCAATAATGCAAATCACTACAAGCCTTCTGCTCTGCTGCAACACTCTGACGCCAAACCATATCTAGCGCACCCCTTCCCTTTCCCATCGAAGCTTCTGGGCCTAAGCCGACAGCTTCCCCCGCCGGCGACATGGGCCACGATGCAACTTCCCACGCATGCGAGCAAACCAGCAAATCGCACCCGATGGGTATCCTTCCTTTGTCGAATCTCCGCATGGGAAAGACAAAAATCCGATGCATCTGACAAGGCGCCCCTCCAAAGGCATCGACTAGATGGGAGGGGTCAGCTAGCGCCCCAAGACTCGCATCGCAAAGAAAGCTCCAATGACGCGGGTGGAAGCCGTCTGGCCTGCACGCGAACGCTTGGAAACCTGATACATGCCACTGGGCTTGGGAACAGGAATGGCCACGGCGGGCACGCAGATAGCACCTCCAACCAACGGCTCCTCACACGCATCCCACGCCCTCTTCCGCATCGCCCGCTCATGCTCCAAACGGCAAGGACGAGAGCTGGTGCAAGATTCTCCGCTGGCAACAACCTCCCCCCGCGCAAGCTCGCCTGCTCTGAGGTAACAGCACGCCTGCTTCTGAGCACCACTGGGCCCACGAGGCCCCAGCCCTGGATCTACCCTCGAGGAGGCCAAACTTGGCCCGGGGGGCCGCGAACTCCACGCAGACGCCCAGAAACTCAAAAACAATCGCAACCGTGGTCCTCCGGAGGGCCCTGGAAATCGAAGCACACGGCGGACGCCAGAAATCCCCTCCGACTCGCCAACGTCGACGGAAAGGCCCCCCTGCCACAGGGCCCCCCCCCCCCCACTGGTCCACGAGCCTCATGTAGCACTTACCTAGACCCTCGTTGGCGAGCAGCGCCTTGAGCCCCTCGAGTCCGCTGAGCGCTTTCTGGAAACTTTTCGCGGCCAGCAACTTAGACAGGGCGCCCTCCTGGAACTCCGCGCGGGGGCCCACCAGCAAGTCCCGAGACGCCCAGACATTGACCGGCGCCCAGTGTCTCTTGCCGAGCTCCCGGGGCCCATTTCTCATAAATCTCACCGAGGACTTTCCTGCCTTCAACCTAGAGACCCCTAGGAGGCCACATAGGCATGCCCCTCGTGGCCCCATGCACTTCTGGAGAAACCCGCCCAGAGGACCCCCTTGGTCACCGTAGCCAGGCGGGGCCCCCTTTGGGCCGATTGCTGGCTGATGCAGAACATGCTGGTAGGGCGTGGGTGCCCTCGCCTTGATATCTGGCAGCATGCTCTTCACCTGCAACGTCAATGGCCTGCGCAGGCTGGACGGGGCGCCCAGCTCGGCCTCGACTTGTCCCGAGGCGTAGCCCAGCGCCCGACTGATCACGAACATGTCGATGACCGTTGAGCTCGTGCCCACGAACGTTGGCACATCTGTGGCCCTGATCAAACATCTCATTTGCTTAGGAGCACGAGGGCGCACAATGGCGGGCTTGCGGTTGAAGCCCCCTTCCGACGATGAACGGCCCATTGCGCGGCAGACAGTCCTTCCAGATGGCCTCCAACACCCTCCTATTACCACGCCCCATGCCCTCAGAGTCGTTGATGTACAGCGGGTGGCACGCAGTAGCCCCAATCTTGGCACTGCGAAAGAAGCACCGCGACACTCGCCATGGCACCACCGCTGCAGACCCACAAGGAGGGACCCAAGTATCCAGGTAGTTGCGCGCGATGACAAACGCGCCAGCCGAGGGGCCCCCATTGTTCGCGAGGCGGTTAGGGCAACCATCTACTCTCCATCCACGCCTTTGTAGCTCGGCAACCTGGTGGTCGAAGAACGCACCCTGAAGACGGCGTTCTTGCGCGAAAAGCGATGCCCCCCCTACCCTCCAGCGATTCTGCAAGCACCGAGTCCCCCCAGTGTCCTGCCCCCCGAGTGATCGCCCCTCCAGCGGATTTCTCCTCGACAGGGTGAGGGCTGGGTGCTTCGAGGCACTGGCAGTCTCCACTTTTTCAGGGTAGGAGAGTGCGGCCCCGAGCGAAGTTGGCGATGACGTGGACATCGGACTTGGCGTAGCGCCTGCCCGTCGGTGCCCCTGTCGCGGCAACTCGCGCACGCGTGAGGCGCTGCGCCTTTCCTCCAACGATCCTGCGAACACCGAGTCGCCCCGGCGCCCTTCCGCGCTGAGTGGTCTTCCCTCCAGCGGGGTGCTCCTCAGCGCGGTGGCGGCTGGGCGCTGCGAGGTGAAGGCAATCTCCGCTGTCTCAGGAACGGAGAGCGCGGCCTCGCAGCTGGAAGTGGACGACGACAACAGCCCTAGTGTCTACGAACTTGCCCTCGGACATGCGTGCGACACAACCGGCATAGGCCACGCGCTATCCAGTCCAGCAGCGGCGACGTAACCTCCCGAGTTTGTCAAACCAGCGCGGCTTGAGGGGGGGCGGGGGCCCCCCCGTAGCGTTCTGACTCCTGGCCAGGCGCATTCCCATCTTTGTTTCCCACCTGAGACGTATTCTCTCCCTCTGGGCTGACGACCTCGCGATTCAGAAAAAAACGTGGTGGCGTCCTGAATTGATGCATGGGGCTGGGCCGTTGACCACGTCCGTGAGCCCGTTGGGTAGCCTGCTCTCTGACCTTGGCGATGACACTGGCGCGCAACTCGTCATTGACCCCCAGTGCTGTGCACGCCTCCACCAAGTCTCTATCATCGACCTCCATGAGACCAGGTACTGCCCGAAACTCAGCGGCTGGGTCTGGTACGCGTTGTCCATCTCCAGCTTGCTGTCGCGGGACTCCTTCGACGCCTGTGCCGGGTAACAACGTCAATATATATATATATATATATATATATATATATGAGACCACCCCCGTGTATTGAGCCTGCAATTGACCTCTGCCCTCCTGCTGCTGGAGGCTGGCCAACGTCTTCTGAAATTCGTCCAGCTGCTTGGCCACCGCGCCGAGATCAGGGAGCTGAGGTCCCACGCCCAGCCGAGCTTTGGCAACTCGACGCGCCTCATGTGCGGCCTCCTTCTCCTCAGCGATGGCGGCCTCCAACTCTTCCTTCTGGACCGACAGTGTCTCCATGTCGTCCACCAACTCATTGTGCTCCTTCTCCAGGCGCTCAATATTCTTAAAGCGTTTTGTTTAGTCCTGTTCAGCACGAAACAATAACTGGCTGGGCGGGATCGACTGTTTCTTCTCCTCCTGGGCGGCATTCCATGCAACATTGGTCCCTTCGTTGACCGCCGGCGGGAGCACATCCTTGAAGTTTCAATTTGGGCCAACAAGCTGCACAAGACAGTGGAGCTCGTCGAGGGCCCCTCCTCCTTTGGGTCTCCCTGAGGTGGCCCCACTAGGTCCTTTGGCACGTGACCCCCTGCAGGACTCCCCCATGCCCCGCTTTGGCCCACTCGGCGCCACGGTGCAGGCCTCGCGGCGGGTGGGACCTTCGGGAGGGCAGCCTTGCAATGATAACAAACACGAAAGAGATGAGGGTCCTTCTTGCAACCACACGCGGTACAAATGACCTTCCCGCTCGCTCCCCCATCACAGCCGTGGACTCCTCTGCGCATCCCCCGCGGACCTTGGGATGTGAAAGCTTGGGCACAAGGGGTGCCCCTCCCGCGAAACTTGGCTGATCCCCTCGAGCGAGGTTGAGAAGTTAAGGACGGGTTTAACCCCACCCTTGAGCCAAAATGGCTACGGTCCTCCTCCTCCTCCTCCTCCTCCTCCTCCTCCTCCTCCCCCTCCTCCTCCTCCTCCTCCTCCTCCTCCCCCCTCCCCCTCCTCCTCCTCCTCCTCCTCCTCCTCCTCCTCCTCCTCCTCCTCCTCCTCCTCCTCCTCCTCCTCCTCTGCGCTCCGTGCCGCACTCGAGGACGAGCGGGCCCCCGCGCTCGGGCAGCAGCGGCTCGCCCTGGAAGGCCGCCCGCGCCTGACCGGGCGCGGCCTGCAGGCCACCCGCCACCTCGCGGAGCTCCTCTCGGCGGCGAGCCCAAGGGCGGGGCTTCTCTGAGGGACAACGCTCGTCGTTGTCGTCGTCGTCGCCGTCGTCGTCGTCGTCGTCATCGTCGTCGCGGTCGTCGTCGTCACGGTCGCCGTCGTCGTCGCCGCCGCCGCCGGGTATGCTGCCCCCATCGCACTTCAGGACCACATCCCAGGCAAGGGTCGAAACAGTGTCGAAACGGTGTCGAGACGGTGTCGAACGAGTGACTCCCAGGGCCCGACGCGTGAAAATCCTTGAGTTTCGGTACTTCCATGGTGCTCCAAATTCTTTCTGGTGGCTCAGGCTAAAGTAGGTTGGAACATCATAAACACAGGGGGGCAGGCATCGACCTGGAATCGGCGATACATCGCCGATAGCACAGGCAGGTTGGGGCCATCGGGCCCCTATCGGCGATCAATGGGCGGTTCGGGGTCGATGCATCCCCCCATATGCCTATCCCCACCTGGCGTTGCCCCTGATTCTCAGAAGGCTCGGGTGCGGGGCTTCTCAGACCCCTTCGGGTCATAAAAAAATCACGACGGGAGATTTTCCCCCTATTTTCAGCCTCTCGGGGCCCTTACCGGGCCTCGGGACAGTCAAAAAACGACGCAGGATGAAAAAGCGGTCCCGGGGAGGGGGTCCGGACCTCTGGGGGTCGACGTAATGAAAAAAAACACGACGTCGGGGGTCTTGGCTCTCAGAAGGCTCAGACAGCCTCTGGCCTGCTGAGAGGTCTCCTGAGCCGGCAACGCTTGCCACTGGTCCACTGCCGTTCCTGAGCGCTTAGATGCGGCCGAGGCGCTGGCGTAAGAACCAGGGGGACGTAAGACCCGGGTACAGGGGACTCGGAAATCCCCGACGAGGTCGTCAAAAAATTGACGAGGCCGAGCCTGCATTTTGACGAGGCCTCCCGCTGCAGACATCCCACGAAACTCCTCCTCGTCAAAATCCGAGGCGCGGTCGTCAAAAAACGATGGCGAACCCGAGTCTTGGCAAACCTGGGTCTTACGCTCCCCCGAAAGAACCAGTGAGGGCCCCTGGATCTGAGTCGGGGAAGCCACTCGAGGCCGGTGCCGGCCGTGGCCAGAGAAGCCCCTTCTGTCCCCACTCACCGCTCCTTGCGGTAAGCACTCCGAAAGCATAGGCGGCTCCTCAGAAGGCTGGCGTGCTGCTGAGAAGCCCCGCCGCCTTCTGGACAGGAGGAGGAGGAGGAGGAGGAGGAGGAGGAGGAGGAGGGAGGAGGAGGGGAGGAGGAGGAGGGAGGAGGAGGAGGAGGAGGAGGAGGAGGAGGAGGAGGAGGAGGAGGAGCGGAGGAGGAGGAAGAGGAGGAGGAGGAGGAGGAGGAGGAGGAGGAGGAGGGAGGAGGAGGAGGAGGAGGAGGAGGAGGAGGAGGAGGAGGAGGAGGAGGAGGGAGGAGGAGCTGGAGGAGGAGGAGGAGGAGGAGGAGGAGGAGGAGGAGGAGGAGGAGGCGATCCTCCGCCTCCTCTTTCCCCCCCGGGGCGCGGCGCCGATCCTCCGCCCCCGGCAGCGTCACGCACACCACGTCGGGGGCGTTCGGCGCCTGGGCGGCGGCGCGGGCTCGACGCGGGCCCTGCGCGCGACGACACGCGAGGGGCAACGGTAGGGGGGGATCTGAAGGGGCCCCAGGACACACAAATAAATGCACACAAATAACATAATTCCCCATAGTTTCCTATAGGTTCAGGGTTTTTGTCTTCCCCCCCACTTCCCATATTTTCCCATAGATTCCTGGGAATCGACGATTAGTTGTGTCTGTGTGCTTCATCCCCTCCTGAGGGTAGGCATAGGAGGGATGCATCGACCTGGATTCGGCCATGCATCGCCGATAGATCGGCGATAGGCCCCCGATCACGAATCCGCACCTTCCCGTGCAGGTCGGGGCCATCGGGGCCCCTGTCGGCGGTGAATGGGCGATCGGGGGTCGATGCATCCACCCATGTGCCTATTCCCCCCCTATCGCTGCCCCCGACATAGCGACCCTACGAGGTGGCTTGCGTGGGCCAGTCTCGCGGTGCCACACTGGGACCGGCGGACGGCGCAAGACAAGCACGTGGGACGCAAGACAAGCGCGTTCCACGAGTCGCAAAGTTGCTGCTCGGAGAAGGCCTGGATCACTCGAGGGGGAATCTGCGACCCACGACATCGAGGCAGTCGTTTGTTTTTCGGACCTTTTACGAGTATCGGGGAGACGTAAGACTCGAGTACGGGGGACTCGGGTTGGCCCGACGGGGCCATCATAAAAATGACGAGGCCCAATCTGAAATTTGACGCGAGCTCCCGCTGCAGACATCCCACGAAAACCGGACCGTCAAAATCCAGGACGCGCTCGTCAAAAAGACGTCGGCAAACCCGAGTTCGGGCTTACTCGGGTCTTGCGTTCCCCCGAGAGTAGGCACGCTGCGAGTCGTGGAACGCACTCGGTGATGCGCGCGACCTGACGCGGGCGGCATACGCGCTCATGCCCGTGCGGGCGACACCGTCCTTCTGCGCCGCTCACCTGGGCGGCCGTGGCCAGCATCAGCGGCGCCCGCACCTGCGATGACAGCAGGGGACCACAGGGTTAGATGCTCATTCTGGGGACCTTCCTGGAGCCACTCGCTCCACTCGTGCGTCGAACCTGAGTCGATCCTGAGTCGAACCTGAGTCGAACAGATCCATTAGGTGGGCCCCAGGAAGGTCCCCAAAACGAGCATCGAAACAGGGATGTCTTGCGCATGCCAAGCAAAAAAAACGATGCGTCTCTCCCTGGCGATCACGCGCGTCACAGGGAGAGGGGCGAGTCACGCCACGATTCGCGCCTGCGCCGTCGGAGACCGCCCAAGAACTGCCAACGATTTGCTCGTGCCGAGGACGGCGGGTTCTCCCCCTGGGGGCCCGCCAGAAATGTCCACTCGGCTGGAAGGAGAGCACGAAACACGTAATCGTAAACTTTTGGCGCTCCGCTTGGATCCGCGCTGGGACCCCCTCCCTGGGGCGCTCCGCGCGCCCGGGGCGGCGCCGGGAGGCGCCGCCGTGGGAGCCCGGCGCGGATCCGGGAAATCCGCGCGGAGCGACAAAAGTTTATGTTTATGGCGTTGCTTCTTCGACCGATTAGCGTCGGGGCCTTGACCTAAGGAAACCGAAATAAGGAACGAGGCCCCTTTTTTCCATAAGTTAAACTTCGACTCACCATCGACAAAAATAAGGAAAACCTGAGGCAAGCTGCGAAACACTTAAGGAACGCGGAGCCCCTCCCCAACGAAAAGGGTTCCTTCCTCAAGACCCGTAATGTAGCTGTGGTTGTGTGTTTTTTGTGCCTGGAGCACTGCAAGCTCGAGGTCATTCGCGCCCTGTCGGTAGCAGAGGAGGGCCTCCTGTGGGAGGGGCGAAAAGGCAGCGACGCCGCTGCTCCCTGGGCCTCTCCTGGGGCGCGCCCTGACCTAGACAAGCGCGTTCCGCTGCTCGCAAAGTTGCTGCTCGCGAAGGGCCTTAACCTGCCGTGAGGGACTCACGATCCAGTACGTCGAGACAGCAGTTTTGTTTGACATCTGCGAGTGCAGTCGGGGCTGATCGGCGAGGACAAGCGACAGGACACAAGACCCTTCTGAGGGCCACACTGCCATAGGAGCGCAGAAGGCATGGGTCGCGAACCACACGACACGAGGGTACCCTTGATTTGGCAGGGTCGGCCTGCTAATGAACCTCGACTGTAGGAACTTTGAGAGTCGTGAACGCGCTCGGCGATGACCAGCAGTTCGAAGAACACTCGGCCGTGGCGGCGAGGGACCTCCAGGACAAGCAGCGGCATCGGTCTCTTGGTGGGCTTGTTGTCCACCATCACCACCATAAGTAGGAGGAGGGGGGGTCCTCCTCCTCCTCCTCGTCCTCCTCCTCCTCCTCCACCTCCTTCCCCCCTCCAACTCATGGTCCTCCTTCCACCCTCCAACTCATGGTGGTGGTGGTGGAAAACAGGGCCACCATCTCTCTCCCCTCCCCGAGTCCTCGCTCGCGCGCACCTCTACGAACACCGTGTCCAGGCCAGGCGTCGCGCGGGCCGACGAGATCTTCCAGCCGCGCGCGCGGGAAAAAGCTCCCGGGCTGCGCGGGCCGGCAGGCGGTGCCGGAGCCTCGGGGGGCCCAGGGTCGGTGCGCGGACAGACCGCGCGGTGACCTCGGAATGCCCAACGGCCTCACCGCACGGTCCATCGCCGCGCGGCTCTGAGGCCGCCCCAGAGGTCCAGCGTATTGGAGAAGTCAAGACGGAGGTTTTTCGCCGGTTTCGTGTTCTAGAGGCCCTCTCGGGGCCTCGGGACCGTCAAAAAACCCCTCGGGACGGAAAGCCGGTCCTGGGGAATGGGTCGAGACTTCCGGGGACCCCGTACTGAAAAAACTCACGACGTCGGATCTCTGTGGTGGAGGCCCCAATTGCCCGAGACGTCCGCGGAGAACGAGCCAAGTCCGAGAACCGTGCCGTCGCCCCAGAAACCCCAGTGACTCACTCACCACACCAGCCCTGCTCCGAATGCTCAGCTTCCAGGGCATACCCAGCGGTCGGAAGAATGAGGTAGAAACATGAAGTAGGAAGGCGCTGAAACGAGATTGGGTCTCCGCCCGCCCCCTAAAGAGGACGGACACGGTGAAGCCACTCGATCATGGAAGTAGGAAGGCGCCTCAAGTAGACTGGAATCTGGGAATCCAAAAATACCTACTTTCACGACCGATGGGTAAGGAACTCGGGTCTCCAGAAGCCACTGGGGATGATCCAGGCATTCCCCCAGAGCGCTCTCCTAGCGAGGCGCAGCTGCTGGAGCGCATCCCAAGGCCGGAAACCAAACGGAAGCGTCCGAGCACCCCGAATCCCCGCTGACTCACCATGAGCATCGGCCAACCAATCCCTGTCTCACCAGAGACAGAAGTACCACTTCCACCAACTTGATGGGTGGCTGTCCCACCCTCTCAAGCTGGTGGCACTTCGTTCTGGGCGTGCCTCCGGAGAGTTCCCGGAAGGAGGTGCCACTAGCTCGAGGGGAGGGAGCGGCCACCCCCCTGGCTGGTGGAGTGGCACTTTTGTCTCTCCTGACTGCCCCCCCTGACGTGGCCTGGCCCCACTGGCCGATTTACCCCCCTTGGATGGGAATAGAAGCTCTTCCCTTGGGTTTCGAAGGGCATGCATCCACAACTGGGGTTAAGTCGGGCGTGTCCCCCTACAGGGGGATTTTCGACGAAAATAAAAGGTACCCCAAAAAAACTCCAAAATGGCAAAACAAAAACAAAAAACTCGAAAAATGGTACCCTGACTATTTTTTACTATCTTGGACTATTGTTCCCGACTCTCCTGCGTTGGGTTCTCGTTTTGAATAGAGCACTGCTCGCGCGTCTCCTTCCTTCCTTCCCGTCCCTCTCTTCCCCCCTGCCTTTAACCTCGCCATCCCTGGGGGGCTGCGATCTGTGAAACTGTCGCCACTTTCGAGGGCTGCTGAGGGGCCCAGCACAGTGGGTACACACCGCAGACTCAAATTAGACCTCGCCATCCCTGGGGGCTGCGATCTGTGAAACTGTCGCCACTTTCGAGGGCTGCTGAGGGGCCCAGCACAGTGGGTACACACTGCAGACTCAAACTAGACCTCGCCATCCCTGGGGGGCTGCGATTTGTGAAACTGTCGCCACTTTCCAGCGCAGTGGGTACCCACCGCAAACTCAAATTAGACCTCGCCGTCCCTGGGGGGGCTGCGATCTGTGAAACTGTCGCCACTTTCGAGGGCTGCTGAGGGGCCCAGCACAGTGGGTACCCACCGCAAACTCAAATTAGACCTCGCCATCCCTGGGGGGCTGCGATCTGTGAAACTGTCGCCACTTTCGAGGGCTGCTGAGGGGCCCAGCACAGTGGGTACCCACCGCAGACTCAAATTAGACCTCGCCATCCCTGGGGGGCTGCGACCTGTGAAACTGTCGCCACGTTCGAGGGCTGCTCAGGGGCCCAGCACAGTGGGTACCCACCGCAGACTCAAATTAGACCTCGCCATCCCTGGGGGGCTGCGACCTGTGAAACTGTCACCACTCTCGAGGGCTGCTGAGGGGCCCAACACAGTGGGTACCCACCGCAAACTCAAATTAGACCTCGCCATCCCTGGGGGGCTGCGATCTGTGAAACTGTCGCCACGTTCGAGGGCTGCTCAGGGGCCCAGCACAGTGGGTACCCACCGCAGACTCAAATTAGACCTCGCCATCCCTGGAGGGCTGCGACCTGTGAAACTGTCGCCACGTTCGAGGGCTGCTCAGGGGCCCAGCACAGTGGGTACCCACCGCAGACTCAAATTAGACCTCGCCATCCCTGGGGGGCTGCGACCTGTGAAACTGTCACCACTCTCGAGGGCTGCTGAGGGGCCCAACACAGTGGGTACCCACCGCAGACTCAAATTAGACCTCGCCATCCCTGGGGGGCTGCGATCTGTGAAACTGTCGCCACTTTCGAGGGCTGCTGAGGGGCCCAGCACATTGGGCACACACTGCAGACTCGAATTAGACCTCGCACTCCCTGGGAAGCTGCGATCTGTGAAACTGTCGCCACTTTCGAAGGCTGCTGAGGGGCCCAGCACAGTGGGTACCCACCGCAGACTCAAATTAGACCCCGCCATCCCTGGGGGGCTGCCCTCTGGGCGTCGGTGGTTTAGAGCGTTTCTTATTCCACCCCTCCTTCTTCCCCTTCGGGGAGGGGTTTACCCCTCCCCCCACCCCCTCCCCCCTCCCCACTGACCTGGACAGGGGGTGCCGCGACGCGATGGAGCGTCCAAGATGAGCCAAGACGACTCCAAGAGGACCTCAGGGAGCCCAAGATCGCCTCCAAGATGGTTCAAGATAGCGCAAGATGCCTCAAGGTGGTTCCGAAGATGTTCCAAGACGCCCCAAGACCGCCCCAAGACGGCTCTAAGCGTCCACTAGAGCTCCCCTCGATGCCCCCAAGAAGCCAAAATGTTTCAAAACCCTAGGGGCAATCAATGTTTTGGGCGTTCTCGCGTTTTCGCTTCCGATGCCCACCCGAGGCGTCAAGATAGCTCCAAGATGGCTCAAGATAGCTCCAAGAAGGGCCCAAGAAAGCCCGAAGACGGCGCAAAGAGCGCCCAAGAGCGCTCCAAGAGCCCTCCAAGAGCGGTTCAGGAGGCGATTTTAGAGGCTTTCCAGGAGCGACGCTAATTAGTGTTTCCGCTTTCTTTGACAGATCCCCTCCAATATGGGCTCTACCAGCGCCTCTGAGGCCTCCAACAGCGCTTCAAAAACGCCCCAAGAGACGCCCAAGAGGCCTCCAGGAGGCTCACAAGATAATGAAAGATGGGCCAAGACGGTTCCGAAAGAGCTTCGGGGAGCCCAAGATAGCCTCCAATATGGCTGAAAATTGCGCAACTTGCCTCAAGATGGTTCCGAAGATGTTCCAAGACGCCCCAAGACTGCTCCAAGACGATTCCAAGCGGCTGCCTCCAGATAGCGCAACCTGCCTCAAGATGGCACCGAAGATGTTCCAAGACGCTCCAACACCGTCCCAAGACGATTCCAAATGGCCATATGAGCTCTCCAGGATCCTCCTCCCCCCGCGTCCACCCATTCCTCCTCCTCCTGCGTCCTCCCCTCCCGCGTTTTCCTCCTCTTCTTCCTAATCCTTACAATATTTGTTATAATTTTCTTCGTACGTTCTTTATCCACCATCCTTTTCTTTCCTCTCCCTCCTCCTCCTTCCAATCATTCTCCCTCCCCATTATGATCATTATGCTCTTTCTCCTCCTTTTCGCCGTTGTCGTCCTCTTCGTTTTCGCCCTACTTCATGCGATCATCCTTCTGCCCCTCCTCCTTTCCCCACATTTGTCCAGTCATCCAGACATTCCAAATTTGTCCAGCCTCGCCCTCTTCCTCCCTTCAGCAACCGATTGAAATCCTCCGCCTCCTCATCTCGATTCTTTCCCGAATGCCCCATCAGCGGCATGGCGCGAAGGAAAGACAGTACGAAACCTTAGCAGGCATTATCCCGCCAGCCCTCTGGGCGCCGGTGGTTAAAAGCGTTTCCTCTTCCACCCCTCCTTCTTCCCCTTCGGGGAGGGGTTACTGGACAGGGGGGGCCGCGGGTAGCTAGAGCGTCCAAGAACGACTCCTGGGAGGGCTAAAATTCGGCACCCCTCACGAGGATCGTGCCCCCCAGGGGGGCGACGCTAAAAAATGCTTCCCCCTTCTGCGATCGATGTCCTCCAAGAGGGCCTCAAGAGACGTCTCGGACTCTCCTCTTGCGCCCTGCGCGCGGGCGGGCGGAGCGCCGCCCGCCCGCCCGCGAGGCCCAAGAGCCCACCAAAACGTTCGAAGATACCTCCAAGACGCCACCAGGGAAGAGGAAGAGGCGGAGGAGGAGGAGGAGGAGGAGGAGGAGGAGGAGGAGGAGGAGGAGGCGGCGGCGGCGGCGGCGGAGGAGGAGGAGGAGAAGGAGGGGGAGGAGGAGGAGGAGGAGGAGGAGGAGGAGGAGGAGGAGGAGGAGGAGGAGGAGGAGGAGGAAGGGAGGAGGAGGCGAAGGCGGAGGAGAAGGAGGAAGAGGGGGAGGAGAACAGCTGCCGATCATCGGCGCTCTTCGTCCGAGCGCCTGGTGTAGGATGGGCTGGTGGGGATACGCGAAGCGTCAAGAATTAGACCTCGCCATCCCTGCGGGGCTGAGATCTGTGAAACTGTCGCCACTTTCGAGGGCTGCTCAGGAGCACAGCACAGGGGGTACCCACCGCAGACTCCAATCAGACGCCGCTTTCGTCCTTGTTCTCCTCCTGCAGTCACCCTCCCTCTGCTGCTGCCGTGCTGATGGTTCGGCTTCCCGCACGTTTTTCTCCTGCTCTGCGTTCCCGACTCCCCATGTCCTCTTCGAGCCTGTAGCTGTCACCCCTCGTTCTTGTATGGTTTTCCTGCGCATCATGCCATAGGCGCGTGTCCCAAGTAGCTTACACATCGAGTTGATTGTCCATGCAAGTTTCGGCCAACTCCTCGTTTCCATTGATACAACTGGGTTGGGTACGTCACAGGGTAATTTTCGTATTCTACATTCCTCGTCGAAAGCCCCTCTGCAGGGGGACACGCCCGACCTAAAACTGGGGTGCTGGGATGGAGGGGCCGAGGCGCCATGGCCCAAGAGGGGACGGGGATCGGCAGAGCGATCCGCCACTGTGCCGCCGGGCGCACGGAGTGGGCGTGCCCTCCGGGCCCTCTGCCCAGCCCCTGAGGAGGAGGAGGAGGAGGAGGAGGAGGAGGAGGAGGAGGAGGAGGAGGAGGAGGAGGAGGGGGAGGAGGGAGGAGGAGGAGGAGGAGGAGGAGGAGGAGGAGGAGGAGGCGGCGGCGGCGGCGGAGGAGAGGAGGAGAAGGAGGGGGGAGGGGGAGGAGGAGGAGAGGAGGAGGAGGAGGAGGAGGGGAGGAGGAGGAGGAGAGGAGGAGGAGGAGGAGGAGGAGGAGGAGGAGGAGGCGGCGGCGGCGGCGGCGGCGGCGGAGGAGGAGGAGGAGGGGGAGGAGGAGGAGGAGGAGAAGGAGGAGGAGGTGAAGGCGGAGGAGCCTCGGGCCCTCCGTCCCGAGCAGCAGAGGCGCCCGGACCCACACTTCCGAGACCTCTTTGGGGCTCGTCGCGTGCCCCGCGGGCTCCCCGCGGGCTCCCCGCGGGCTTTGCCAAGTAGTGGCGCGTGGCCTCTTCGGGCCCAGGAGGGCCCCAAGCGGGGTCACGAGGGTCCCAGGAGGCCCCCCAGACGGTCCAAGAGGGCCCCGGGTCGCCAAGCGATCGCTCAAAAGCATCCACAATGGCAGATTGCCCAAGAGGCGACGCCTAAAGAGGCCTCCAAGAGGCTTCCCAAGAGAGGCCCCAAGAAGCCAAACTCACTGATTGTCCTAAGATTCTGGAGACTTTTGGCGTTCTCGATTCGGCTTCCGGACGCTCCCAGACGGCCCGAGAGGCCCCCAAGACCGCCCCAAGATGGCCCAAGAGGCTCCCAAGATGCCTCCCAAACGGCCAAAGAGGGCCCCAAGACGACCCGAGAGGCTCCCAAAACAGCCCAAGAGGGCCCAAGATGACCCACAAAGGAGCCCAAGACAGGGAACACGAACCGAAAATTCGAGCCTTCCGCCCCAAGATGGGCCCCCAGGAGGCCTCCATAGGCGCCCAGGAGGCCAAGAGCCCACCCAAAGGCCCCCAAGAGGCCCCCAAGAGGCCCCCAAGACGCCCCCAAGACGCCCAGAAGACGTCCCGCGAGATCCCAACGAACTTCCAATGACTTAGGCTTCACACACACACACACAACCCAGGCGCTGTTGCGGGACGGGCCGAAGGCCATTAGATGCTGACTGGGCCGGGCCAGGGGCCCGAAGGCCGAAAAACCGAGGCGCTGTTTTGGTAGGCCATTAGAAGGGCCTACCAAAACATCCAGCTCCTCGGTTTTTCGAGACACGGGCCGCCGACCTCTGGACCACCTTCCCGGGACCGGCTTTCGTCCCGAGCCATTTCTTGTCAGCCCCGAGGCTCGGTAGAGGGGCCCTGCCAAGGCAGAAACCTGTAACAGAAACACCTCCGCCTCGCATTGGTCTTCGAGACGCCAGCTGTCAGTGTATAAAGGGGCCCGAGGACACACAAATAAATACACACAAATAATAAGATTCCCCATATTTTCCCATATTGTCTGGGTTTTCGTCTTCCCCCCCCTTCCCATACTTTCGCATATTCCTGGGGAATCGACGATCCATTGTGTCTGTGTTTTTTTTCCCTCCTGAGTCTATGCTGACCGATGCCTGCACCGACACCAGGCGGTGCCTTCTTGGACGTAGGCCAGAGTCGCGGGCCGACTCCCGGGCGGCGGGCGGGGTCCGAACGAGGCACGAAGCACGCAGCCTGCCGCGGTGGGCCGCCAGGGCCCGGCAAGATGGCACCGGAGCGCCAAGAGCAGTCCCGCGACGAAGCACCGTCGGGGCGTTGACCTGAGGAGCTCCAAATAAGGAAGGAGGCCCCTTTTCTCCCACAAGTTGAACTTCGATGTCCCATGGGACACCTCAGGAAAGCCGAAGGCAAGCTGCAGAACAATCAAGGAACACCGGGCCCCTCCCCAACGAAAAGGGCTCCCTTTTTCAGGGCCCCGACTGTACGACGGCATCGTGTGGTACAGTACTGGCAAGTAGACTGGCAAACAGACCTCTGCTAAACAGGAAGGAAAAGAGGAGGAGGAGGACAAGAGGAGGAGGAGGAGGAAGGAGCAGTGCAAACCTTAGACTCACCAGCGCTGTTAGAAAAAAAACCCTCTTCTCTTGCCCCTGAAAGGCGTCATTTCCACTGAAAGAAATGCCTCGTTGGGAGACGACCGTTCGAAGACCCTGAAGCGTGGCAAAACACCATTCTCGGGACTCCCACGCCACGAGACAGCCTGACTGTTGCGCCTTGCCTATCCTGAATCGCGCCAGAATGCAATTCCGGGGACTTCAACACCGCGAATCAAAGAAACTGTTGCGCCCTCACAACCCTGACTCATTCCAATACAACATTCCTGGAACGCTGACCAGGGGAATCCGCGAAACTCTTGCAAATGTTTATAAAACGCGTGCGCGCGGCGCTAATGCGAGATTCACATGTTTAAAAGGAACTGCCCTCAATCCATGAAACTCTTGCAAATTTTGAAGCCGAATGTGCGCGGCCCTGAGGCAAGAATCACATTTTGAAAACGCCCCGCCCTCAATCCGCGACACTCCTGCAAAGATTGACAATCAATGTGCGCGACGCTAAAAAGCGAGAGCCACATTTTGCGAACGACCCGCCCTCAATCCGTGAAACGGCTGCCGATGCCTAAGTTTCAGGGTCACCAATGGTGGGGGAATCCCAGGCGAAACGCCCGGCCCGGCCTTTCCAGAGGCCTCGGGGAGCGACGGGAAGGAGTTATCAACAAGGAGAAGGAATGGAGGAGGACAAGCAGGGACCGAACGAGGGCGCGAAAAAGACGAACAAGCGATAGAGGCCTCGTAGATGGGGTCGAACTGGATGGGGTCGGAGGGTCGCGCAGCGATACATCGGCGATGCATCGCCGATGCATCGTCGGCGTCGGCGATGCATCGGCGACGTCGGCGTGAAGAAAACCGGGCTCTGCACCGAGCCGCATCGGCGATACATCGGCGATGCGGCGCGATCCTCCAACCCCATCCACTCCGACCCCATCTAGGAGGCCTAGTCGGGCATGTCCTCCTAAGGGCAGATTTTGAAAGAAGAATAACAACTATTGTCAACGAGTGTTGAAACATTGTCTCACCCACACACAAAAGAATATACAATCGTTCCCAGGCTACTTTTGTTTGACTATATTTGAAGATTATTCCTGTAGAGGGACATGCCCTCCTTAAGCCTCGGTTGGAAGAAGTAGGCAGAACCATGAAGTAGGAAGGCGTTGAAAAAAGATTGGTTGACCGCCCGCCCCCCTAGGAGGACAGAAAAGGTGAAGCCCCTCCATCATCGAAGTAGGAAGGCGCTTAAAACAGATTGGAATCTGGGAATCCAAAAATACCTACTTTCAACGACCGATGGATAGACAGAAAGACACCACGGAGGATGGGCCACGGCCACACTGGGGGATCCCAGAAGCGTGTGGCGACAGACCGTGCGGTGACCTCGAAGCCCCAAGAGACCTCACCGCACGGTCCGTCACGGCACGGTCCGTCGGACCCTGGCGGCCCCCTGTCGCCCGAGACTGAAGGGGCCCTGGGACACACAAATAAATACACACAAATAAAAAGATTCCCCATATTTTCCTATATTTTCTCGGTGTTTGTCTTCCCCCCCACTTCCCATAGTTTCCCATATTTTCTGGGGAATCGCCGACTACTTGTGTCTGCGTGTTTCTTTCCCTCCTGAGAGACGTCCTCGCAGAGGGACTCGAGCGCCCAGACCGTACAGTGACCCCGCACCCCCCCCCCGAAATCACCCAACGCGGCGTGGCCACCGCACCGCCATGGGGGCCACACGCGCCACACGGCGTGGCCCCCGCGCGCGGCCCCCGCGCGCTGCCCCCCCCGAGGAGCCGCGGCCGGCGAGGCGGGCGCGGAGCGGCCCGCCGGGACGTGGCGCGCCCGCTGCAGGAGGCCGCCCGACAGGGGCCAGCTGCTGCCCGGGGCGGCGGGCGGGGCACCTCGCCGTCGCCAGGGGGCCAGATGCGAACCCCACCCCTACCCCCCACGATTTCTGAGGGGGAGGGTGGGGTTCACTTCGCTCGGGAGCTCACGAGCGAAGTGAACCCCACCCTCCCCTCTCAGAAATCGTGGGGGGTAGGGGTGGGGTTCGCATCTGGCCCCCTAGTCGCTCGGACGTCCCTCCCCGCGCGTAGCTTGCGGTCCAGAGGGCCCCCGAGGAGGCAACTGTGCCGGGAGGCAATCGTCGGAAGGATGAAAAAGGATTATGAGCGCCCCATCGCCGATGGGGGGCTGTTCCGCCGGCAAGGGCCTCGGACTGAGCGGGATTCGGCCAGATTCAACGGGATTGCACGGGATTCAGCCGGAATGAGCGGGATTAGGCCGGATTAAACTGGATCAAACCGGATTTCGGTCCAGGGCAAAATCTGAATTTGACCTCCCAGGCGATGCATCCAAAGACACCCTCGCGGTGTGAAAAAAACACGGCGGGAGGTTTTTCTCCATGTTCGGCCCCTGGGGGCCCTCACCAGGCTCGGAGAGCGTCAAAAAATGACTCGGGATGAGGAACCAGTCCCAGGGAAGAGGTCCCGATCTCTGGAGGTCCATTCCCCGTGCGCTTGTTTAAATGCCGCGCGTGTACTCAGAGTTTCTTAGTAAGCGTCGGGAGGGGTCACCCCCGCCGACAGCCCCAAATCGACCCCCGTCGCGGCCAGCGCGGCACTTCGCCGTCGCTCAGACGTCAATTCCCTGTGCGTTTTTTTAGTGGAGGCCAGTCCACAAGAAGCCCAACCCTGAGACTCCAGGACGTCCACAGATTTTGGGTGTGGGAACGTCGCGTTTTCCATGGCAAAACCATCGGAACCCAAGAAACCCAGGGCACCCTGGGGTCAAGCAGGGTATTTCTTGGCATGGGCCTCCACTGTAATGTTCGGGGGCGCGCAAGCATGGATTAGCGATGCGTGGATCTGGCGCGCGGTCGCCAAATCCATGGGTCCAGGGAGGCGCCCTCCCCAAAATGCGGCCGGTGCAGCCTCGCTCGGCGGCGGAAATCCAGGATTCCCCATGGAAGCGGGACCCGTCGCCAATCCACGCCCCCCTTGATCCATGTCTGTGATCGCCTGAAATGTCGTGCGTTTGTTCCGCTCGGGGGATGTTCCAGGATGCTCCTCGACGGGACCTTGCCGGGGGAAACAGACGCACGCGCGGCACCTCGCCGGCGCTCGGACGTCCATCCCAGGGCGTTTCTTTTTGACGTCGTGCGCGTATCTGTTCTCGCTCGGGAGATGCTACAAGGTGCTCCTCGACGGGCCCTCGCCGGGGGGGAAAAGTAGGCACGCGTCCGAGCGAGGTCCGGGCACCGTGGCGCAGCCGCAGGCGCAGGAGCGAGGCGGGGTCGGGCGCCGCCGTCCTCGGGAGGAAAAAAAGGGGCACAGAAGCAGGGCGGGGTGCTGTTCTGAAGCGGACATCTGGTACCGTCATCGGCCTGACCTAAGGAACGATAAATAAGGAACGAAGCCCCTTCTTCCCCAAGGAACGTTAACTAATCAATAACGTATATGGGGACGATGAATAACGCATGCAAGCCTAAGGAACGACGGAGCCCCTTTTGAAAAGTTAGTGTTCCTTATTCAAGCCGCTCGCTGTACTCCGGGTGTCTTAATAAGCGTCGGGGGGGGGGGGGCGCCACCCCCGCCGACTGCCCCGCATCGACCCCCGTCGCGGGCAGCCATCGCGCGCCGAAGGCGCTCCGACCCCCGTCGCGGCGCGACGACGAGGCGAGGTTGAACCCCGTCGGGGGGGGGGTACACCCCCACGCGTATCAAGAAACCCGGAGTGTGCCTCGTCCTTGTCCTAGCCTGGTGGGAAAGCACTGCCCAAACACATGTTTTCTGAGGGCTGATGTATCAGAACAGCTGATATTAACCCTGTGCTGTCTAGCCGATGCGCCGCGCGGCGAGGCTCAACTGACTGACTGACTGATTGTCCTTATTGTTAGTATTAGCACTGCAGCATGAGACCACCGATTTTTCGCCAGGGGGGCGAGATGAGGCAACGGAAGTTAACCTTCGGGGGTCCTTCTCGTAACCACGGCTGGACGCAGCTCGGGAAACTGGTGCGCTTGGACCCAAGGAGATGTCGGGGAAACAATTTCGAGTTGCCTCTGTCTCAACCCGCAGGAGAGCCCAGAATCGAAGCGACAAATCGGATCGGCGATCGAAATCGGATCGGCGGAAATCGGCAGCCGAGTCGGGAAAAGTCGAATCGGCAGAAATCGGCAGGCTAGTATGCCTCCAGTAAGAAATCGGAGCCCCGATTGGAATCCCCCGCCGAATCGCCTCGGAATCGGCAGCCATCGAACTCGACTCGCATCGAATCGGAGGAATCGAAACGACTCCCGAGAACCCGCCCTGCTCAAGATCCCGACGCGTGGCAAGGCGACGGGCTCCGTGTCCGCCGTGCAGGCTCGGCGCGCCCCGTGGCCAGCTCCTCCTCCTCCTCCCTCTCCTCCTCCTCCTCCTCCTCCTCCTCCTCCTCCTCCTCCTCCTCCTCGCCCTCCTCCTCGCCCTCCTCCTCCTCCTCCTCCTCCTCCTCGCCATCCACCTCCTTCCCTCGTCCAACCTGAGCCGAGAGGCTGCGTCAGGGCCCCCACCCGCGGGTGCCGAGAGCGGCAGCCTCGGGCACGGCGCCGCCACGCGTGCCCGCTCGGGCGGCTCCCCTCGGACATGCCTTCCCCACGTGCCAGGTCGTGGTGACTCGGCCGCTCGGCACGTGCAGCACGGGGACGGCTCACCGGTGGCTGGAAAGATTCACGCACAGGTGGAGCTTGCAGGCCACGCTGGTACCGGCAGGAGGCTGACAAAGGCCAGCTGGGGCTCTGCGCAAAAGTCGGGCATCAGCGAGTCCAGGCTTGCGTCGTCCAGTCCGGATTTCTTCTCGGGCCTCGCCACGCCCCCCCCCCCCACACACACACACCCTTTCCACCCGCGAAAACTTGCCAGCATTGAGCGAACAGCTGCTGCGCGACAGAACCATAAAACTTCCGGGCATCCGGAGGGATCTCTTGGACCTGCGCTGGACCCCCCTTGGCGGCGCCTCCGGCGCCGCCCCCGACGCGCTCGGCGCGACGTGGGTGCGGGTGGGCGCCAGCGCCAGCCCAACAAATCCGCGAGGCGCCCCGGGAGCCTGTGACCTGTGTGGTTTTTCTCCTCCTCGGCTCCTGGCGGGCACCGCGCCGTCCGAGGCCTCGCGCACGGGGGGGTCCGCCGTTCCCGTCGCAGGGGCCATCGGCCGCAGGGGCAGCGACCTGCTCATCCTGCCGCGCACGCGGGGCGGCGTGCCTCGAGCAGAAAGGGCATCTGCTGGGGGGGGGGGGAGAAGGAGGGTGAGAGGCTGGCTGTGGGTTGGCTGGGGGGGAGAGGGAGGGCGATGGGCTGGCTGTGGGCTGGGTCTTTGGGCCTGGCCTTCCCTGTGCTCCCGTGTTCCTGCCGCCCTCGGTCTGTGCGACGGGATCCGCTCGATCCACGCCCGAGTCGACACGACCGACGGTGAACCTGGGGCAATCCCAACTGGGGTAAGCTTTCCTGCTCGGCACGGCTTGGCATTGTTTCGTGTGTCTTGGCATGGCGTGGCACTGCATTACCATATTGCATACATTTGCACTGAGCTGCGTTGCCTTCTGTTTGGGACATTCTTTTGCATGGTTTGGCATCGCTCGACATTGCCTGGCACTGGTTGGCATTGCCTTGCATGGCTTTGTGATGATTGGCGCTGCGTTGTATTCATTGGGGTCTTCTTGCATCATACTGCATTACTTTGCGTTGTTTGGCGTCGCTTGGCGTTGTTTTGCATTGCTTGGCACTGCTGCGCGCTACTTTGTGTTGATTCGCATTGCTTGGCAATTCTGTGCATTGCTTGGCATTGCGTGGCATTGCTTCGAAAGCAATAGCGAAATCAGACTAGGGACCCCAGGAAACCCGAGGAATGCCGGCCTCCCAAAACAGTAAGGACACAAGGCCATGGGAACCATGGGACTAGAGAAATGGACGCAAGAGGTGAATACTGAAGCGGACCTTCTCCGGCGGACGGGATCAAGGCGGCGAGCGCGAGAACAAAGCAGGCACTGTGCGCAGATCTGGTCTTGAGCCCGAACAGCGGCGGGCCCTGGCAAAAAAGGGGTGACATGGGCAGAACGGGAACCGTTCGAATCTGGTGCTCAAATTGGTCCGTCGTGCCCCCGTTGGCCCAATGCGCAGTCCGCACAAGAACCCGCGGCGAGAGATTCAGTTTGGGTGCTCTGCCGAGCGCGCCCCACTACAGGACAGCTGCAAAAAGGGCTCTACGAACCGCCCATTCGTAAACAATTGACACGCGCGCTGCTGAGAGGGCTCTACTAACCGCCGCTTCATTATTTGGTTTTTGGGGAAAAACTTGCGGGCTACTGCAAGGGGGAGATGCTTGGTCAGTTAGTGAGAGCAGCACACACTTGCGTGCTCGACTTACTCATCGCTCTCGCTGGCAGTGCCCGCAACTTGGTGGTGCCCAGGTCTACCTTGTGACGCAGTCACAAGGGTCGCCTCTTCACTGTTTGGTTGCTGAAGCGCACGCAATATGAGTATCATTATCTGTTCTGTCCTCGCCCGCTTCATTTTTGATACAAGTACTTATTTTGAGTTATTATGCGTATTTGCTCTATATGGGCAGCGCGTCGCTGCAACGCATAGCCCGCGTGAGTTGTCAGACCCAAGCAGGCATTACCCGCCACCTCCTTGGGTCACGGGGACGAGCTTGACTTTGGCTGTGCGCATGTTCTGCCCACTTGTCTTTCTCATGAGTGTTCCAGTCTAGGCCTTTCTCTGTCGAAGGTGTGGGACACCAGGGGCTTTCTCTCCTCATCTCTTGATCCGCCTCATCATCTTGTCTTTGGCCTCGTGTACATTCTTTCGGCGGTGGACAAGCCTCCCTTTAGTGAACCTCCCCTTAATTAAAAACGGCCTGGGACCGAAAAACCGACGGACCTGGACCCGCAAAAACGACGGCCGCGACGCCCTCTCGCGAACCGAAAACGGCCAATTCCTCAATCGACGTGTCAGGGTAAGAGGTCGGTCCACCTCCGATTCTTTTCTGCAGCTTCAGCCTGCGCCTGCCTGCAGTCAGGGGACTCGTAGCTCGCTGCCCTGCGCAGGTCGCTGCTGGCCTTCGTCAGCATCTGCTCACAATGCTGTCCCGCGCCCTCCTTCTCCTCTTTCCTTCACCTCTTACAGTCGGGGCGCTGACCTAAGGAACCCTAAGTAAGGAACGAGGCCCCTTTTCTCAAGAAGTTGAACTTCAATTTCCTTTCGAAAACCTCAAGAACACGTGGGGGAAACTGTGAAACCATTAAGGAACACGGAGCCCCACCTCAACGAAAAGAGTTCCTTCTTCAGCGCCACGACTGTACGCCGACACCTGTTTAGGCCTGGGTCTACGGTGAGTGGAGGCGAGCATGAGGGTCATGGTCAGGGGCGCCTCCTCATCCGCAGGCTCCCGCGCCCCGTCGATGCTCCCGAGCCCGCTTCGGTCTCCTCCGAAGGGATTTCGGCCTCCTCCGAAGGGCCGGAGCCGAAGCGGACCCCGAAGCACGTTTCGGCTCCAGCCAGTTTCGGCCTCATCCGCTCGTTTCGGCTTCGGCCCGTTTCATCCTGGTCTGGTTCGTCCCAGCCAATTTCGGCTTCGGCAAGTTTCGTCCCGACCCATTTCGGCTCCGGCTGCATCGTCCCGGCCCGTTTCGGCTCTGGCCCGTTTTGTCCAGGCCCGGTCTGGCTACAACCCGTTTCGTCCAGGCCCGTTTTGGCTCAAGCCGAAATGGGCCGAAGCAAAAACGGGCGGAGCCGGAGCAGGCCCAAGCCCGAACACGCTGAAGCCGAGGCCGAAGCGGGCGGAGCCGAAACGAGCCGAGCGGAGACGCGCCGAAGCCGAAACGGGCCGAGGCCGAAACCGAAACGGGCCCGAAGCCGAAACGGGCATGAAGCTGGATCGGGACCTTGTCCAAGATGGGGCCCAGAGGGGGGGCAAGACCAACGATTCGAACCCGCCGCCCCAAGATGACCCCCGAGACCGCCAGCTCGTCCCCTGAGAGGCCACAGCTTAAGCCCCAGAAGGCCCCCCCAAAAGCCCCGAGAGGCCCCCCAAACAGCTTCCGAGATGGCTCCCAAGAAGATCACCACAGGCATCCAAGAGGCCTCCGACTCACCACCAAACAGAAGTAGCAGAGTGTGCCGAAGAAGGCCACCAGTACATACGATGGAGGGCTGTCGCTCTGGAAGCAACGCCAGCCGACCGACCTCCTTGAGGTGAGCACTGTGTAGAGATCATCCCCTTCGTGCCAGGGGGGTGGTTATTCGCTCTGCCTGCCCTGTGGGATGAGGTCGGCATCTGGTTACTGTCTGGGGGAGTGGGTCTTCCAGGCATGCTGGATCCAACCGCGGGGCTCCCAAACTCGAAGCAACCTCCGAGGGAAAGGTCGTCTGCAAGCAGCTGAATGCACAGCTCATATTATTGTTTTCTACCAAGCCAGGCAACTGCGGTGTTCCCTCTGGTGTCGCTCCCTGGCCGTTCTGACGATGAACAACACATTGGATGCGAAGATATAATTAAAACTTGGCCATGAATTCATTGAAAGCGACTGACTATCGGCAGCCGTGCGCAAATCTTTGTAGACCCTGGGCAATGAGAGGACGTTTTGTTCTGTGGCATTCTGGCCCGCCCCACCCCGCTGCTGCTTCCGATCCTTCGTGCCTGAACAGGCTCACCGAAGCAATGTTCAACACGTCTCCCCCTTGGAACTCGAGTGGCTTATCGATCTGTGACCTCCAAGATTGGCGCGAGGTTCAGCGTAGGGCCTGTAGACATCACCAGCGAGGAGATGGACGTCCAATCATTCTGGATACGACCGGACACGCCCCGACGTGATCGGATCAGCCCCACGTGGCCAGCTGAAGCATCACAAAATATGCCACGCACACGTTTTCCGCAGCGGACACTCTTCGGCATAGTAGAGGGCGTCGTCAAGCGAGGCACACGCACCAGCCATGTCCAGGTCCTGGCGCAACTGCGTACACTTCCACTGCAGTTGTCTAAGGTGCTCTCTCTCTCTCTCTCTCTCTCTCTCTATATATATATATATATATCCCTCTCTCTCACGCTCTTTCATATATATATATATATATATATATATCCCCCTCTCTCGCGCACGCACTGTGACTCTCTCGTTCTCGATTGAGGGCCCGCGAATTACACCCCACCCCCACCGGGGCCACAGAAGCTCAATATGATTTTGCCGTTGCTTCGACAGCCGAAGTTAGCATAAGCTCCAGGCGCCCAAGGGGCCCCGTTGCATGAGCCCCGGGACAGGCCCGACGACACCCTGCGCCCTCCTCCCGCCCTCCCCCGCCCTCCCTCCGCCGATCCTCCCTCGCTTGCCCTCCCCTGCAACTTGCTGGGTCGGGGTGGTCGCGGGCCCGCCTGGAATTGGCGCCCCGAAAATGCCGGTCAACGCAGGATAGGTGTTGTGGCGCCGCGGGGGGAGGGCGCGGGGGCGGGGTGCAAGTATGCCACGAAACGACCAGATTAGATACCCCACTCACGAATCTACCCCACCCGCGGAAGGATAATTTCGAAGGCGGCGCGGACGCTGGAGGTCCGTCGTGGATAGCTCCGCCCTGAGCGCCCAGGAGCTCCGAAACTTGCACAGAAGACTACAAGATCTCAAGCTTTGTCCTCGTTTTACAGGATGAACGCTGTCATGCGACGCGCGGGGCAAATCAACGCATGTCGCCCAGCAAAGGCACAGAGAACAGAAGTACGACTTGCAGAATGATCTAATCCACCAGGAAAACGTACATGCCAGGGGGTGGGCGTCATATCTCGGACCCGGATATACGTGTGTGTGTATATATATATATATATATGTATCGCTGTATGGTTAAATTGCTGTGGTTCTCTGTGTGTTCCCAACCATCCTGTGGTGTTGGGCCTTCTTTTTGAATAGACGGTGCCACGCGTTCCCATGTCCTTCCTCCTCCTCCTCCTCCTCCTCCTCCTCCTCCTCCTCTCCTCCTCCTCCTCCTCCTCCTCCTCCTCCTCCTCCTCCTCCTCCTCCTCCTCCTCCTCCTCCTCCCCTTCCTGAGGGTCCGCATGGCACCCCCGCCCAATTTCGGCACACCCCTCACACGCTTCGTGGCCCTACAGGGAGCTCCACCGAAGGCCCTAGCGGGAGGGTCCGCATGGCACCGCCGCACCATTTCGGCACACCCCTCACAAGCTTCGTGGCCCCATGGGGAGCTCAACCAAAGGCCCCAGCGAGAGGGTCCACATAGCACCGCCGCCCCATGTCGGCACTCCCCTCACACGTTTCGTGGCCATATAGGGAGCTCCACCGAAAGCCCCAGCGGGAGGGAACGCATGGCACCGCCGCACCATTTCGGCGCACCCCTCACACGGCTCCTGGCCCCATACGGAGCTCCACCGAAGGCCCCAGCGGGAGGGTCCGCACGGCACACGTTTCGTGGCCCCGTGGGGAGCTCCACCAAAGGCCCCAGCGGGAGGGTCCGCATGGCACCGCCGCCCCATTTCGGCACACCCCTCACACGTTTCGTGGCCCCATAGGGAGCTCGACCAAAGGCACCAGCGGGAGGGTCCGCATGGCACCCCCGCCCAATTTCGGCACACCCCTCACACGCTTCATGGCCCCACACAGGCTCCACCGAAGGCCCCAGCAGGAGGGTCCGCATGGCACCGCCGATACATTTCGGCGCACCCCTCACGCGTTTCGCGGCCCCACAGGGAGCTCCACCGAAGGCCCCAGCGGGAGGGTCCGCATGGCACCGCCGCCCAATTTCGGAAACCCGTCACACGCTTCGTGGCCCCATAGGGAGATCCACAGGAGACCCCAGCGGGAGGGTCCGCATGGCGCCGCCGCCACATTTCGGCACACCCCTCACATGTTTCGTGTCCCCATAGGGAACTCCACCGAAGGCCTCAGCGGGAGGGTCCGCATGGCGCCGCCGCCCCATTTTGGCAGCTCGCATTCAGGCACATAGACTCGCTCGCGCGCAGACTCATTCACAATCAGACTCACTCTCGATCAGACTCACGCGCGCTCAATCCCTCGTTCTTCGACCTACCATCTTCGTTCGTGTCGTGTACCCCGCCGCCCATGTCGGCACGCCCCTTACGCGGTTCGTGTTCCCATAGGTAGCACCACCGAAGATGATATCCACAATTGCGGTACTCGCATATGCATATGGTTGGGTCCTTCGCCAGGCTAGTGTGTGCTCTCTCTCTCTTTCTCTCTTTCTCTCTCTGATTGTGTTTCTCTCTCTCTCTCTCTCTCTCTCGTTTCCCCATGGTGCATTGCATATGGGTATATGATGACACCCGTATGCGAATGCAAAAGTGCCTGGGCCGCACTACCCCAACACTCCATCCTCGTGTTGTCTCTTCGTCCTCTGCGATGCCTTCGCTCACTCCTCTCCTTCTCCTCTTCCTCCTCCTCCTCCTGCTCCTCCTCCTCCTCATCATCATCATCGTCAGCATCATCATCAGCATCGTCATCATCATCATCATCACCGACACCACCACCATCATCATCATCCCCATCATCATCAGTATCAACATCTTCATCAGCAGCAGCATCATCATTAGCATCATCATCATCGTCATCGTCATCATCGCCATCATCATCATCAGCATCGTCATCCTGTGTTGCCGCCGTCCGTAGGGGAAGCTTTTCATACACGGGATGTATCTGAACCCCGTGCAAATCTTCACACCGCGCAACAGAAAGCAACATGACACCTCCGCACCATAAAACTAGATTTACTCGATGCGGAAATACCCAGTTGTGCATCTCGTTCCCCAGCATTGCCCGCTGCGAGTGCCTGGCTGTGGGTGTGTGGGTGTGCGTGTGAGTCCAAGTGGACGACGGGCACGACGACGACGACGACGACGACGACAGCTGCGTCAAGGATGAGGGACGATGACGGCAACTCTCAAACAGACAGGCGCTGAGCAGGCCCGTCGACTCCCCTCTCCCTCCTCGTTCTCGTGGTCGTAACGCCTCCCTTCTCTTCCTCCCTTCTCCCTTCTTCCTCATCCTGAGTCCTCTCCCTGGCAACCGTCATTGTCCCTCCTCATGCGTCCTCCTACGTCCTCCTCCTCTTCCTCGTCATCTCCTCTCCTCCTCCTCCGCTTCCTCCTCCTCCTCCTGCTCCTCCTCCTCCTCCCTCAACTCCTCCTCCTCCTCTTCCCCGTCCTCCTCCTCTTCCTCCTCCTCCTCCTTCTCCTCCTCCTCCTCCTCATCCTTCTCCCCATCCTCCTCCTTATCCTCCTCCTTCTCCTCCTCCTCCTCCTCCTCGTCCTCGTCCTCCCCCTCCTCCTCCTCCTCCTCCTCCTCCTCCTCATTATTCCTCCCTGCTCCTACCTGACAAGCGCCCCAACCCCATTTGGGGGGGGCATCATCCCCTCTCCTTCTCATTCTCCTCGACAATGACACACTGTGAATACTACTCTACTCTCTCCCCTGGTGACGTCCGGGAAATATTCGGTCCCCCTCCGCGTACGGGTTTTTCACACACAAGATTCCCGGGAAACGGGATTTCACTGTTTTTTTCAAAATGCTGCTCTCGCTGAAACGCTGGCCTTCTTTTCGGGCTACCGCTCGTTCCGAACCGTGCTCCCTCTGCAACGCTGGCCTCCTTTCCGCGCTTCCGCTCGTTCCGAATCGTGTTCCCGTAACGCTGGCGTCATTAGTTCCAGCGCCATGCCACGGCATGGTTTTCGGTCCTTCCAAATAGGCCCCAGAATCTAGAAACTGCCCTCCCGAAACAAACCATCGGAAGTGATTCCACATGATGTGTCGATTCGTGGGTTTTCTGGGTCGCAGAAGCCCCCCTGCCCCTCTTTGGGGCGTGGCCACGCCATGCTATGTCAGGCTACGCGTCCTCCGAATCGTGCTCCCGCTGCAACGCTGGCCTCATTTCCGCGCTTCCGCTCGTTCCGAATCTTGCTCCCGCTGCAGTGCTGGTGTCATTATATCCAGCGTCATGCCACGGCATGGTTTTCGGTCCGTCCAAATAGGCACCAAAATCTAGAAAATGGTCCCCCGCAACGACCATCGGAAGTGATTACACAGTCGGTGTCGATGTGTTGATTTGTTAGGCCGCAGAGGCCCCCAACAAAAAACTCTGGGGCGTCGCCACGCCATGCTACGTCAGGCGACGCGTTGCTGTTCAACACCATGCTATGCCATGTATTGCTATGCCCTGCTACGACATCCGACTGTGCGAACAGAGGGGAGCTCTACGCCATGGTCAGGGATGGGAGGGAGGGGTAGGACGTCAGACATGACGCGAGCGCACCTGGCTTGTCGTAACCCCTCCCTTCCCTTTCTCCCTCCTCCCTTCCCCTTCCTGTTACGTCCTCCCCCCTCCTCCCTGGCGGCCGGCTCTGCATGGACAGGCACCGAAGAGCACACCGCGAGCGCCTCGCTCGAGACATCCCCACACCCCGGCCGCGCACGGGCGAGCGCCTCACCCGTGGCGGCTCCCCTTTGGGGTGCTGCAGCTCCAGCGCGGAGGTCGAGACGTCAGCACGGCCCGCTCTCCCAAGGCAGAAAGGTCTGAGCCACCACACGAACAGAGCGCCCGAGACACCCCCACAGGCTGGCCGCGGAGGGGCCAGCGGCGGCCAGCGTCCCTGCTCCCTGGCCCCCCCCCACCCACCCACCCACCCCACCCCCTCTGGAGTACTGAACCCAGCGCCTCGCCGAAGGACATCCTCACAGGCTGCCCTGAACGAAGAGAGGAGTCCGAGCCGCCGGCCGAGCGAGAATCGCTGGAGATGCCCGACACATCGGGCGGCGAACGGGCGAGTGCCACCATCCCCGGCGCCCCGCCTCGGGGTGCGGAGCCAGCGCCTCGCTCGGGCCGCCCTCACGGCCCGCTCTACAAGCAAAGCAGTCCAGGCCACCAGACAGGCAAGGCGCCCGAGAGACGTCCCCGCAAATCTGGCCGCGAACGGGGGGCGGAGTCCCCCGCCCGGCGGGGCTCCCCGTCGGGATGCCGAGATCAGCACCTCGCGCAGGACATCCTCACGCGCTGCTCTGAAAGCGGGGGAGCCTGAGCCACCACACGAGCGAACCGCTCGAGACATCCCCAGCATCTGGACGCGGACGAGCGAGTCCCGCCCCTGGCGCCCCCTCCCTTGGGGTGCTGAAGCGTGCACCCCGCTCGAGGCAGCCTCGCAATCTGCTCTGAAAGCAGAGGGGTCGAAGCCACCAAGAAGGCAAAACGCCGGAGATGTCCCCACTGTCTGAGCAGCACCGCACCACCAAGAGAGAGAGAGAGAGAAATCACAACTCTCAGAGGGCAGATCCCGAGGAGGGAGGACGGAGAGGAGGAGGAGGAGGAGGAGGAGGAGGAGAGGAGGAGGAGGAGGAGGAGGAGGAGGAGTACAGGGGCAGCCGGGGGCAGCTGCAATGCCCCTGGGCGCCTCGGGATCGCTGCTGCGCGGCTCGGTCGGCCAATGCTGCGACGCTCGCAACCGCCAGGCTGCCGGGGGAGGAGGAGGAGGAGAGGAGGGAGGAGGAGGAGGAGGAGGAGGAGGAGGAGGAGGAGGAGGAGGAGGAGGAGGAGGAGGAGGAGGGAGGAGGAGGAGGAGGAGGTCGAGTGTCCCCACCCATGGCGGTTCCCCAATTTGGGCGCTGAAACCAGCGCCTCGCTGGAGACATCCTCACAAGCTGCTTGGAAAGCAGAGAAGCCTAAACCACTGAGCAGGCAAACCGACTGAGGCATCACAACTAGTTGGCAGCGAACGGGGGAGTGCCCCTTCCCCTGGCGGCTCTCCATTGGGGACTGAAACCAGCGCCCTGCTTGAGACATCCTCACGGTCTGCTCTGCTCTGGAACAAAGAAATCCAAGCCACCACACACAGGCAAGCCGCCTGAGACGTCCTCACAGTCTGGCCGCGGACGGGAGTGCCCCCAGCCCTGGCGCCTCCCCCATTGGGGTGCTGAAACAAGAGATCCTCGCAAACTGCGTGCGAGGCCCGCCTGAGTGTGAGTGGTCTGTGTGGGTGAGTCTGAGTGTGAGCGAGTCTGAGTATGAGTGACTCTGAATGTGCGAGTCTGAGTGTGAGACATGAGTCTGCATCTGAGTGACGGGCTTGAGTGCGTGTATCTCAGTATGAGTGTGTATAACTGTGAGTGAGCCTGAGTATTGAATCTGAGTATGAGAAAATCTGAGTATGAGTCTTCGTGAGTGTGTCTGAATATGAGCAAGTCTGCGTTTGAGTGAGTCTGAGTGTGAGTAGAGCGGAAGCGGGAGGAGGGGAGGGGTACGAGTGAGGAAGCGGAGGCGTCCAAGCAAAAACAAGAACCTAACGCTGGGATATGGAGAATAAGCTATCCGATGGGAATTATACTAACTCTTTTACAAACTTGCGCAAAAAGAAATTCTCGACTATCAAAGGCTGCCTCCTCGCACGTACCCCTATCTCGAAAGTTGCCCCCTTTATGTCCTCTGGGGTGCATGTTGACCTGGATTTCGAAAGGAACACAGCGGTAGCGACAAGAAGCCTCCGAGAGGCTCCACACTGAAGAAATCTCTGTCTGAGACTGCGAATGCGTTTCTGCTTCGTCTCCATCTCTATCGCTATCTCTGAGCTGGGTACGCGGTGAGCGGCGCGGCGAGGTCAGTGTATTTCAAGCTTGGAGTGTGGCTTGTACTGAGGCGACAGCACTGTTGCGAGAGCCCAAAGTCAAGCTGGGATCATGGCTGGCGCTGACTAGCGCTGGGTCCGGGAACTAAATCCGAACTGGGAACGTGGCCAGCGCAGAGCGAGAACTCGCTTCCCACCCCCTGTCCAGCACCCGGCCGCCTCGAGAACGCACCCTCGAATCGTGATATAGGAGACATCTCCAGACGCTCTGGGGCCTCGAAGGAGCCCCAGAGGGGGGCGTCGAGCATCCAAAGAGCAGGGCCCCTTCCCTCGCCCTCCCGCACAGAACTGCCTCCAGCGCTGAACCTCCGAAGGTTCGATCCACAGACCTTTCCACCTGGACCTCCTTTCGAAGCTCGGCGGCGGGCGAGCGCGGGAGTGAGAAGGAGAAGGCCTCCTCAGAAAGGCGGCGGGACTTCTCAGTAACCCTCGCGCCTTCCAAGAAGTTGTCCGTGTCTTCGCGGAAGGCTCAGGAAACCTCTCCGAAGGTCGGGAGACGTCCGAGCCTTCTGAGAAGGCCCGCCCCCCTTCTCGTTCCCCCCCCCCCCCGGCAGGCCGCCGCGAAGCAGATGATTCGGGGGTTGCATCAGGCATAAGGTGTCCCTGGCCCAAGCTGCCCCCAGCTGTTCGCTCCGTTCCGGAGCCCCCGAGGCCCCCTGGGCCTCACGAGGCAGGTGCGCTCTGGAGGCCGGGGGAGGAGGGCTCTCCTTGGCCCTTGGCAACCCTGGGGGGCACCTCGGGCCGGGACCACTTCTGGCAGCACCCGGCTGACGCGTGAGGCCGAGCGAGTCTGCGCGCGGTCCCCTTGCAGCCCGCCGTCCTCCTCAGCTGCCCGCGCCCGGCGGGGGACTCCCGGGTCGGCTGCCCGCGCTGCCCACGCTGCTCGCCTCCTGTGGCTCCTCGGCGGCGCCGACGCTGCCCACGCTGCTCGCCTCCTTCGGCTCCACGGCGGCTCTCGCCGGGGGGTGGAAGTCCTCGGCGGCTCGCTTGCAGGGGGTGCGAGGGTCGTCGGCGGCCGGGCCGAAAGTCCAGGGGCGGCTCAGGAACCCTCGAAGGCCCTGGGAAGGGTGCGAAGGAGATCGGACGACTCTTGGGCCAGGGGGGTCCAGGCTCGGCAGAATGGTGATGACGGTACATTCATGTCGGGCCTGTCCCCCTACAGGGGGATTTCCGATGAAAAATAAAAGATACCCCAAAAATACCCCAAAAGAGTCAAACAATGCTTAAAACATAGTCCCCAGACTAGTTTTTGACTATTATTTTACCATTTCTGAGGTGTTTTTGCATTTTTCGTCGAAGATCCCCCTATATGGGGGACAGGCCCGACTTAGCGGTACGTGGGGTAGGCCACGGCGACGGTCGGGACCAGGGAGGGCCACGGCGAGGAGGGGGGGAAGCCCTTCTGCCCTGGCCTCCCAGGTCCCCCCCCTGGCCTGCAGGCACCTCCAAGGGCAAAACGCCAAGGTTCTGTCGCGCCAGGGGTACTTGCTGCACCGCAAGGTGAACTGGGAAATACAGTCGGGGCGCTGACCTAAGGAACCCCAAATAAGGAACGAGGCCCCTGTTTTCCATCAGTTAAGCTTCGATTTTCCATCGAAAACAGAAGGAACACCTGAGGCAAGCTGTGAAACAATCAAGGAACACCGAGCCCCTCCTCAACGAAAAGGGTTCCTTCTTCAGCGCCCCGACTGTAGGTAGTGTGGATGAGCAGCGGCGACAACATGGAAGCAGAGCCTGCGCTGCACTCGGCCATGAGTCGGGCAGGGCGTGTAGGGCAGGCTCAAGGGTGCGTCGTCAGTGCGACTGGAAGGAACAGCCTAGTTAGTGGCTAGAGCCCGCGGGCTCACGTAGCAGCGGAGGTGTTAGAAACATTGAACAGAGTCACGAGAATGCGGCACCTAGTGGAGGATGAGGAGAAGACGAGGACGAGAAGGGGAATGATGAGGACGACGAGGTCGACGACGACGACGACGAGGGATGAGCGAGAGGTGGAGGCAGAGAAAAACGAGGAGCGCGAGTCTGACAATGAGACGTATGATGAGGAGCAGGAGGGAAGCAGCGTGGAGGGGGACAATAATGACCGCGATGGCGACGAGGACGACGAGGACGACAGGGGAGGAGGAAGAGGAGGAGCAGGAGGAGGAGAAAGAGGAGGCTCTGGAGACTCTGGATGACGACGGAGTGTGCCGAGAACGATGCACCGAGCCGAGAACACTGCACCAAGACAGGGGAGGAGGAGGAGGAGGAGGAGGAGGAGGAGGAGGAGGAGGAGGGAGGAGGAGGAGGAGGAGGAGGGGGAGGAGGAGAAGGAGGGGGAGGAGGAGGAGGAGGAGGAGGAGGAGGAGGAGGAGGAGGAGGAGGGGAGGAGGAGGAAGAGTACGTCGGACGACGACGACGACGACGACGACGACGACGACGACGACGACGACGACGACGACGGCGATCGAGGACGAGGGTGCCGACGAGCGGCAGGACGGAGGCGCGGGAGGGAGGCAGCGAGGAGGGGGCCGGCGACGCTGCGAGAGCTCCCGCTCCCGCGGCCTGCCTCCGAGAGGGAGGGCGGGGGAGGAGGAGGAGGAGGAGGAGGAGGAGGAGGAGGAGGAGGAGGAGGAGGAGGAGGAGGAGGAGGAGGAGGAGGAGGAGGGAAGAGGAGGAGGAGGAGGAGGAGGAGGAGAGGAGGAGGAGGAAGAGGAGGAGGAGGAGGAGGAGCGGGGATCCGAGAAGCCGTTCGGGAGGGGGCGTCCTTCGGGGAAAGGGAGCAGGTGGCCACTCGTGGACCCCGCCGCCAACCCCCCACGACTTGTAAGGGGGGGCTCAGGGTTCCTCTCGCTCGCGGTCACCGAGCGGGGGAGGGCGAGGGAGAGCGAGGGAGCAGGGCGGAGCGAAGAGAAGCGACGAGGAGCGGGGAGGAGCGAGGAGGAGGGAGAAGAAGGCGGGAAGAGAGCGAGGAGGAGCGAGGAGGAGCGAGGAGCGAGGAGCGAGTAGCGAAGAGGGAGCGGGCGAGAGCGGCGTCGGGGATCTGGTGACCCGGGTCAAACCAGACCCAGGTCAGTCAGGCCTTGCAGGATGCTGCAGGAACCTTCAGGATCCTGCAAGACCCTGCGCCCAAACCCAGGTCCGTGCGACCCTTGCCCTGCAGGATCTTGTCAGATCCAGCGCTCTGGCGGACCCCCGTTTGCATGGATTGTCGGCGCGCACAAGCGGGATAGGGAGAGGGGGAAGGCTTCTTAGAAGGCGGCTGCCTCTTAGAAGGCGTCGGCCGCCCTTCTAAGAAGCCAGTGGCGCGCCGCTTCTCTGAAGCACCCCAACAACTTCTGAGAAGCACGGAACTGCTTCTCAGAAGCAAGCCACCTGCTTCTCATAAGCACGCCAGGCCCAGCTCCCGAGAAGCAGCCGCCAACATCTTAGAAGGGGCGCCAACGCCTTCTGAGAAGGGGGGGGGCTTCCAAGAAGCCTTCCCCCCCCCCTACAACCCTCCCCAAAGATCCGACGTCGTGATTTGTTCAATACGGGATCCCCAGAATTCTCGACCCACTCCCCAGGACCGGCTTTTCGTCCTGACGCACTGCTTGACGGCCCCGACGCCCCGCGACGGCCTCCCGAGGCCGAACACTGCGAACAACCTCCGCCTTGCCGTTTTCAATGCGCTGGATCTCTGGGTCTGCGCGCGGCCGACGTGCACCCCCGTCCCTTGCGCCCCGAGTCCTGGCGCGGGCCCCCGGCCTCCGGGGAGGACGCCCGCGGCCCGCTGCCCTCGCCGCCCCGGGGCTCCTCGGCAGGCCGCTGTGGGGCGGGTGCGGTCTCGAGCGGGGACCAGCCGCCCCGGCATTCCGAGAGTCCTACCACGACATGTTCTCGGAACCCAAGACTGCCATACATCAAAAGGACCCACGGGAACTAGGGGACTAGAGGAAGGGGATGCAAGAGGCAAATGTGGAAGCGGAACTTTTCCGGCGGACGGGATGTTCCTATAGGCTCCAGAGGACAACATAGGACAGCCATGCTGCCTCAGGGCGTGGGGTAGGGTGCGTTGTGTTGCGTTGCGTTGCACAAGGGGGGGGGCGGGCGCCAGCTGGTGGTTTCGTCAACAACAACACCAACAATCTGAAGAAGAAAAGACAATGGAACAGGAGGATGGGGGAGACGGCATGAGACGGCGGAGGTGGAGCACGTGGCTGCAAGAAGCGGAGGATGAGGAGGTGTCGGAGAAGAAAGTGGAGCACGGATGCAGGAGGAGGCAGCGAATGAACCAGGAACAGGCAGCGGAGTGCCAAGAGGCAGCTGAGGAGGAGCAGGAGGAGGAGGAGGAGGACGACGACGACGAGGAGGAGGGGAAGGGGGAGGAGGGGGAGGAGGAGGAGGAGGAGGCGGAGGAGGAGGAGGAGGAGGAGGAGGAGGAGGAGCAGGAGGAGGAGGAGGACGCCGACGACGAGCAGGAGCAGAAGGAGGCGGGGAGGCAAACGCCGCCGTCGTCGTCGAGGCCGCCGTCGTCGTCGGCGGCGTCGAGGCCGCCGTCGATCGGAGGGCGCGCCTCGCCGGGCGCCGCGCCGCCGCCGGCGCCCGCCGCGCGCAGCTGCGCCAGCGCGGCCTCGCGGTCCGCCTCGGCACCCTGCAGCCGCGCCTGCAGACGAAGGGCAGACGACTGCAGAAGCCGAAGCCCGTGGGTCGGCGCTGGGCACCCTCCCTGATTAGCCAACAGAGGGCCCCTACTCCATATTTCGTAATAAAGGCAGGGGGGTCTCGTTTCGGGGGGGGGGTCTGTTCCGGGCTATCTTGGAGGGCCTGGGGGGTCTGGGGGCGATGTGTTGGAGGGTTCTCCCACGGGGGAGGTCTGAAATGGCTTGTCTTGGAGGGTCCAGACCCCCTCCCTTTTATTACGAAATCTGGAGTAACCCTTTGGAAGAGGAGCTAAGTTGGGAGGGCCAAAAACATTAGGGACAGGGCGTCTTTCTGCAGACGTATCAGACCGAACCGCCCAACATGATTCTCCCTGGTGCGAAGACGGGGACCTACGTGAGGCCACGCCTTCATCGTGTTATCAGGGTCGGGGTGTCTCTTCTGCTCGATGATTCTTGGGTCGGCGCTGGGCAACCTTCCCCTGTGGCGTGCAGCGCGCAGTGGGGGCGGCGCCAGAGGGGGCTCCGTCTGCCCTAGAAGCCCTGGCGCCAGGGGCGGCCCTGGCGGCGCCTCAAAGCGCCGCACCCTGAGGCGCTCCGCGCGCCAGGGGACGGGGGCCCAACGCCGATCCAAGAAAGGTTATGCTTGTGCTGCTTTTACGTGTTCCCCTTCTCTTTGATAGTAGTGTTAGTATTAAGATTATTGCCATCGGTCATATTTTTCTCCAAATAGGCTTGCCCAACCGGAGGTCTAACTCAAACCTTACTAATTGGTCCGCTGCCCTCCCTAATTCCTATGCCCCGCCCCCCTACGTCCTATGGCTATGCCTATGCCTATGCATCCCCCTAACTCCAATGGCACCCCCCCTTAATTCCAATGGCCCCCCCAGCTATTTCCAATGGCGAGTCCGATGGATTCCCATGGATTCCTATGAGTCGCTTGCCCTTGCTTGTTCTTGCGTGCTCTTGCTTGGCTTGCTCGTGTGGCTTGCTCTCGCCTGCTTCCTCTTGGATGCCCTTGCTTGCTTGCACTTGATCGGTGGCTCTTGCTTGCTTGGTATTGCTCGCATGCGCTTGCTTGCTTCCGCTTGCTTGCTTGCGCTTGCTTGATGTTGTTCCTCCTGTCCTGCTCCCGCCCTCCTTTCGTCCTCCTCCCAGCCTCCTCTCGCACTCTTCCTGTCCTCCTATCTTTGTGGAGTCAACGCTGGCTGATATTTTCATGTATAGTAAGATGAGTCTTAGTAGTGGTAATGTGCACACGATTACTATTATTACTGTTGCTGCTTAGTATTATGATTCGTGTTCGTACGCATACTACTAGTAACATTATGATGTTTGATCAGTTATGCCAGGGTTGACTCCAAATATATTAGACGACTCACATAAAGGAATCAGAGGAATCAAGCATGCTTGGAATCCGGAACTCATCAAGCAAGCAAGCGTGCAAGAAAGCGCGCAAGCGCGCAAGCAAGCAAGCAAGCAAGCAAGCAAGCAAGCAAGCGTGCAAGCGTGCAAGCGTGCAAGCAAGCAAGCAAGAAAGCAAGCAAGCAAGCAGGCATGGGCACAGGCCTCGTAGACATAGGAGTTAGGGGGGAGGCATAGGCATAGACATAGCCATAGAAATTAGGGGGACATGGGAATTAAGGGGGGGCAGCGGACCAATTAGTAGGGCTTGAGCTGGGACTCTTATTGGGCAAGCCCGTCTGGAGAATTGTGATTGCTATCATTGGAATTCGTATGATTATTCTTCCCACTGTTCTTCTGACTCGAGAGCCTCGCAAGCGGCCAGCTGCCTCGCGCCAGCGGCGAGCTCCTCCGCAGTGGGCACGGGGGGGGGCTCTATACGGAGCGGCCCGGCAAGGCGGAGAGCCCGGACCTCATCCCCGGCCACGGGGGAAGCGTCGATCCTTTTTGCCCAGGTCCGCAACCTTCCTCCCACCCCATACAGTCGAGGCGTTGACCTAAGAAACCCTAAATAAGGAACGAGGCCCCTTTTTTTCATAAATTAACCTTCGACTTCCCATAGAAAGCTTAAGGAAAACCTTGGGCAAGGTGTGGAACAATTCAGGAACACCGAGCCCCTCCCCAACGAAAAGGGTTCCTTCTTCAGCGCCCCGACTGTAGGGGAACGAACAACGACATAAACGTAGAAACTCGGAGGTCCGCGCCGAATGCTCGGATCTGCGCTGGACCACCTCCCTGGCGCGCGGAGCGCGCCAGCGGCGGCGCCGGAGGCGCCGCCAGGGGGCCCCGGCGCCGATGCGAGAAATCCGCGCGTACCTCCGAGTTTCTATCTTTGTGTCATTGTTCGTTCCCCGAACCCCTCCTCCTCTTTGTCTGAATGTCCTCCACCTCTCCCTGAGAGGGCGGAGGGAGGAAGCCGAAGCGGGAACTGCGCGGTGGCGACCGAGGGGGGGAAGTGAGCAGCGGCGGGCCTTTCCAGAAGGCTCGAAGGCCCCCGGCCTTCTGAGAAGTCTTCGAAGCCTCCCCGGAAGACACCAGAAGAACCTCCCAGAGGCGCGAGGGCGTCTGTGAAGCTCCGCCTCCTTCCGAGAAGGCCTTCTCCTTCTCACTTCCCCCCCTCGCTCGCCGCCGATCTGGGGCTGCGGTCGTACTTTTCACGACGTCGCCCATTCGAAAGGGGCCCTGGGACACCCAAACGAATAGACACAACAATAACCGGATCCCCCTATATCCTCCAATATGTTCTGGGTTTTTGTCTTCCCCCCCACTTCCCATATTTTCCAATACTTTCTGGGGGGTCGACGATGCCCCCCAGGGGAGGAGAGGAGGAGGAGGAGGAGGAGGAGGAGGAGGAGGAGGAGGAGGAGGAGGAGGAGGAGGAGGAGGAGGATGAGGAGGAGGAGGGGGAGGAGGAGGGGAGGAGGGGAGAGGGAGGAGGAGGAGGAGGAGGATTTTCCAGTCTGCGTGTTTTTCCCCCTCCCGAAATGCCTCGAGGCGTCGGATCCCAGGGAGGGACACGGAGAGACGGCTCCTCTCGGGCTGCCCGCGGCGTCCCAGGGGGCCGCCGGGGGGGGGCGAAGTCTTCTCGCGGGTCGGGCGAGAGGGGGGATCGCAAAGGGGGGGGGGGTTGAGAGTCAGCTCACGCAGCTGATTCTCCCCGCGCCTCCCGGCGCCGGGAGGTGCTCATGCATCGAGGAGTGGGCCCGGCGGCGGGGCCGAAGCCAGCTGCATGCAGCAGACTTCGTACCCCCCCCCTTTCCCAAGCCCCCCCTTTCGTCCGGCCCCCGATCCTCGGGCCTCTGATTCGCCCTCTCGGGGCGGTCTGGGCCCTTCTTGGGGCGGCATCCTCGACAAGCTCGCTCGTGCTTCTCGCGCGCCCCGGCGCTGCTATGGGTGGGACGGGGGCTTCGATCCTCATGTCGCGTTCCTCGTGGTAGTAGCTTGACTGATGTCGTCGTCGTCAAGGTCGTCGTAGAGGTCATCGTAAAGGTCGTCGAAAAAAGCTCGCTCGTCCTCGCTCGACGCCAAGGTGTGCAGCTTGTCTCTCTGCGAGCTCGAGTCAGGGCGCCAGGCGTGGGTCCCCCCCGCCTCCCCGCCCCGGCCGCGCTACCGACACGTCTGGGGGCGCGACAGGGAGGAGTCATCTAAAGGAGGGATGGAGGAGGAGGGAGGAGGAGGAGGAGGAGGAGGAGGAGGAGGAGGGAGGAGGAGGAGGAGGGAGGAGGAGGAGGAGGAGGAGGAGGGAGAGAGGAGGAGGAGGAGGCGGAGGAGGAGAGAGGAGGAGGAGGAGGAGGAGGAGGAGGAGGAGGCAGGAGGAGGAGGAGGAGGAGGAGGGGGGGGGGGGAGGAGGAGGAGGAGGAGGGGAGGAGGAGGAGGAGGAGGAGGAGGAGGAGGAGGAGGAGAGGAGGAGGAGGAGGAGGAGGAGGAGAAGGAGGAAGACACTCTTACTTGCGGGTCCCTCTTTCGGGGAAACGTAAGGCTCGAGGAAGCCAGAATGAGGAGGAGCAGGGAGGATGAGGAGGAGGAGGAGGAGGAGGAGGAGGAGGAGGAGGAGGAGGAGGAGGAGGAGGAGGAGGGTTTGCCAACGCTTTGTTGACGAGCGCGTCCTGGGTTTTGGGGCACGCCGCGACCGAGCGCCCAGGGCCAGCCCAGGAGGCAGCGTCTCTTGACATGGACTTCCACTGTAGGAAATCGACGGATCGGATCGAAATCAGCGTGGACGTTTTGGGATCATGGATGGGGCTCGGCCCCGGGAGGAGGAAGAGGAGGAGGAGGAGGAATAAGAATAGGAGGAGGAATAGGAATAGGAGGAGGAGCAGGCTGGAGATAGGACATCGACGGATCGGATCGAAAGCAGAGTCGACGTTTTGGGGTCGGGTTCGGATCGACGCGGACCGCGAGCGGCCCCGGCGGGTCCTCCCGCAGCTGCGCCTCCGAGCGCTCCGCGGCCTCGCGCCGGGCCTCGAGCTGCTGGCGCTCCTCGGCCAGCGCGGCCAGCTGGCCCTGGAGCCCCTCCAGGCCCTCCCGCTCCTCGGGGCGGGGGGGGGCGCTGGGTCCTCCTCCCCGTCCACGTCTCTCTCTCTCGCTCTTTCTCTCTTTTTTTCTCTCTCTCTCTCTCTCTCTCTCTCTGTCTATCTCTCTCTCTCTCTCTCTCTCCCCCCCTTCTCCCGATCCCTCGGACCCCCCCTCCCCCCTTCCCCCCTCTCCCCCCCCCTCGCCCCCCTTCCCTCCCCTCCCCCTCCCTGGCCCCCCCCCCCTCTCCCCTCCTACCGCGCCGCTCGCCCCCCTCGCCCCTCCCGTCCCCATCCCCTCCTCCCCTCGCCTCGTCGCCGTCCTCTCCTGCCTCGCCCCCCCCCCCTCTTCCAGACTCCCTCCCTTGGAAGACGAAGAGGGAGAGAGAGAGAGAGAAAGAGAGAGAGAGAGGAAAAAAAATAGAGAGAGAGAGAAGCGAGAGAGAGAGAGAGAGAGAGTTAGACCGAGAGAAAGGTAGAGAAAGAGAGAGAGAGAGAGACGAGGGGTTTAGAAGAGAGCCAGGGGAGCAGGAGCAGGACGCGGGAGAGGGGGGCGGCCAGGGGCGAGGACGAGACCGGGGCAGGCCCGTGCGGAGAGCGGCGAGGCCGCGGCAGGGCGCGCGGAGAGAGCGACGGAGGGACGGGCACGGCGAGGGCGGCGGAGGGCGGAGCACGCCGGGGAGCACGGGGGGCGGGCGAGGAGCACGGGAGACGAGGGCGACGGCGAGAGGGACGAGAGGGAGAATCCGTCCTCCGCCTTCGTCCTCCTCCTCCTCCTCCTTCGTCCTGCTCCCCCTTCGTCCTCCTTCGTCCTCCTCCTCCGTCCTCCTTTGTCCTCCTCCTTCGTCCTCCTCCTCCTCCTCCTCCGTCCTCCTTCGTCCTCCTTCGTCCACCTTCGTCCTTCGCCCTCCTTCGTCCTCCTCCTCCTCCGTCCTCGTCCTCCCTGGTCCTCCTCCTCCTCCTCCTCCTCCTTCGGCGTAGTCCTCCTCCTCCTCCTCCTGCTCCTCCTCCTCCTCCTCCTCCTCCTCCTCCTCCTCCTCCTCCTCCTCCTCCTCCTCGTTCCCCTCCGCAGCGGAGGGATACAGCACAGCTGGCCCGTGTCACAAGGATGCGCGGTAGGGGTGGAAAGGCCTGGGAAGGCCAGTTCAAAGCTTTCCGAGCGGGGCGCGGCCAGCGAAAGTGGCCAACGATGACCTCGAAAGGTTACCCATCCTTACTATGCGGGCTTGACTGTAGGAGCTCGACCACAAGAAGCCTTCCACAAGAAACCCCCTGTCAAGGTCCGCTCGTCCGACCCACCCGTCAGGATGTGCCACTTGTTTTCCTGCGCCTCTCCCCCTCTCCAGCTAACCAATCTCTCTCGTGCTCCATCCTTCTCCCTCCCTCTTGTCCCTTCCCTCCCCCATCCACTCCCCTGTGTTAGGGGCTGCGCCAAGTACATGTGGCAGGTAAGGAAGATATCCCTCAACAGGGGGATGGGTATCGAGGGTTTGGAAAAGACACAAATAAGCGAACAACCTGAAAATTAAGATCGTCGTCGTCGTCGTCGTCACCCGCGACCGCCCCGCGCCCCCCTGGACCCCCGTCGCGACCCTCCCGCGATCCACCCGCGACCCACCACTTGCCCCCCTGCCCCACTCTTACCCGCAACGGCGGGGTGCTACAGTGGAGACCAGTCCACAAGAAACCGTCCACAAGAAACCCAACCCTGAGTCCCCAGGACGTCCATGGATTTTTGGACTTGGAACGTCGCGCCTTCCATAGCAAAACCATCGAAACCCAAGAAACCCAGGGCACCCTGGAGGCCAACAGGGTGTTTCTTGGCATGGGTCCCCACTGTACGCAAGTTGTTCCGCCACCCCGATCTCCGCGATAAGCTGCAGCTCGGCAGCCCGTCGCTTCTCCTGCTCCTCCGCAAGGAGGCTCTGGAGGCTCTGCTCCTTCTCGGAGGCGGCCAGCAACTCCTCCAACTGCTTGCTGGAGCCAGGAGCGCTCGACTCGGCCATCTGAGCTGGCGTCAGCTTGGTGGTGCCCCTCGGAGACCACTCCGCTGGCGGCCCCCTGCTGGCCTGGGAGGGGGACAAAACGAGGCTCACAGTCGCCTCGAGAGGGAACGGCGACGTGCTGGCTGGATGACGTGCTCCGCATGGAACTTGGGAGATCCCGTCCACGGTACCCATCTGGCGACGAGCCCCACCCCCGCTGTCGTCAAGACTCTGGGCACAATACATACGCCTCCGTGCCCCGCAGGTGAGAATTGTTGTATGCGGCGTTTCGACACTGGGCGGAAGGGGGGGGGTCTGGCTCCCGCCGGACATCTGCTTAGCGCGACTGTTTGCAACAGTGCCTCTTACGGGGGAGACCCCGCCTGCTCGAAACGGGCGCCAAGAAGCCGCCAGGATCTGCTCCATAGGGGGAGGGGGGGCTGGGAAGGGGGGTGGGACTGCGAGGGCCCGCCCCGATCGGCAGAAGAGCGATCCACAAACGACCACAGTGCCAAGGCGCTGCCTGGCAGGGTTTCACTGCTACTCCGAGGGGCACGCCCGCCCCCCCCGTGCCCATTGCAAAAAAACAGCGGGGCCGCGCTCCCGAGGCCACGACCCCGAGCAACCAAAAACGACGGTGGAGGCCAGTCCACAAGAAACCGTCCACAAGAGACCCAACCCTGGGACCCCAGGACGCCCATGGATTTTTGTTCGTCTGGGAACGCCGCGCTTCCCACGGCAAAACCATCAGAGCCCAAGAAACCCAAGGCACCCTGGAGGCCAACAGGGCGTCTACGGTCCCGAGTGGAGACCAATTGACCTGCGCCGCCGAGGCCACGAGGGAGGGAGGGAGGGAGGGAGGGAAACCCTTGAACAAAAACAGGGGGCCTTCGCCCCCGAGGCCACGCTCCCGTGCAGAACAGTGTTGTGGATCCGCACCCCCGAGCTTCCCGCGTGGCCGCAGCAGGCGACCGAGGCCGCCAAGATGGCTCAACATGCCTCTCAGAAGGCCAGCGCTTCCCAAGATGGCCTCAGCACGGCTCCAGATGTGGCCCGAAGGCCCAAGCGGTCCCCAAGAGGCCCCCAAGACGGACCAAGCGGGCCACAAGGGGACCCCTAGTAGGGCCCCAAGAACCCTGAATGACACAAGTTCGCAGATGTTTCACGCATGCGCTCTGAACGCTGCGGAGAAATACCATATTGCCTCTGCGCAGGGGGGGGGCTGCCGTAGCACATCGTTGCTGGTTTATTAAGCCCAGTGACCTCCTTCCCTAGTCGTGTGCCTCCTCCTCTTCCTCCGTCTCACCCTTCCTCTCCCCCTCTTTTCCTGAATGGTCTCTTTGCGAGTCCAATGACGTCCGCCACCCAGCACTGGTCTATGTACGGCGGCTGTGTACCGTCGCGATTGCATTCAACATTCGTCCCCACGTTTTATTGACATTCGTTTCACGTGTATGATTGCCGATAAGTCCTCCAGGAACAACTCATTCCAACCATCAATTCGCGTCTTCACCTTTTCTGGGATTCCTTCAGCTCCAGACGGAACAAGAAGCATCGAATAGTGCCCCAAACTATCAAGGGGCCTCGTGATCCAAGATGGCCTCAAAGAACTCCAAGACGGAGAAGGCCCAGGAGAGCCCCTATGGACACCAAGCTTGCCCTACAAGAGCCCAAGACGACCTCTATCGAGCTCCTCCCCATGTCATCACCGTCATGATGTTCCACATCACTCTCGTCCACTACGATGACCGACTTCCTCCTATTATTTCTCCTCCTCCTCCTCCTCCTCCTCCTCCTCCTCCTCCTCTTCCTCCTCCTCGTCCCTATCGCCCCATACTCATCACCGTTTCCTTCATCCTCATACTCCGCCCCAGGATGGCCCCAGATGGTCCGGAACAGACTGCAGACGCCCGCGCTGTGACACTGCGGCGGCGCCCCGAACGCCGCTCCGCATCACGCCCTCCTCCTCTGGCGTGGCAGCCTCGGCTTCATCCTCACACTCCGCCCCAGGACGACCTCTATCGAGCTCCTCTCCATGTCATCACCGTCATGATGATCCACATCACTCTCGTCCACTACGAAGACCGACTTCCTCCTATTATTTCTCCTCCTCCTCCTCCTCCTCCTCCTCCTCCTACTACTACTACTCCTCCTCTTCCTCCTCCTCGTCCCTATCGCCCCATACTCATCACTGTTTCCTTCATCCTCGCACTCCGCCCCAGGACGACCCAAGATGATCCAGGACAAACTAAAGACGCCCGAGGGGTGCTCTTGTGACGGCGTCCCCAACACTGCGCCGCATCACTCCCTCCTCCTCCTCCTCCTCCTCCCTCCTCCCTCCTCCTCCTCCTCTCCTCCTCCTCCTCCTCCTCCTCCTCCTCCTCCTCCTCCTCCTCCTCCTCCTCCTCCTCCTCCTCCTCCTCCTCTCCTCCTCCTATCCTCCTCCTCCTCCTCCTCCTCCTCCTCCTCCTCCTCCTCCTCCTCCTCCTCCTCCCTCCTCTCCTCCTCCTCCTCCTCCTCCTCCTCCTCCTCCTCCTCCTCCTCATCCTCCTCCTCCTCCTCCTCCTCTCCTCCTCCTCCTCCTCCTCCTCCTCCTCCTCCTCCTCCTCCTCCTCCCCTCTCCTCCTCCTCCTCCTCCTCCTCCTCCTCCTCCTCCTCCTCCTCCTCTCCTCTCCTCCTCCTCCTTCTCCCTCCTCCTCCTCCTCTCCTCCTCCTCCTCCTCCTCCCCTCCTCCTCCTCCTCCTCCTCCTCCTCTCCTCCTCCTCCTCCTCCTCTGGCGTGGCGGCCTCGGCTTCTCGGCCCGCGGGCCTTCGCAGCCTGCGCCAGCGCGGCCCGCAGGGCGCTGGCGTCCTTCGGGGATCTGCTGACCCGGGCCACTCCGCACCCGGGTCGGTCAGGCCTTGCGGCATCCTGCGGGAGACTGCAGGATCCTGCGCCCGAGCCCGGGTCGGTGCACCCCTGGCTCCGCAGGCTCCTGCAAGATCTGGCGCTCAGGCTGACCCCCGTTTGCATCAGCCATAGGTCGGGCATGTCCTCCTACAGGTGGTTCTGGGGTGACATGTGAGTAATAGTGTGTATGTATATATATATATATATATATGTAAACTAGAGACATCGCGCGCTTCGCGCGCGCTCAAGTTCAAGCTAGGCTTGATGGGCAAAATCATAAAATCTTATGTTTGCCGCTTTTTGAATCCAACAATTATATTGGAAACCCTGCGCAATCTTCGGAACCGTATAGGAAGGGAACTGCGGAAACGCGGAAATCTGTATTTTCCGTTCGGTATTCACCGATTTGGGGGGGACGAGCTTGAAAAAAAAGGAATTGTGGGATTTCCATTGTTTCCCAACCCTCCTTGGTTGGGCTGTCGTTTTGAATAGAGCACTGCGGTCTCCAGTCCTCCTCCTCCTCTTCCTCCTCCTCCTCCTCCTCGCGCCTCCCGTCTCCTGCTCCCCTCTTGTCTCCTCGTGCTTTGTGCGGACCTCGCCATCCCTGGGGGGCTGCGATCTGCGACGCTGTCGCCACTTTCAAGGACTGCTGGTGGGTCCTGCGGAGTGAAGCACCGCAAGAATCTGAACGAGACCTCGCTGTCCCTGGGGGCTGCGATCTGCGACACTGTCACCACTTTCGAAGGCTGCTGGTGGGTCCTGTGGAGTGAGGCACCGCGGGGATCTGAGCGAAACCCCGCAGTCCCTGGGGGGCCTGCGATCTGCGACACTGTCGCCACTTTCGAGGGCTGCTGGTGGGTCCTGCGGAGTGAGTCACGGCGGGGATCTGAGCGAGACCTCGCCGTCCCTGGGGGCTGCGACCTGCGACATTGTCGCCACTTTCGAAGGCTGCTGGTGGGTCCTGCGGAGTACGGCACCGAGGGGATCTGAGCGAAACCCCGCAGTCCCTGGGGGGCTGCGATCTGCGACACTGTCGCCACTTTCGAAGGCTGCTCGTGGGTTCTGCGGAATGAGGCACCGCAGGGATCTGAGCGAGACCTCGTCGTCCCCTGAGGGCTGCGATGTGCGGCTCTCGCCACTTTCGAGGGCTGCTGGTGGGCCCCGCGGAGTGAGGCACCGCGGGGATCTGAGCGAGACCTCGCCGTCCCTGGGGGGCTGCGATCTGCGACGCTGTCGCCGCTTTCGAGGGGTGCTGGTGGGTCCTGCGGGGTGGGGCAGCGCGGGGATCTGAGCGAAACCCCGCCGTCCCTGGGGGGCTGCGGTCTGCGACACTGTCGCCACTTTCGGGGGCTGCTGGTCTGAGGGAATTTGAGCGAGACCTTGCCGTCCCTTCAGTGCTGCGATCTGCGACACTGTCGCCACTTTCGAAGGCTGCTGGTGGGTCCTGCGGAGTGAGGCAGCGCGGGGATCTGAGCGAAACCCAGCCGTCCCTGGGGGGCTGCGATCTGCGACGCTGCTGCCACTTTCGACGGCTGCTGGTGGGTCCTGCGGAGTGAAGCACCGCAAGAATCTGACCGAGACCTCGCCGTCTCTGGGGGGCTGCGATCTGCGACACTGTCGCCACTGTCGAGGGCTGCTGGTGGGTCATGCGGAGTGAAGCACCGCGGGGATCTGAGCGAGACCTTGCCGTCCCTTCAGTGCTGCGATCTGCGACGCTGTCGCCACTTTCGAGGGTTGCTGGTGGGTCCTGCGGAGTGAGGCACCGCGGGGATCTGAGCGAGACCTCGCCGTCCCTGTGGGGCTGCGATCTGCGACACTGTCGCCACTTTCGAAGGCTGCTGGTGGGTCCTGCGGAGTGAGGCGCCGCGGGGATCTGAGCGAGACCTCGCCGCCCCTGGGGGGCTGCGATCTGCGACACGGTCGCCACTTTCGAGGGCTGCTGGTGGGCCCCGCGGAGTGAAGCACCGCGGGGATCTGAGCGAGACCCCGCCGTCCCTGGGGGGCTGCGATCTGCGGCACTGTCGCCACTTTCGAGGGCTGCTGGTGGGTCCTGCGGAGTGAAGCACCGCGGGGATCTGAGCGAGACCTCGCCGTCCCTGGGGGGCTGCGATCTGCGACGCTGTCGCCGCTTTCGAGGGGTGCTGGTGGGCCCCGCGGAGTGAGGCACCGCGGGGATCTGAGCGAGACCTCGCCGTCCCTGGGGGGCTGCGATCTGCGAGGCTGTCGCCACTTTCGGGGGCTGCTGGCGGGTCCTGCGGAATGAGGCACCGCGGGAATCTGAGCAAGAACTCGCCGTCCCTGGGGGGGCTCTGGAGAGTGCTGCGGGATACGTTAGGCGCAACGGGCGCATGGCACAGCCAACGGGGGTGATTTGTGAAACAGACCATATGCCGGGCGATGGCCATAACGTTGCGCCTACACGTATCCCGCGGGGGCTCTCAAGAGCTGTTGCGGGATACGTTGGGTGCAACGGGCGCATGGCACAGCCAACGGGGGTGATTTGTTATGAGCCCTTAAATCTTGATCGGGGGCCTGCGAGCCTTCCGATTGCTGCTCGCAAAATCACATGCGTCCATGTTACGTCATCGCCCCCGTTGTAGCAATCCTGATGTACTTACGCCCCGCATTGCGCAAGGGTTGGGTACGTCGCCAGGGTAATTTCAAGTTGCCGTGCCTGGGCTGTGGGGCAGTTTCTGGATACAGGCCACGGTCCGTTGAGTTGCCTCTCGGGTCTTCGTTCAAAACTACGCAGGTGGTGAGTTTAGAATAAAGGAAATTAAGATTCGCCAACTTATGGGATCATAGGATCTCGATTTCTACGGTGGTTTCAAGGGCAGCGAAGAGGACACGAAGACGATCCAAGAGAGTGCCAAGACAGCGTCAGAGAGTTCATCAGCATTCGCGAAGCATTGTTGCATGGGTCTTGATGGTGCTCGAGGAAGAGGATAGAGTAGGAGTCCCAACTTGAAACAAAAGAATATCTGGCATTCCTTTTTTTCAAAATTGCTCGGTCTTGGAGCGTTGGAAGCGGGAAGACGTGAGACGGCGAAAAACGTAGACAAAAACCACCGGAAAGCAACGACGTTACCCTCTTCGGGCTCTCTCGGGACGGCTCTCGAAGCTCTCTTGGGCTGTTTTGGGGGCCTCGTCGGGGATGTTTTGGGAGCCTCTCAGGGGTCTGGGGTGTGTTGGAGGCCTCTGGGGGGGCCCGGAGTCCTCTCGGAGGTCTCTGGAGGCCTCCTACGCCCGCTCGTGGGCTCATCTTGGGCCTGTTCTGGGGTGGTCTGGAGCTGTCCTGGGCGCCTCTTCGGCAGTCTTGGGGCCAGCTTGGCCCGTCTTGGGGCCGTCTCGGGGGCCTCGTGGGCGGTCTTGGGGGCCTCTTCGGCCGTCTCGGAGCGTTGGAAGCATGAAATGGTGAGAAGGCCAAAAACGCTGGAAAAAACCATGACAACTAACGATGTTAGGTTCTCCAGGCGCTCTCGGGAGGCCTCTCGGAGCTCTCTTGAGGTCTTCTGGAAGCCTCTTGGGAGCCTGGAGAGCCGCCCGAAAGCTATCCTGGGTTGCTTGGGAGCGTCTTGGGCAATTCTTTGACGTTCTGGGGGCTTCTTGGGGTCGTCGCGGGCTCTCTTTGGGCATTGTGGCGGCTCCCCGGGAGGCCGAAAGCGCGGTACCAGGAGGACGCCCCAGGAGGGGCCCGGCGTATTTGTTGATATTCTATATATACATATATATATATATATATATATATATATACAACACGTGTATATTGTATGTTAACAATAAGACGTACTACGAATAAGACTGATAGCGGTGATAATAGTAATGATTCTAATACTAGTACGAAGCTAGTAGTAATAATAATCATAGTACTACTAACAACAATACTAATAATAATCCCTATGTCACTCTATATACAGGTGTATCAATTTCTATTATTGCTTCACAAAAAATCTCCAGACTACCACATCAAGAGTAGACAACCACAAAAAAGCACGGCACATCGTCACCCGACTGATTTCTACTGCTTTCGAGTGGTCCTCCTGTGAGCACCCCGCCTCTTGGACCCCGAGTCCTGCTCTGAGCCCGCAAGCCGGGCCTCGAGATCGCGCACGGCGTCGGCCTCCAGGGCCTCCAGCGCCGACCTCGAGGCCGCCGCCGAGCGCAGGCGCTCCTGCGGGGGCACCGCTCCGTCGCCCTTGCCCGCTCCGCATCCCGCCCGCCGCCTGCCGCCTCCTCCTCCTCCTCCATACTCCTCCTCCTCCTCCTCCTCCCTCCTCCTCCTCCTCCTCCTCCTCCTCCTTCTCCTCCCCTCCTCCCTCCTCCTCCTCCTCCTCCTCTCCTCCTCATCCTCGTCTCCTCGTCCTCGTCCTCCTCCTCCTCTCTCCCTCCTCCTCCTCCTCCTCCTCGTCCTTCCTCCTCCTTCTCCTCCTTCTCCTCGTCTTCCTCCTCCTTATCGTCTTCCTCCTCCTCCGACTCCTCCTCCTCCTCCTCCTCCTTCTCGAAGTCCATGCTTTCACTCATTGGTTTGTCGCTGTCATGTCGCCCCTCCTCTTACACCTCATTTAGCCTCTGCCTACCCCCTCCCCCGTGCGCCGGGCCCGCATACGTCACGGTCGTGTGCGCGGTGGACGCACTCGACGGCTGCCACAAGGAGGTGGGGGAGGTGGCAGGAGGAAGGAGATGACCTGTCTGTAAGATCTATATGTGATTATGATTTGAATGTCTTGAGTTAATACCTCGGAAATGTTTCGGGGGTTCTGGTCCCTCTGCTTTTCCTGGGCCCCTCTTTTTGGGCCTCACCCTGCTGTTGGGCCCATATGAGCTCAACACCCGCCTGGCGGCAGAGGTTCGACCTCTCTTCCGCGGACAGCCGTTCCGTCCTCCTCCTCCTCCTCCTCCTCCTCCTCCTCCTCCTCCTCCTCCTCCTCTCATCATCATCATCATCATCATCATCATCATCATCATCATCATCATCATCATCATCATCATCATCATCATCATCATCATCCATCATCCTCCTCATCCTCCTCTCCTCCTCCTCCTCCTCCTCCTCATCCTCCTCCTCCTCCTCCTCATTCTCCTCCGCCTCCACATGGTTATCCTCCTCCTTCTCCTCCTCTTCCTCCTCCTATTCCTCCTCCTCCTCCTCCCTCGTCCCGTCCTCCTCCTCTTACGCCTCATCCACCCGACGCGTCCCCTCCTTCCTTCGAATCCTCATACTCCGATTCACTTAACGACTTCTGAAGCTCCTCCTCCTCTCTCTCCTCCTCTTCCTGCTCATTGTCCTCCTCGTTCTCCTCAATATCCTCGCTCTACTTATCTTTCTGGTAATCCTCCTCCTCCTCCTGTTCCTCCTCTCCCCCAGTCCTCCCTTCTTAACCTCGTGTCCCAATTCATTATCGTCTTCCTAACCTCTCTCCCTTTCTCCCTCGCCCTTCCAGCCTTTACTCTGATGCGTTGGAACTCACAGTTAAGCATCACTGGAAGCTGCGCAAAATGTACACAAGACATGATCAAAGCATAAAGGAGCCTACATCGCGCGCGCCTCGCAAAAGGCATTCACACATCACGATGATCGGACGCTGTGCACTTGGCAATTGGCGTTTCACGCTTAGCAGCATCCAGTTACTTGCGGGTCGTTGTCACACCTCACGCAGGACATCAGGATTCCCATAAGACCGCAGAAACTGAAGGGCCTCGACCCTGCGTTTTACCGCTGCCACACTTCAATATGATGCCTCCCCCACGAGGAGGAGGAGGAGGAGGAGGAGGAGGAGGAGGAGGAGGAGGAGGAGGGAGGAGGAGGAGGAGGGGGCGGAGGCGGAGGAGGAGGAGGGGGAGGGGGAGGGGAACGAGGGAGGACTGCCCGATCACAGGCCGTCCATGCCAGGAGTGGGGGGCGCCGCGCGCCTTGCGCGCGAGAATCGTCGTAGGTAGGTGCAGAATACAGTCCGAACGGCAGAGAAACTGCTCGAGGAATGCCGGGTAGTACTGCGGGGGCGTGCGCACACTTCACTGTAGGCATGTTGGCCCAGAGCACGAAAGCGACGAGGCCAGGCCACTGGTTAGCTGAACTCCTCGGAGGCCATTGCCACGTTGAAAACATCGTCTCATTTTATCGGGGCTTCGCCTGCTTGAGTCTTACTGCGGTGGGGGGAAGGGGTGGACGGGACCAGCTGCCTCGCTCGAGGTGGTCTTCTAACTACTGCGCTCCGACGCCTGCACAACGCACGCGACTGAGACCACTCACACCACATACCTGAAAAAGCGAAGTGGCTCTCCCGCCGCAGCGCCGCGCAGAGTTGTCCTGAAGATTGCGATCCCGCTTGGGCGCGCCGCAACTGTTTCTGTTGCCAAGCTCGTCGAAGCCAGGCCGCGAGCGAGAGCAAGATTTCGCTTTCGCGTCAGCGCCGTGCGGATGCTCAAGAAAGTAGTGCTACTCCCGAGGTGCGGCGCATGGTTTTCGCTCGCAAATCCTGTGTTGTTTGCCTGAGATGCCAGGCTCTCTCTCTCTCTCTCTCTCTTAAAATTGCGTTCTCGCTTGGGCGCGGCGAACCGCGCAGGGGAGAGCGAACTGTCGCTCTCGCCAGAAAGAGCCGCGAAGGTGTCCCCGAAGTTGTGCTCCTGTTTGAGTGTTGATCATGTTTTTCAATCGCCAATCCTATTGGAAGCGTGGCCGTGCGCCAGCGTTCGGAATGTTGCCTCGTTTCGAAGGCCCGAACATCGCTAAAAATTGCGTTTTGGATTGGGCGCGGCGAAAATGTTCCTGCGCCAAATCGTTAGTAAAGGAACCGTGCCGACCATTGCTCACTCGGTGGCAGCACGCGACATCCCCAAGTTCCAGTCGTGCAAGCATAGACTCTTACATCATGAGAGGGAGGGTGTGAGTGAGCGAAATCCGCCAACTCGCTGTAGCTGGCTAGCTCGACTTCTGTTCCTGTTCCTACACGTCTTCATATATCCACACCTGACTGACTCTTCTACACAGTATGAATCACTGACACATCGCTCGAGTTCGGTCTGCTTGGGGGGTCAGCGGGCCCTCCACCAATTAAGATAAATCCGCAGTCCAAGTGCTTCTTCCGAACGCGTCGCCGACGTTGCCTAAGGCATAGCAGGCAATGGGTGCGGCGCACCTTGCCGCAACGCCGCGAAAGCTTTTGCCGAGAATGATGTTACCGCTCGGGTGCGGGACAGGTCCTTCTTTTGCCGGGACCGCCGAAGGCGAGGCCGCGCGCGAAAGGGAGAGAGACAGAGAAAGAGAGAGCGAGCGAGCGAAAACGAACCAAACGCTGCTGTCGCCAAAACGCCAAGCAAGCTTTGACATTCAAGCGCCTTTTCCAAGCATCAGGCGCCCCGAACAAATCGGAGCGGCCGGTTTGTGGATCATCCTCTGCGGGCAAGCTTCGGGCCCCGAGACGATCCAAAACTGCTCGGGGTGAAGAGCCCACTTCGGGGGGAACAGGGCGGGACGTCGGGGAGGCGACGCACAGGGAAAGTCGAAGCGCCGGATGCATGGGTCGGCAGTCGAAGAGTCGAAGCCGAGAAGCCGAAGCGCGCAGAAAAGTCGAAAAGTCGAAGGGTCGAGGACGGTTCCGATCGCTGGCTCCCGGCGCGAGGAGGGCACCGCGCTGGCCTCGGGCGGAGGCGCACGCCCCAGAGGGGCCCCCGGGGCTCGGGGGCGCGGCGGCCCGCCTGCCTCCCTCCGCTCGGCCTCCTCCTCCTCCTCTCCTCCTCTCCTCCTCCCTCGCCTCCCTCCTCCTCCTCCCTCCTCCTCCTCCCTCCCTCGCCGTCCTCCTCCTCCTCCTCCTCCTCCTCCTCCTCCTCCCTCCCTCCTCCTCCTCCTCCTCCTCCCTCCTCCTCCTCCTCCTCCTCCTCCTCCTCCTCCTCCTCCTCCTCCTCCTCCTCCTCCTCCTCCTCCTCCTCCTCCTCCTCCTCCTCCCGGGGCGGCTGGGCCCTCTGCAGGTGCTGGCCTCGTCGGAGTGCGCGCACGACGGCTCAGATGCTGCAGGAGGGCGGGAGCGGGCGAGGCCCACTGACCCGCTCGAGTCGTCGAGCTTGGCCCGAAAACACCCTAGTGCGTCTGCTGTGCACGTCCTGCGCACACGCACTCAAACTGCAATGCCTTCCAGTCCTCGGACTGCCACGGACGTGAATGTGTCAAGGGCGTCCTCGCGCTGTACACAGGGTGGCATCGTGAAAACCACGTGTGTGATGCGGCCTGTCTTTGCTTTCTTTGTCCGATTGCTTGACGTCGGAAGCTCTGTCCTAATAATGGATTGCTGCAACCTTTGCATGACCGCGGGGGGAGACAATTGTACACCTAGCCCGCGGGCCTGGACCAGAGGTGGTCCAAGCTTTGCAACTGCGGTGTAATCGCGCTGAGCGGTGTGGTGTACACAGGCGCTGTGGTGCACGCAGCAGCTGTGGTGTACACAGGCGCTGTGGCTCAGATCGCTACCTACATTATGTTGCTACGCGCCCTGTCATTCCTGAGCACTCCAAGTAGCTCCCTCCCCCCCCCCAGATGACGGCCGTCATCGGCCCAGAAAAACAAAAATAAGCTCTTTTTGAAACGAATGTGCGCGACAGTACGTCGATGACCGCATGCTGAAAAAAGGACCCACCCTCCATCCATGAAGCTCCAACAACCTTTGCAGGCGAATGTGCGGGACGTTAACGCGATTACTAATCGCATTCTGAAAAGGACCCGCCCTCCATCTGTGAAACTCTTGCGAATGTTTGAAATGAACGTGCGCGACGCTGAAGCGAGAGCCACATTTTGAAAAGGACGCGCCCTTCATCTGCGAGGCTCTTGCAAGCTTGCATCATAACGAATGTGCGCGGCGCCAAAGCGATAATCACCTTCTGAGAAGGACCCGCCTTCAATCCTGGAAGCCAATTTTCAAACGTTTGAAGCGAATGCGCGCGGCGCTGAGGCGAGAGCCACATGTTGAAAGGACCCGCCTCCCATCAATCAACTTCTTTCAAACTTTGAAGCCGAATGCGCGCAACGCTCTGGCGAGAGTGACATTCTGAACAGAGGCCGGCCTCCATCCGCGACGCTGCTGCAAGATTCAAAATGAATGCGCGCGACGTGACGTCGGGAAACACGTTCAGAAAAGGACCCACCCTCCATCCGTGAAACGCTTGCCTCGGGGATGGACAGACCTCCCTTTAGTAAAACGTGGTTTAGTCAAAACGACCTGAGGCCCAAACCTGGCGGGCGCAAGCCTGGAAAATAACGGCCGCGGCGCCCTCTCGAGAGCCGAAAACGGACAATTCACTAATCGACGTGTCACTGTTGGGGGTTCTGTCCGCCCCCGATTGCCAACACTAATACGAATGCGTGTGACGCTGAAGCGCAAACCGCACTCTGAAAAACAGGCCCGGCCTCCCTCCGTGACGCCCGTGCGAGCTTCGAAGACGAAGCTGCGCGACGCTGAAACGATAGCCACATGCTGAACAAAAAAGGACCCGCCCTCCATGCGTGAAGCTCCTGCAGACTGCGAAGTGGGGACAACCCTGGAGGCCTTGCGCGGCAACCTGAGACCCGATTTGCGTCGACTCCACGTCGGATGTACGCCGGTTTCACGTCGGACTACGTCGGATTTACTGAAGGGGCCCCAGGACACACAAATAAACACACAAATAAAAAGATTCCCCAATATTTTCCTATATTTCCCAACCATCCTGTGGCGTTGGGTCCTCGTTTTGAAGAGACGGCGCCCCGCGTTCCTCACCTCCTACTCCCCCCCCCCCCCTCCCTCCTCCATCATCATCATCATCATCATCATCATCATCATCATCATCATCATCATCATCATCATCATCATCATCATCATCATCATCCATCATCATCATCATCATCATCATCATCATCATCATCATCATCATCATCATCATCATCATCATCATCATCATCATCATCATCATCATCATCATCATCATCATCATCATCATCATCATCGTCGTCGTCGTCGTCGTCGTCATCATCATCATCATCATCATTCATCATCATCATCATCATCATCATCATCATCATCATCATCATCATCATCATCATCATCATCATCATCATCATCATCATCATCATCATCATCATCATCATCATCATCATCATCATCATCATCATCATCATCATCATCATCATCATCATCATCATCATCATCATCATCATCATCATCATCATCACCACCGATTTCGGCACACCCCTCACACGTTTCGTGGCCCCATAGGGAGCTCCACCGAAGGCCCCAGTGGCAGGGTTCGCATGCCTCCCCACCACCCATTTCGGCACACCCCTCACACGTTTCGTGGCCCCATAGGGAGCTCCACCGAAGGCCCCAGTGGCAGGGTCCGCATGCCTCCCCACCACCCATTTCGGCACACCCCTCACACGTTTCGTGGCCCCATAGGGAGCTCCACCGAAGGCCCCAGTGGCAGGGTCCGCATGCCTCCCCACCACCCATTTCGGCACACCCCTCACACGTTTCGTGGCCCCATAGGGAGCTCCACCGAAGGCCCCAGTGGCCGCATGCCTAGGGCACGTTTCGTGGCCCCACCGAAGGCCCCAGTGGCAGGGTCCGCATGCCTCCCCACCACCCATTTCGGCACACCCCTCACACGTTTCGTGGCCCCATAGGGAGCTCCACCGAAGGCCCCAGTGGCAGGGTTCGCATGCCTCCCCACCACCCATTTCGGCACACCCCTCACACGTTTCGTGGCCCCATAGGGAGCTCCACCGAAGGCCCAGTGGCAGGGTCCGCATGCCTCCCCACCACCCATTTCGGCTCACTCGTTCGTGGCCCCATAGGGAGCTCCACCGAAGGCCCCTGTGGCAGGGTCCGCATGCCTCCCCACCACCCATTTCGGCACACCCCTCACACGTGTCGTGGCCCCATAAGGAGCTCCACCGAAGGCCCCAGTGGCAGGGTCCGCATGCCTCCCCACCACCCATTTCGGCACACCCCTCACACGTTTCGTGGCCCCATAGGGAGCTCCACCGAAGGCCCCAGTGGCAGGGTCGCATGCCTCCCCACCACCCATTTCGGCACACCCCTCACACGTTTCGTGGCCCCATAGGGAGCTCCACCGAAGGCCCCAGTGGCAGGGTCCGCATGCCTCCCCACCACCCATTTCGGCACACCCCTCACACGTTTCGTGGCCCCATAGGGAGCTCCACCGAAGGCCCCAGTGGCCTGGTTCGTATGCCTCCCCAACACCCATTTCGGCACATCCCTCACACGTTTCGTGGCCCCATGGGGATTTCCACTGAAGGCCCCAGTGACTGGGTTCGCATGCGCCCCCACACCCATTTCGGCACACCCCTCACACGTTTCGTGGCACCATAGGGAGCTCCACCGAAGGCCCCAGTGGCTGCGTTCGCATGCCGCCCCCACACCAATTTCGGCACACCCCTCACACGTTTCGTGGCCCCACAGGGAGCTCCACCGAAGGCCCCAGTGGCTGCGTTCGCATGCCGCCCCCACACCAACTTCGGTGCACCCCTCACACGTTTCGTGGCCCCATAAGGAGCTCCACCGAAGGCCCCAGTGGCAACGTTCGCATGCCGCCCCCACACCCATTTCGGCACACCCCTCAAACGGTTCGTGGCCCCATAGGGAGATCCACCGAAGACGGTACTCACACCAGCATTACTCACAACTGCATATGGTTGGGTCCTTCGCCAGGCTAATTTTGGGGTTTTTCTCTTCCCCCCCACTTCCCACATGTTTGCATATTTTCCTGGGAATCGACGATTAATTGTGTCTGTGTGTTTCTTTCCCTCCTGATTTAGGTCGGACTGACTCCTGAGAATCGCCGCGCGAGCGTCGACCCATAGCTTGCGGGACCGACGTGTGGGCCAGATCGTGCTGCTCTTACGCGCCGCACGAGGCCGCCAGGATCTTCATCATAACGAATGCGCGCGACGCGATGACGACAGCCAAATTCTGAAGAGGGCCCGCCCTCCATCCGTGAAGCTCATGCAAAATTCTAAGACGAGCGGGCGCGGCGCTGAGGCGAGAGCCACATTCTTCGCTGGAAGGGAGGGGGGTGTCACTTCCAGGGGGCGGGAAGTGATGCATCTTCCCCAGAAGGAGGGGGGCTGTTCATGCGTTCCCAAGGTCAGACGTCGCAGCTTACACTTGAGTCGACTGGATCTGGTCACACCCAATTCAGAGGCTACCGCCTGGGGAATCCTGAATTTTTCGCGGTGCAGGCAGACGGGTCGGTCCTCCGCCTCATGCAGCGAGCGGGCACGCTCGTCGCACAAGCGCTGCATCTGGGACTCCTCCAAGCACGACGCGGCAAGCTTCGCCTCGGCGCTGCGACTCAGCTTGTCGGCGGCCTCGGCCTCGGCCTCGAAGGTGGCCGCAGTGCGCGCCTCTTTGGGACCAACAAGGCTCTGCACCTGATTGATACCTATGCCTGATTACCTCTACGGAGCGGGCAGGAGGAGGCATTCAGAGGATTAGGTCCCCTCAAGCAAGACACATTAAAAGATCTATTGGTCGACCACCAGCAGTGGAAACCTGCAATCGCTGGCAGCGATGCGTCCCCCCTCCTGCGCAGCCTTCCCCAAAACACAATACGCTCTGGCTTAGATTTTCTAAACGGCTGAGATGTTATGCGCCCTGCACTTATTCCAAATTCCAACTTCCAATCTGCAATTTTATGAAAACACTTCCGGCTTCCTACTGAAAATTGTTACTGATCCGCGCGAGAGGGAGCCGGAAAAAAAGATGTAACTTCCACCACCTCTGGGTTTCTCTGACTTTCCAGTGGCCCTGGAACACGTAAGAATACACGGGATGTGCGTCCACAGGGCCATGTTCAGTTTAAAGTTCACCAGGTTCGCGTTCCCGAAGCCAAAATCATGTTTACATTACGCCGGATTCGCACCCCCGCGGCCAGATTCCCGCGTAAATTGCGCTTAGGTCGCGCTCCCGGTGCCAGAATCCATAAATTACGCCAGGTTCGCGCTCCCGATGACAGAATCCCCTCGTAAAGTGCACCAGGTTCGCGCTCCCGAGAGCAGCATCCACGCACAAGTACGTCAGGGTCGCACTCCCGAGGCCAGCACCCGTAGCAAGTGGCACCCGGTTCGCGCTCCCGAGTCCGGAATCCCGTGCACCTTGCAATAGGTTCGCGCTCCCGAGGCCAGAATTCCTACGCAGAAAGTTGAGCGCCCGAAATGGGTACGGAAAGAATGGGTACGATGCCCAACAGCGGCTCCTCTTCATTTTGAACAGGACTCGCTGTCGGTGTCGCCGCGGCCTGTGTACATCTGAGACAGGAGGCCGCCTGCCCAACAGCGGCCGCTGTTGGTTTGGGACAACATTTGTTGTTGGGCATCGTACCCATTGTTTCGGTACCCATGTCGGGCGTCCAAAAGTAAGTTGCACCAAACTACCGCCTCCGAGGCCAGAATTCTTTGCTAATTGTACCAAGCTCGCGCTCCCGAGGACACGATCCCCTGTACAGTTCCCCCGATTGGCGGCCTGAGAAAGAAGAAAACGTTCAACAAAAACTCCAACATCTCAAAACACTTTCTGAATGCCAATCGGCTTCGCATGATGTTCCCGGAAATGTTCAAAACAGCGCCGACACGTTCCAGCATAGTTCTGAGATCTCACATTCTGCTGGCGGCAGAGGGCGGAGCCCTAGCGGTAAGGTTGTGACGTCGAAGGTCTAGCACTGGCTCCTCATCCTCCTCCTCCTCCTCCTCCTCCTCCTCCTCCTCCTCCTCCTCCTCCTCCTCCTCCTCCTCCCACTCCTCCTCCGTTTCCTCCTCCTCTATTGCTCGTACACACGGTGGTACTCAGTCGACCCAGGCCGTCACCTTGGAAAGGTGTTCGCAAACGACTCGACCGTACGCGGTGATTTGCCAGCGAATGTCATTGCGGATGTTATGCTCGCCTGTCAACGCAAAACTATGTCTGGGGGAACAAGCCGACAAACAACAATCAAGATGCAACCCTCCCAATCAAAACCAGAGCACGCGCGTGAAACACACACCGAGAGAGTTGCATGGTGTTGAGCGCACGCAACATAAATCACGCACATGTCATGCAGGTGTGTAGACTTGCAGGGGCGTCTGATGCGAACCGCTTGGCCTTCCATGCGTTGAGCACATCGGACGGCCCTGATCGTCAAAACGCATTGCGTTTTGACAACAGAAAGCGCTGCGTTTTGACAACAGAACCGTGCCTCGAGGCACAAAGCGGAGTAGTATCAGGTCCCCGAGCGTCCTCAATCCTTGAAATCAAGTATGTTGGGGCGGCCCGCGTGTTGCCGCGTGCCCTGCGGAGTGCCCCAGGACGAACAAAAATAAGAGGATGCTCCTGAGATGGTGGCCAGATTATCGCGATCTCAACTGCCCGAGGTTCCGCCGGTCCAAAGACGACCGCTGCGCCCGTGAGCTCGCCAGGTTGGGAGAACAAAAAGCCGACACCAGCACCAAGAAAGTATTTGTTTCACGAAATGTCGAATTGCGTTTTGGACCAGCGCGAGCCCGCCCTGGCCTGAGGAATCGCAGAGTGGGCGAGGAGGACGGGGGAAGGGAGACGTCGCGCAGCACGCAGGAGGGAAAGCAGGAAATAACAAGTGCAAGCGAGAAGCGAAACTAGCGGGCGCTCTCGGGAGAAGAGGGAGAGAAGAGGGAAGGCTGCGGCATCCCCCATGGCTGAAGCTTCACTCCCCCCACCGCCGCCCTCCACCGCGCCTACCCCCGCCCGCCCGCCCCCCTCTCATTCCCCCCACCCCTCACCCACCCTATGTACGCCCGCGTCGCATCCCTTACCCTCGTCTGGCCCGACACCAAGGCCCGAGGAGTTCGAATCCGCCGCTCTCTGCGAAAGGGGGCGGTGGCCGCCCGTCGCGGCCTGGGCATAAGACCGTGGCCCCCTCTTGACCCAAGCCCGCAGCCCGTGGCAACCTTCCGAAATCGTCGAGGGGTTCAGCTCGCACATGGGCCGCCGTTCCAGTGGGGGTCTTGGTGCTGGTGTCGGCTTTTTGATGTTGCAGGGAACAAAAAGCCGGCACCAGCACCAAGACGCCACTGGAAAAGTTCGGAGCGCTTTCCCTGTGGGGGCTGAGCGACCCAACGAAGCCAAGAAAGCTTGAGATGGCTCGCATTGCTCTCCGACTTTGCAAGCCACGGTGCTTCCATGATAGGGAAACGTCCCATGCAGCTCATGGCGCCCCTGAGGCCCACGGGGCTCCCATGGCCCGCGGGGTTTCCAAGGCTCAGAAACCAGATGTGGCCCTGACGAGTCAGGGAGCCAATGGTGCCCGCGCGGCATGCTGGGCCAGCGCGGCGCGTTGGGCTTATGCGCGCTGCGGCGCACGTTCGGCCCATGAAGCCCTTTGTGGAACTTGTGGGGTTCATGGGGCTGGCTGGGTTCGCACGGCCCGCGGGACTCGCGCGGCCCATGGAAATCCTAACGCTCACTTGGGGAACTGGAGACGGCCCGTTATGTTCCCACGCGCTCAGAGCTGGCATTCATCAACTCTGGACACGCGAACCCGAAGACACGGGCGACGGCATTCAACAGAGGCTGCAATGTTTTCTTTTCTAGTGGCTTCTTGGTGTTGGTGTCGGGTTCCTGTGCGCCGACAGGTCCCCGTGAGCACCGCCGCGACGCAAGCCGAGGGGGAAGCAACGACGAGCCCAAAGCGCAGAAACGACAAAGCGGGAGGACAGGAAACGAGAGAGGAGGCGACAGAGCGACGAGACAAGACGACACGAGGCAAAGCGACAAGAAAAGAGCCGGAGGCCATGTCGATATTGCAGGAACTGTTTGTTTTTTCTTTTTTTCCCACATACCATAAAACCTCTCTAAGCGACTCCGCTGGCCATACCATAAAACCTCTCTAAGCGACTCCGCTGGCCACCCAGGGAAGGAGACGCAAGTCGCGCGCAGGCTCGGGCCCATGCGCGCCGAGGCAAACCTGAGACAGAAAGCTTTAGCCTACATGGCTACAATGAGGGCTCCTGAGGCCGTCTCGGCGCCGTCTTAGGGCGGTCTGGGGCCGTCCTGGAGCCACCCTGGGATGGTCCTGGGGCGAACTGGGGGACAACGGGGCCATGTTGGGGCCAAGCGGAGCCTTCCGAGAGAGTCCGAGAAGTCTACTAGACCCACGCGGAAGCATGTGAAGCCCATCTCAGAGCTATTCAAACGATACAATGTGGATTCCGTTTTGCACAATCCTCGTTTCTCGAAGGCCCTCGCCCTCCACGAAGTCATCATGGAGCTTCTGATGGGTCATCTCAGGGCCATCTTGATGCCTTCTGCGCTCTCTCTCCCGCTCTCTGTGGCTCCCTTGGGGTCATCTGGGGGCACTTACGTGAAAGTTTGGAGCCCGATTAAGAGGTGGACCACACCACGGGGAATAGCAGCACCACTAGCCCTGGGACCCAAGTAGCCGGACACAGGCTTTCTGCAAGAAGGCCCAAGACATCCGCCCAGACCTCGAAAACTGTGCTTGTGCATGTTTCTGTTACTCGGCTTCGGTTCGAGAAATCGACCTGCCTGTGCACGCCGACCGCACACTCGCACACCTCTTCTCGGGCCCCGAGCCTCAGCCCTGGCCGCGGACAGCTCGGTGCGCAGGGCCGCGCGCGCCGCGGTGGCGTCGCGGAAGTTGGCGACCAGCTTGGCCAGGGCCTGCTCCTCGGGATGTCGCGAGGGGGCCCTGGCAGCCCACCCTGGCGAACACGGCGCCCATGCACCGTACCACGGGAGGCCCCTTAGATAGAGGGTCGGAGTCGATGGGGTGGGAGGATCGCGCCGCATCGCCGATGCATCGGCGATGCGTCGGCGATGCATCGGTGGTGCATCGGCGATGCACCGGCGAGACATCGTCGGCGTCGGCGCTGCGTCGGCGACGCCGTCGTGAAGCGAATCGGGCTCCACATCGGGCCGCATCGCGGCGCGGTTTACAGTCACTCTCGGCGCCGAGGGCCGAGAGACTGTGCACCGCACCACTCCCAGGTCGAGGATGTCGACGGCGCCTCTCGGGCGACGCCACCGTGGCGCGGTGCGCACAAGTCGTCCGCGGAGGAGGAGAAGGAGGAGGAGGAGGAGGAGGAGAGGGAAGAGAAGGAGGAGAGGGAAGAGGAGGAGGACTAGTAGAGCTCGGAGCGGGGACCGAGAGTGGGACGACGGCCCAGCGCTGGCGTGGTCTGGTCGGGGCCCCTCTTGATTCCACGGGCTCCTTGCACCCACGCCTGTACAGGAGGTAGTTGTTCTGGCTCGAGGCGCTGAATGCAACACAGAAGTCACCTGCTGGAAATTGGAATGAGACGAAATCTTTCTGCCTTGGTCACTCCATCTCCTTTCTCTCTAAGTGATTCTTATGACCTCAGCTACCTCCGCCTCCTTTCCATTCACCCCCTCTTTCCTCCCAGATCGAGAAGGGATCATTGAGAGGAGTCATGGCCCTGATGCAGGGGAGATGGGGAAGGAGGGGCGGTGGCGAGACAGCGATGATGCCTTATGGAATCCCTGCAGCTGCGTCGGATGACTCAGGGCCTCACGAAAGCGGAAAGGCTCCTCGTCTGGGGTCGCTCCCCTCCACGGTGCCACTACCGGGGAGCGCAAATGCATCGGAAGGAAAGTGTTTCGCGGGGGGGGAGTTCCTCCCCCGCCCTCGAAGCTTTCCCCCCCCCATGAAGGAGGTCGTGGCTTGTTTGTTCCCCCTCGGAGTTATTTTCCTTTGTTCTCCCCTCGATTCTTTCTTTTCGGGCCGGGCGAAAAAGGGGGATTGCAAAGTGGGGGCTTGAGAATCAGCTCACGTAACTGATTTTCCCGGCGCCTCCCGGCGCCGGGAGGCGCCCGTGTATCGAGGAATGGGCCCGGCGGCGGGGCCGAAATCAGCTGCATGCAGCAGATTTCGTTACCCCCCCTGTCCCCATCCCCCCGTTTCGCCCGGCCCGAGTTTTGTTGTCCTCCCTCGGGGGGGGGGGGGGGCGAGGCCGGAGAGGGGCCGGGGGAAGGGGGCAGGCGCCTCGAGCCTGCTTGGTTTTCTCCACTAGGGGGGGGGGAGCGACGACGACGACGACGACGACGACGACGACGACGACGGCGACGAGGACGACGACGACGACGGCGACGACGAGGACGACGACGACGACGGCGACGACGGCGAAGACGAGGACAGACGACGACGACGACGACGACGACGACGACGACGACGACGACGACGACGACGACGACGACGGCGACGGCGACGACGACGACGAGCAAGCCTGGGAGGCCTGGCGGACGCTACAGCTCGGTCTGGGCCCACTTGGGCTCAAATGCGACGGCCCAACGTGTCGGAGGCGTGCGTAGACCCCTGGGCGGGACTGGATGTAAAGGAACCTGTTTCAATGATGTGTACTGGGGGGCGCCCCCCCGTCCCATTCCACTAACCGGATCTGCCGTCACCCGAAAAAAAACAGCCACGGACGCCAATTCCGAGCATTCTGGCTTGCAACAAATTCAGGATCATCGCAAATTCCACTGAACCTAACAAAACAGAACACGAACATCGAATGTCAACGAACATCGAACGTCGACGTTAAGAAATGAAGAGAGTCTGGTGTCGCGGAAATCAATAGAAGGAAACACAAGAAATCAGAGGCCGACGAAACTCAGCAATGAATAAACGAACACCGAGCATCGACGAAATTCAACAAAATCTGATGAGCGCTGGAAATCGACGGCAATCAACTATCTACGAAAATCTGCAGAAACAAACCAATAAACATTCAATAATAAACACGAACCAGCCAAAAATAAACAAAAATCGGGCGTCGACTACGAATCTGCAAAATATCCTGGCGAAGGATCCAACCATGTGCAATTGTGAATGCCGCGATGTGGGTACCGGGTTCGGTGGAGCTCCCTATGGGGCTACGATACTCGTGGAGGGGGGCCGAAGTGGGGCGGCGCCGCCGTGCGAAAATTACCACTGCGGCTTTCGGTGGAGCTTCCTATGGGGCCACGATCCTCGTGAACGGTGTGGGGGCATGGGCGCGGTGCCGCCATGCGAACTTTGCCACGGGCGCCTTCGGAGCCGCTCCCTATGGGGCCACGACCCTCGCGATTGGTGTGCCAGAACGATTGACGTGCTGCCATGCGAACGTAATCTCTAGGGCCTTCGGCGGAGCTCCACGTGGGGCAACGATCATCGTGAAGGGGTGTGCCGAAGTGGGCTGGATGCCGCCATGCAAACGCCCCCCATCTGGGCCTCAGGTGGGATGCCCTATGTGCCGCTACGCCAGCGCAGCCACTCGGGCCTTCGGTGGAGCTCCATTTGGGGCCTCCATCTTTGCGAACGGTGCGCCGAAATGGGTGCGGTGCCGCCATGCAAACGCAGCCACTCGAGCCTTCGGGGGAGCTCCCTATGGGGCCACGATACTCGTGCGGGGCGTGCCGAAATGGGTCTGGTGCCGCCAAGCGAACGTAGATACTGGGACCGTCGGTGGAGCTCCCTGTGGAGCCACGATGCTCTCGCAGGGTGTGCCGAAATGGACCTGGTGCTGCCATGCAAGCGCAATCATTTGGGCCTTCGGGCGGGTGCCGTACGGGGCCAAGGTCCTCGCGAGGGCTGCGCCACATTGGGTGCGGCGCCGCCATGCGCACTTTGCCACTGGGGCCTTCGGAGCCGCTCCCTATGGGGGGCCACGATCCTCGTGAACGGTGTCCCGAGATGGGCGCTGGGGCCTTCGGTGGAGCTCCTAACGGGGCCACGATCCTCGCGAGGGGTATGCCGAAACGGGCACGGTGCCGCCATGCAAACGCAGCCACCTGGGCATTCGGTAGAGTTCACTATGGGGCATCGATCCTCGTGAGGGGTGCCGATGCGGGTGCGGCGCCGCCTTGCGCACGCAGCCATTGGGGCTTTCGGTTGAGCTCCCCATGGGGCCACGATCCTTGTGGGTGCGTCGGCGTGGGCGCGGTGCCGCCATGCGAACGCAGCTACTGGGCGTTTGGCGGAACTCCTTATGAGGCACGATCCTCGCGAGGGGCGTGCCGAATGGGTGCGGTGCCGCCATGCGAACGCGGCCACTTTGGCCTCCGGTGGAGCTCCCCGTGGGGCCGCGAAGCGCGCGCGGGGTGCGCCGAAATCGGCATGGCGCCGCCGTGCGAACCGAGCCACTGAGGCTTGGGTGGAGCTCCCTCTGGGGCAACTAAACGTGTGAGAGATGTGCCCCAACAGAGATATGTGGAGGGCAGAGGCCGGGATGGGAGAACTTCGTCTGGCGCAGAACACCCGAGTTGGCCAAGCTCGAAGCGCTCGGCCCACCTCCGAAGAGGGTGTCCAGAGTGCCCACGAGAATTCGAAAGCAATCGGCCCATCCAGCCTCAGGCCAGAGGCCAAATATAAGTGGTAGCTCACGTAGCCTGGAACCGCCACACCCACATGCCCGCCGGCCCAGCGAAGAGATGGATTATCTACAGCAGCGCCGGGACTTTAACTCCCCCTCACCTCCAGGCGTTAAAAGCTCCCGTAAGGTAACTCCGCGTAAAAGGACCATGCCAGGGTGGATCTGGGGGCCAGATCCTACGGCTGGCGAGGCCAACCGGCAAGAGTCTCAGCCCAAGCTGTGTCCAACAAGGGTGGCGATCGGGTTGCTACCCGCCCGTTTTCCAGAGACGGCCAAAGTCCTCTGCGGCACAGGTGCCGCAGGGATGGGAGGAGGAAGGGGAGGAGGAAGGAGGAAGGAGAAGGAAAGACGCAAGGCAATGTCTCCTCAAAACGAAGACCCAACAAAACAGGATGACCGGGAAAACAACATAATATAGCAAATGGAGGGAGGACAAAGATGTTGCAAAAAGAAACGCCAATCGGGTGTCCACGAACATACACAAAGAAATCTACTAACATCACATGTCAAAGAACACCTGCGAAACACCTGCGAAAATGGAGCACCCCTCACGCACATCGTGCCCCATGGGCCCCCTGGACGCCCATAATTAGCCTCTCAAGGCGGCTCAGTGGGGGCTGATTGCAGCACACCCCTTGCGCACTTTGTGGCCAATGGAACCCTGGAGGTCCAATTGATCCGTATTTCGGCACACGGCTCACGCACGTCTCCCAGGAGGCCTCAGCAAGCCCCCAACCAACATATAATGGAGTTTCATAATGACACACATCCTTAGCGCACCTCGTGACCCATCGATTCCCAAGAGGCTTTCAGCTGGGCATCTGCGTGTATCCTCATTTCGCCACAGCACTCGCTCACTTAGAGCCTCATGGACTGCAGCACATGGCATTAACCACTTCAGAATATCAGCGAAACAGAACAAACGAAAATCGAGAGTCGACAAGAAAGCTGTAACAAACATATAAGATACCACATGGGCGGCCGACGCAGATCGAGTACGAATCCGCCGGCCCCCTTGTGGGGCCACCAGGCTGCGAGGCAAGGGTTCGCAGTTTCCAGTACCAGTTGTAGCCTGTAATTTCCAGTGTTACAGTTCTGCTTCTTGCTGGTTACTGTAACTAGTTGATTGACCGCGCGAGGGGGGGGGAGGCCCAAACAAGACTTTCCAGCGTCCCCTGGGCGCGTTGTCTGAATTACTGGGGGGGCTCGAAATCGACACCCCTCACGCAGATCCGCGGGGTCAGGGTCCAAAAACACAGGGGATTTGCCACATTTCTGAAATTCGGTGCCACCCCTCACGCAGATCCGCGGGGTCAGGGTCCAAAAACACAGGGGATTTGCCACATTTCTGAAATTCGGTGCCACCCCTCACGCAGATCCGCGGGGTCAGGGTCCAAAAACACAAGGGATTTGCCACATTTCTGAAATTCGGTGCCACCCCTCACGCAGATCCGCGGGGTCAGGGTCCAAAAACACATGGGATTTGCCACATTTCTGAAATTCGGTGCCACCCCTCACGCAGATCCGCGGGGTCAGGGTCCAAAAACACAAGGGATTTGCCACATTTCTGAAATTCGGTGCCACCCCTCACGCAGATCCGCGGGGTCAGGGTCCAAAAACACAGGGATTTGCCACATTTCTGAAATTCGGTGCCACCCCTCACGCAGATCCGCGGGGTCAGGGTCCAAAAACACAACACAGGGGATTTGCCACATTTCTGAAATTCGGTGCCACCCCTCACGCACATCCATCGCAAGGCGTGGTAACCCAAGTACTCCCTCGGCCCTTTAATCCCAAGGTGTGGTAACCAAGCTCGTAAACCATACACGTCTTACCAATCGCCCTGTGTGGTAACCCCTCTTGTGATCAGTTGGTTTTGCCGATTGCGAATCGGCCTCGCATGAAGTTCCGATACTGCTGCACGACAGCGCCAAAGCCTCATGACTTAGCTCTTCCATGGCCCATTCTCCGAGAGAGGGGGCCGGCGGCAGGGGGCGAAGCCCTTACGGAATAAGCAGAAATTCAATGCCCACGAGAGTGCACCAACCATCGACGAACATCAGATGTCAACGAACACCTGCGAAACACATGATGCAAACATCGAGCACATCTCACGCAGAGTATGCCCCTTGGAGCCCCTGACAGCAAGGGGGTCCCGTCTGGGTGCGCGCGGCCCCCGACTCCGCTGGACCTGCCATGAGGCAACGAAAAGGGCGACGATTGCGCAGGTCGCAGCCACGCAGGAAGCAGTGAGGCCCCGTCTGAGTGCGTGTGCCCCCCCCGACTCCGCTGGACCTCGCTGGACCTCCGAGGAGACCACGGAAATGGCGACAGTCGCGCAGTTCGCGGCCACCCAGGGAGCAGCGCAGGAAAAGGCAGGAGGAGGGGGGAGGAGGAGAGAAGGAGTGAAGATCACGGCAAAGGATAGAAGGAGGAGAGAAGGAGGAGGAGGAGGAGAGAAGGAGGAGGAGGAGAGGAGAAGGAGGAGGAGGAGAGGAGGAGGAGGAGGAGAGCAGGAGGAGGAGAGGAGGAGGGAGAAAGAGAGTGAGGAGGGGAAGGACGGGGGAGGAGAGGGAGGAGAGAGGGGGGGGGGGAGGAGGGAGAAGAGAGGGGGGGGAGAGAGGAGGAGGAGGAGAGAAGGAGGAGGGAGAGGAGTGGGGAGGAGGAGAGAAGGAAGGTAATCCATACGGGAGGGCTGCGGCGGAACAAAAAGCCTCGAGGGGGGGGGGGAGGGAGAAAGCAAAGAGGAAGCACACACGAGCTCCCTCGAGGCCCCCCCCCCCCCCCCCCCCCCCCGAGGGGGAAGAAAAACAAAAAGCATCGAGGGGAACAAGGCAGCGCAGGGCCTCCCCTTCGCCTCCCCCCCCCCCCCCCCCCTTGAGAAGGGGGGGGCGAGGCAGCCGGGGGCCCGCGCCTCGTGCCCGAGACCAGCTCTTCAAAGGAGGGCTGGGCTGGCCTCGAGGCAGAGGCCGCTCGAGCTGCGTGGCGCTGGCCGTGAACCGCACGGTATACCACGCCCGCTTCCCGAGGTGCCTTACGAAAAGCGGCTTCCAGAGGTGGAGGTGGGCAGTTTCCCCGCCCCCAGGGGAAGGAACAGCTACCCACCTCCACCCCCGAGGGCCCATCGTAGAATCGAGGGTCCAGAGCTGGGTGTGGTCAGAAATCGGTATTCCATGGTACAGTCGGACTTGATTGGAGAGGACACGCGAGAGGACACGAGACCCTTCCGAGGGCCACGTTGCCACAGAAATGCAGGAGGCACGGGTCGCAAGACACAGGGCACGAGGGTACACCTGATCTGGCAGGGTCGGCCTACTCATCCGGGCCGCCTGTAGATGGATCGCCGCCCCGCCCTGTCGTTGTGGCTCCTCCCGGCAACACACTTGCCTGGCACCCCATCAGATTGGATGTGTGGGCTGCGAGCGCCGAGTAGGTAGGCACCTTCAACCCTAGCGGCTCAAATCTCCCGGCGCCAGTGCAGCCGACATCGTGGGGGTTATGCTTCTAGAAGGTCACCCTCCTCCTCCTCCTCCTCCTCCTGACCCTGCCGATGTGTCCTTCCTCCATCTCGTCCTCCCGTTCCCCCTGCCTACTTCCCCCTCCTTTCCTTTCATCCTGCTTCTCATGTTCCTTGCCCAGCATTTCTTCTGAGCCCCAACGGCCTGCGCACTCGATTTCTCCGCGGCTGAGCTTCTCGACCGCCTTGTTCACGGAGCTCACCTCCTTCCTTAAGGGGCCACAGGGCTGTCACACGCCAGAGAAGGGAAGCTGAATGAGGCGGAGCAGAACATCCGGGATTCGACAAGAACAGAAATGTCGGAGCAGTAGACGCTTCAGGTCGGCGTTGAACATGTTGCAGGTTAGACTGATTTGGAAACCTTCTCTGCATATCAGGCCTTCACGGCATCTAGACACACTCGCTTGCCCTCCTGCAGGGGAGTGACTTCGAACTCCAGGCTCCTACTCAGAGCCACTGCCCAGTCCAGCCCTTCAGCGCCATGCAGGCCCAGCGCCACTGCCTGCGGTTGGGAACAGGACACGGCACCGATCCTCCATTTGTCGGGCGTTGGCGGAACTGGGCTTAGTGGGACCTAGTTTAGTGACGTGTACTTGGGGACGCCCCTCCCGCCCTGTTCCACCAACTGGAACTGCCCTCACCCGCAGAAACACCAGCTACGGCAGACTTCGTTCAGTGATTCTGGCAAAGTGTTTCGGCTTCGGGGCCCAATCACCCACCAACTCCCATTACCTGGGGTAATTCGGACCCAACCGCTCTCCACAAGAAACCCATTGCGCGTTCAATAAGAAAGCCCAGCCAACCCGCGCAGGCCAACACTCACCCTCTTTTCCACGTCGCTCGAAAGAAGTGGGTAGAAACTTGAAAGAAGGCGGTTGGAAGTAGTTTGGACTTCCGCCCGCCTCCTGAAGTGGAGAGAGGTAAAAACGCTCGACCCTTGAAGTAGGATGGCGCCTAAAATAGATTGGGTCCTGGGCATCCAAGAATACCTACTTTCAACGACCGCTGTGTACGTGTGTCACTGGTGGGTCCTTCCAGGTCCCTCAGCCCAGCGGTCTGACCCTAACCAGGCTGCGACGACGAAGAGGCTCTTGACTCTCAGAGAAGATGGCCATGCAGCCGTGGGCCCACTGCCATGACGTTAACAAGTCAGGGCCCTAGTGGGGACAGGAAGGCATTCGGCCGTGAGCCGTTGGTCCACTGGGTCATATGGTCATTACGGGCCCGCTGTCATAGAGGCATTTGGACGCTGTTGTGGTCGTTGTCGACGCACGGGGCAACTGGACAACCGAGCAACACTGGTAACCGCCGCCAGCCTAGATCCCATGGGGTCAGGAAAATCAAAAAGGCACCGAGCATCCGAAGAACCGACGGCAGACAGGATTGTCCTCTGGATTACAAATTAATCCTAAACAAAATTCCTCAGGTAAGCCTGGGTTAGGAAGCGATGCAAGCACAAAGGCGGCGACAAGAGGCCTCTCTGGCGCAGCTTCCACGCGCCGCTGGCTGGTGCCAGTCCATGCAACCGACACACCCGCTCTATTCACTCGAAGAGAACTGCAGCTGAAGGGCCCGGGGGGGGGGGGCCCTCGCGCGGAGGCTGCTGGGCGGCTGTCTCGGAGCTCCACCCAGGCCCAGGCATCCAGCTTCCAAGAGGCGCCACCACCACCCAGGCAAGCCGGGGTCGCCATAAAAGCCACCAGAGCAGCAGGCACTCTGAACCTGGGACGGGTGCGAAGGGATGCGAGGTACCATAGCACCAGGCAAGGAACGGAACTCCTGGCCCCGGAAACGCCTGGGTGCACCAGGAGCGCTCGAGGAACAACCACGGAGGGACCTGAGGACCAGCGAGCCCCTTCTGAACCCGAACTGTTCTTGATGTTCGCGTCTTGACTGTAAGGAAGAGAGGAGGGAAGAAAACGGAGGAGAAGAGAGGATAGGAGTGGGCCCTTTCTTTCTGTGCGGGTGACCCCCTCCGTGAGGGAGTCCTCTGTATCATCCTCCTGGTCGTTCACGCAACGCTGTCGCCCCCTCCCCCGCATCGTCGCTGTTTCGGCCTGGTCGCCACGGCCGTCCTCCTGGGACGGGTAGGGAGCCTGCCTCGCTGGCCGAGCGGTGGTTACAAGGCCCCGAAAGAAAATATGCGCACCGACTCGAAGCCCCCATGGGCCCCCTGTGGTTCCGACGACCTCCCAGGCATGATGCGATTACCAGGAAGTTGGGGATACACATCGCTGGACTCACGTGCGAAACATCTAGAGGCTACGCGCTGGACGAACAAGAGGAGGGCCGGCCCACCTGGCCGCATGAGCACCGAACGCTGGAAAGACGCGCGGCCGCACGCGTCGACAAGCGTCCCCAAGGCCAGACGCGCCAGGAGTGCCCAACTTAGTTGACTTCCTTGTTCAAAACCTCTCCACCTGGCCCGTGGAAGTACGCATTCTACTTGGCGGGCACGAAGGGGTGGGGGGGTGGGGCGAGGAGGCGACCTTCTAAGAATAAGAAAGCGCGCGGAGGGTTTCTCACAAAGCAAGGGCTTCCATAGAAGCCCTGAGTCCCAATGAAGCCTTCTCAGAAACCACCGGGTGTTCTTGAGAAGGACATACACTCGCTCCAAAATCCCGTGCGCGCAGCCAATCTACACCACACTCTTGCACTGCGAGGCGAGGCCACGGCTGCCCCATGTCGAGAAGCGGCTGGTGCACATTTTAAGTCGGCGGCGCAAAGGGGCCTCAGGCGCGGTCGGCAAGTGGGGGTGGCAATCGCGAACGAACTTAGTCGAACGCGCCATGCTGAAATATTCCAGCCACGGCCATGCAGACGGGTGGTGGAAATGCGAGGCGAAGCAAAACCAAAATGCAACGGTCAACGAGCCCACGGAGCGAAAGCTCAAAGCAAAAAATTGAAGCTGGTGCACACACACAGACCCTCCAGGGCAGGATGATGGGCAAATTTCATCCACCTGTACTTTTTCCTCGAAGGCCCACGAGGCAGAACGAAAAAAGCAGTCCCGCCCTCAGGCGGGATATGTAGGACGGGGGAGAAGGGAGGATGAGGACCTCCTCCTCCTCCTCCACCACCTCGTCCTCCTCCTCCACCTTTTCCTCCTCCTCCTCCTCCTCCTCCTCCTCCTCCTCCTCCTCCTCCTCCTCCCCCTCCTCCTCCTCACCCCTCTCCTACCTATGGTAATGGTGGTGGAACATGGGCCCATCACGGGAGCGGGCCATCCGCCTGAGGGCCCGCCCACTCCCCAGGGCCTGCTCCACGGCCCAGGGCGCGCCGCCGCCCGCAGGCTCCGCCGCAGCGCCGGCGCCTGCGCCACTGCTGGGCGCTAGGCGGCACCGCGGTCGCAGCTGTCGCCGCTGTCGCCGCCGCCGCCACAGTCGCCGCCGCAGTCGCCGCTGCCACCTCCTCTACCTCCTCCACCTCCTCCTCCTCCTCCTCCTCCTCCTCCTCCTCCTCCTCCTCCTGCTCCTCCTCCTGCTCCTTCCCCTGCTCCTCCTCCTGCTCCTCCTCCTCCTCCTCCTCCTCCGCCTCGTCTTCCTCCTCCTCCGCGTGAAACTTCCACACACAGGATTTTGGACGCCCGAAATGTTCACGGAAAAAATGGGTACAGTGCCCAACAACAAACGTTGACCCAAACCAACAGCGGCTGCTGTTGGGCAGGCGGGCTTCTGTCTAAAATGGACACAGCCCGCGGCGGCGCAGACAGCGAGTCCTGCTCAAAATGAAGAAGGACTGCTGTTGGGAATTGTACCAAGTCTTTCCGTACTCATGTCGTTCGTGCCGAATGATCATCTCGAAGCTTGGTCCCAATGGTTCCGCGGATAAGGGTGGGTCGTTTTCAGAGTGGGGCTCTCGCATTGGCGTCACGCACGTTCGCCTTGAAATCTTGCAACCATTGCACGGATGGAAGGCGGACAGTTTTCAAGACGGGGCTCTCGCGTGAGAACCGCGCACATTCTTCATTAAAGCATGCAGCAATTACAAGGATAGAGGGCGGTTCGGTTTCTAATGTTGTCCCCCGATTGGAACTTCACTCTCTTTCTTAAAAACGGGTATCGTTTGAGACGTCATAGAATGTGCTACCAATCCCATTCAAAGTGTACAACGCTTACAAGAACAGAGCGTACAACCTTTTCAAAACGGAGCTATCGCTGGACCCTGCCTTGAACCTTATGACGATATGCGCATTTCGTATAGCTGGATGTGGGTAATTTACAGCACAAGGTCTCGCCTCAATGGTGGGCCCACAGGGCTTTTGCCTGTCAAGGGAGGGAGGGGGGGACACTTCCCGCAGTAGAAGAGAATCCACTGGCCCCCTTGCGTGGCCATCAGGCCGCGAGGCTTGGGCTCGCCGCTCCCTGCTCCAGTCGCAGGTTCCAGTTTCCATTGTGATAGTTTCGCTTTCTGCTTCCTACTGTAAATTGTTACTGTCCGCGCGAAGGGGGGGAACCCCAAAGGACACGGTTACCCACGCCCGGATCGCGCTCTCTGAATTCATGGGGGGGCTTGGGACACGTAAGAACACGTGAGAGTCGCGTCCCCGAGGCCATAATCCCTCGCAGATTGGCAAGTGCTCGCGAACCCAAAAGCTACAAACCTTCGTACATTGAACCGTTGCCTTGCGTCCCCGAGGCAACAAACCAAGGGAAAGTACGCAATCTTCGCGTCCCCGAGACAACAGACCTCTTGTAAGTCGCGTCCCCGAAACCAGAAGCCTTCGCAATGTACGCCGTACTCGCAGTGTCGAGGCCAGGGGTGCTCCAGGGCACCCGGAGATTGCTCTCAGACGGCCGGAGAGGGCCCAAAGAGGCCCCAACAGCGCTCCCAGAGTGAAGGGGCCCTGGGACACGCAAATAAATACACACAAATAAAAATATTCCCCATATTTTCCTACATTTTCTGGGTTTTTGTCTTCCCCCCCACTTCCCATATTTTCCAACATTTTCCTGGGAATCGACGATGAACTGTGTCTGTGTGATTTTTCCCCTCCTGACAGGGGCCTCCCGAGTGAGCCAACATCGTAGATGTTACTAAGGTGTTCGAAGGATGTTGACCTCCTCGCGTGTTCGGCCTTCTGACGCTCCACGACGGCTCAAGAAGCTCCCAAAACCACCCAGAACGCCTCCAAGAGGGCCCAATGACGGCCCAAGAGGGCTCCAAGGTGGCCCAAGAAGCGGTCAAGACGGCCCAAGAGGGCCGCAAGACGGCCCAGAGAGGGGCCCAAGCACGGGACCACGAACCGAACATTCGATCTGTGTGCCCCGAGAAGCCCCCAGGAGGCCCCAACAGGCAGCAAAGAGGCCCCAGGAGGCCCCAAGAGGCGCCCAAGACGCGCCAAAGAGGCCTTCAAGAGGCCAAAACGATACTCTCGAGGCCCCCAGAGGCCCCCAAGAGGTGCCCAACCCGCCTCCAAGAGGCCCCCGAGAGGCTCCCCACGACACCCCAATGCATACACAAGAGGCCTCAGACCCACAACCTAGACACGGTGGCGGGATGGGCCGAAGGCCACTAGCATCCGCCGCCCCCTTTTGCTTCAGCAAAGGGGTGCCCGGCGTGGCAGACCCTATCGGTTTTGGTTTTGGTTCTTTTTCCAAAAGAACTCTCCCAGTGGGTTTCGGCCCGTCCCGCCGGGGTCCCGGGATTTTTTCCACGGACCTCACTTCCCCAATTTTCTGCCCAAGACGGCTCAAAGATGGCCTCCAAGATGGCCAAGATGGCCCAAGATGGCCTCCAAGATGGTCCAAGATGGCCTCCAAGTCCGCCCAAGATGGTCCAAGGCGGCCTCCAAGACGGCCTCAGAGAGTCCAAGAGGGCCCCAGACAGGCCAAGAGGCCCCCCAGAGGCCTCCCAGACGGCCCAAGAGGCCTCCAAGAGGTCCTCCAGGAGAGCCCGAAGAGGCCAAAATCATGAATTGTCCTTCGGTTTGTGAAGGATTTGGGAATTTGCTTCTTCTCGGCATTCCGACGGCTCCAGACGGCCGAAGAGGCCCCCAAGATCGCCCAAGAGGCCCCCAAGAGAGCCCCATGACAGCCCAAGTGGCCTCCGAGATGGCCCCAAGAGGGCCCCAAGACGGCCCAAGAGGTCTCCATTACGCCCAAGATGGCCTCCAAGACGCCCAAGATGGCCTCCAAGACGGCCCTGGAGCATTCCAAGAGGGCCCCAAGTCGGCCCATAGAGGCCCCCTAAGACGGCTCCCGACGGCGTCAGACGTGCCAGGAACCCACCAAGATGGCCGAAGTTGGCTCGAAGCTGGCCCAAGACGGCCCAAGAGGCCCTCAAGAGGGCCTCCAGGAAGGCCAGAAGAGGTCAAAAACGCTGATGTTCGTTGGGTTTTTGACGGATTTTGATATTTCCTTCTTTTCGGCCTTCCGACGGCCCGAGACGGCCCAAGAGCTCCCAGAGATCGCCGAAAGATCGCCCAAGGGGCCTCCAAGACGGCCAAGATGACCTTCAAGACGCCCACGTGTTCCCCGAAGGCTTTCCAAACCGATTCGGGGAACACATGGTCCGATGGCTTGGCAGGTCTGGCCTCAACGTTCGGCCACACAAGACGGCCAGGATGACCTCCAAGACGGCCCCAGATGGCCTCCAAGTCCGCCCAAGATGGTCCAAGACGGCCTCCAAGACGGCCTCAGAGAGTCCAAGATACCTCCAAGGTCGCCCAAGAAGCCTCCAAGACGGCCCAAGACGACCCAAGAGGCCTCCAAGAGGTCCTCCAGGAGGGCCCGAAGAGGCCCAAATCAATGAATTTCTGTGGGTTTTTGAAGGCTTTTGGAATTTGCTTCTTCTCGGCATTCGGACGGCTCAAGACGGCCCAAGAGGCCCCCAAGATCGCCCAAGAGGCCCCCAAGAGGGCCCCATGACGGCCCAAGTGGCCTCCGAGACGGCCCCAAGACGGCCCCAGACGGCCCAAGAGGCCTCCAGCACGCCCAAGATGGCCTCCAAGACGCCCAAGATGGCCTCCAAGACGGCCCTGGAGCATTCCAAGAGGGCCCCAAGTCGGCCCATAGAGGCCCCCTAAGACGGCTCCCGACGGCGTCAGACGTGCCAGGAACCCACCAAGATGGCCGAAGTTGGCTCGAAGCTGGCCCAAGACGGCCCAAGAGGCCCCCAAGAGGGCCTCCAGGAAGGCCAGAAGAGGCCAAGACGGCCCAAGAGGCCTGCAAAGGGGCCTCCAAGAAGGCCCGAAAAGGCCAACATCCTTGATTTCCCTTGGGTTTTTGAAGGATTGTGGCAAGGACTTTTTCTCTGCCTTCCGACGGCCCGAGACGGCCCAAGTGCCCCCAAGACACGGCCTCGATAGGCCCCCAAGACGGCCCAAGAGGTCTCCAAGACGCTCAAGATGGCCTCCAAGACGGTCCAAGAGCCCTCCAGGACGTCCTCCAAGAAGGCCCGAAAGGGTCAAAATGGCCTCCAGACGGCCAAGATGACCTTCAAGATGCCCACGTGCTCCCCGAAGGCTTTCCAAACCGATTCGGGGAACACATGGCCGATGGCTTGGCAGGTCTGGCCTCAACGTTCGGCCACATAGGCGCTTCCACAAAGGCAGGGGGCGGCGGTCATTCGCCGTAGGCGTCTTCGATCCGCCGCCCCCTGTTGATTCATCACAGGGGTGCCTGGCGTGTTGACCTTCTTACGGTTTTGGTTTTGGATCTCTTTCCAAAAGAACTCCCCCTGGGGCTCCGGCGCGTCCCGCCGGGGTCCCGGGATGATTGCCAAGGACCTCAATTCCCCAATTTCCTGCCCAAGACGGCTCCAAGATGGCCTCCAAGATGCCTCCAAGACGGCCAGGATGGCCTCCAAGACAGCTAAGATGGCTTTAAGATGCCTCCAAGACGGCCCAAGATGCACCCAAGACGGCCTAAGATAGCATCCAGATGGCCCAAGGCGGCCCAAGAGGCCCCTAAGAGGCCTCAAGGACAGCCCAAGAGCCCGTCGAGAGGTCCTCCAGGAGGGCCCGAAGAGGCCCAAATCATTGAATTTCTGCAGGTTTTTGAAGGATTTGGGAATATGCTTCTTCTTGGCATTCCGACGGCTCAAGACGGCCCAAGAGGCCCCCAAGATCGCCCAAGAGGCCCCCAAGAGGGCCCCATGACGGCCCAAGTGGCCTCCGAGACGGCCCCAAGAGGGCCCCCAGACGGCCCAAGAGGCCTCCAACACGCCCAAGATGGCCTCCAAGACGCCCAAGATGGCCTCCAAGACGGCCCCGAAGCGCCCCACGAGGATCCCCCGTTGGGCCAGAAAGGCCCCCTAAGACGGCACCCGACGGCGTCAGACATGCCAGGAACCCACCAAGATGGCCGAAGTTGGCTCGAAGCTGGCCCAAGACGGCCCAAGAGGCCCCCAAGAGGGCCTCCAGGAAGGCCAGAAAAGGCCAAAAACCTTGATTTTCCTAAGGTTTTCGACGGATGTTGACATTTCCTTCTTTTCGGCCTTCCGACGACCCGAGACGGCCCAAGAGGCCTCCAAGAAGGCCAAGATGACCTTCAAGATGCCCACGTGTTCCCCGAAGGCTTTCCAAACCGATTCGGGGCACACATGGCCGATGGTTTGGCAGGTCTGGCCTCAGCGTTCGGCCACATCGGCGCTTCCAAAAAAGGCAGGGGGCGGCGGTCATTCGCCGTAGGCGTCTTCGATCCGCCGCCCCCTGTCGATTCATCACAGGGGTGCCTGGCGTGCTAGACCTTCCGGTTTTGGTTTTGTTTTTTTCCAAAAGAACTCCCCCTGGGGCTCCGGCGCGTCCCGCGTCATCTGGAAAGGATCTCAAAGAGCTCAATCCAGAAAAAAATCCTCGAAGATGGTTCAAGATGGCCTCTAAGATGGCCACGTTGGCCCAAGATGGCCTCCAAGATGGTCCAAGATGGCCTCCAAGTCCGCCCAAGATGGTCCAAGACGGCCTCCAAGACGGCCCAAGAGAGTCCAAGATACCTCCAAGGTCGCCAAAGAAGCCTCCAAGACGGCCCAAGACGACCCAAGAGGCCTCCAAGAGGTCCTCCAGGAGGGCCCGAAGAGGCCAAAAGGATTCTGGCATTTGCTTCTTCTCGACATTCCGACGGCTCAAGACGGCCCAAGAGGCCCCCAAGATATCCCAAGAGGCCCCCAAGAGAGCCCCATGACGGCCCAAGTGGCCTCCAAGACGGCCACAAGACGGCCCAAGAGGCCTCCAACACACCCAAGATGGCCTCCAAGACGCCCAAGATGGCCTCCAAGACGGCCCTGGAGCATTCCAAGAGGGCCCCAAGTCGGCCCATAGAGGCCCCCTAAGACGGCTCCCGACGGCGTCAGACGTGCCAGCAACCCACCAAGATGGCCGAAGTTGGCTCGAAGCTGGCCCAGGACGGCCCAAGAGGCCCCCAAGAGGGCCTCCAGGAAGGCCAGAAGAGGCCAAAAACATGAATTATCCTAAGGTTTTTGACGGATTTTGACATTTCCTTATTTTCGGCCTTCCGCAGCCCGAGACGGCCCAAGAGTCCCCAAAGATCGCCGAAAGATCGCCCAAGAGGCCTCCAAGATGGCCCCAGAACGGCCCAAGAGGGCCCCAAGACGGCCCCAAGAGGCCCCGAAGACGGCACAGGAGGCCTTTAAGACGCCCAAGATGGCCTCCAAGACGGCCCTGGAGCATTCCAAGAGGGCCCCAAATCGGCACATAGAGGCCCCCCAAACGGCTCCCGACGGCGTCAGACAGGCCAAGAGACCACCAAGACGGCCGAAGGTGGCTCGAAGCTGGCCCAAGACGACCCAAGAGGCCTCCAAGAGGGCCTCCAGGAGGGCCCGAAAAGGCGAACATCCTTGATGTCCCTTGGGTTTTTGAAGGATTGTGGCAATTGCTTTTTTCCTGCCTTCCGACGGCCCGAGACGGCCCAAGTGCCCGCAAAGATCGCCCAAGAGGCCCAAGACACGGCCCCAAGAGGCCCCCAAGACGGGCCAAGAGGCCTCGAAGACGCTCAAGATGGCCTCCAAGACGGCCCAAGAGCCCTCCAAGACGTCCTTCAAGAAGGCCCGAAAAGGTCAAAATGGCCTCCAGACGGCCAAGATGACCTTCAAGATGCCCACGTGTTCCCCGAAGGCTTTCCAAACCGATTCGGGGAACACATGGTCCGATAGCTTGGTAGGTCTGGCCTCAACGTTCGGCCACATAGGCGCTTCCAAAAAGGCAGGGGGCGGCGGTGATTCGCCGCAGGCGTCTTCGATCCGCCGCCCCCTGTCGATTCATCGCAGGGGTGCCTGGCGTGCCGAATCCTATCGGTTTTTGTTTTGGCTCTTTTTCCAAAAGACCTCCCCCTGGGGCTCCGGCGCGTCCCGCCGGGGTCCTGGGAGATTGCCGAAAATTGCTCCGTCGTCGCCTTTGCTGCCCCAAGAGAAGGCCCGACGAGGCCAAAATCCTTGATTTTCCTACGGTTGTTGAAGGATTCTGGCATTTGCGCCTTCTCGGCTTTCCGACGGCCCAAGACGGCCCCAGAGGCCCCCAAGGTCGCCCCAAGATCGCCCAAGAGGCCTCCAACATGGCCCCTATGGCGACCCAAGAGGCCCCCAAGACGGCCCCAAGAGGGCGCCAAGACGGCCCAAGAGGCCTCGAAGACGCCCAAGATGGCCTCTAAGACGGCCCTGGAGCACCCCGAGAGGGCCCCAAGTCGGCCCAAAAAGGCCCCCAAGACGGCTCCCGACGGCGTCAGACAGGCCAGGAGACCACCAAGATGGCCGAAGGTGGCTCGAAGCTGGCCCAAGACGACCCAAGAGGCCTCCAAGAGGGCCTCCAGGAAGGCCAGAAAAAGCCAAAAAGAGTTATTATCCGTAGGTTTTGACGGATTTTGACATTTGCTTCGTTTCGGCCTTCCGACAACCCGATACGGCCCAAGAGCTCCCTAAGATCGCCCAAGGATCGCCCAAGAGGCCTCCAAGATGGCCCCAGAACGGTCCAAGAGGCGCTCAAGACGGTCCCAAGAGGCCCCCAAGACGGGCCAAGAGGCCTCGAAGACGCTCAAGGCCTCCAAGACGGACCACGAGCCCTCCAAGACGTCCTCCAAGAAGGCCCGAAAGGGTCAAAATGGCCTCCAGGCGGCCAAGACGACCTTCAAGATGCCCACGTGTTCCCCGAAGGCTTTCCAAACCGATTCGGGGAACCCATGGTCCGATAGCTTGGCAGGTCTGGCCTCAACGTTCGGCCACATAGGCGCTTCCACAAAAGGCAGCGTCTTCGACAACGCCAGCGTCTCAATATGCGCTGATGATTCATATCCGCCCCCGAATGGTGTTCCCAGATGCGCCAAGGAAGCGGCGAGACGCACCGACGCGATTCTGATAGATTCCATTATGATAGAGAAGGGGGGCTGGCGGCAGGGGGCGAAGCCCTTACGGAGAAGTGGATGGCCCTATGGAGAAGAGAACTGGGGCGGGAGGATGTATTGCAGAATAGTTGATGCATTTTGGGCTTGATTTGGTCCTGCTTCCTCCCCCTTCTCCTACTCCTCCTCCCTCGTCCCCCTGCTCCAGCCTCCTCCTCGTCCTCACCCTCTTTCCCTCCTTCTTCCTCCTCCCCATATCCCGTATACCTCCTCGCTCCTCCTTCTCTTCACCACAGCTCACAGCTTGGTCCAACACGCTGCCTGGCGTCCTGCTACGATGGCCACTGTTTGTGGCAACGCTACGTCGGAGCCATGGAGGCTCTGTCACCGTCGGCCCACTGTCTCCAGAAGAGCCCAAAATCGAATCGATGAGTCGGATCGGCGAGATGAATCGGATCGGCGGAAATCGGCAGCCGAGTCGGGAAAAGTCGAATCGGCGGAGATCGGCTAATATGCCTCCAATGCGAAATCGGATCCCGAATCGGAATCCAAACCCGAATCGAATCGGAATCAGAGGCAATCGAAATCGAATCGAATCGAATCGGAGGAGTCGACACGAGCCCACTGTCTCCTCTCTGCTCCGGCCGCAAGCCTTCCAGCGCAACCCCAGCCTCGCCCGGGGGCAGGCGGAGGCGCTGCGACTGCTCCGCGGGCGACATCCAGTAACCCTTCTTCACGGAGATCTGGACCTTCGGAGGCCTCTCCCAAGAAGGAGCGGATGGCTGCATACCCGTGCAAGCGTGTGCCATGGGATCGCTCCCCTCGGCCGTGGCAACTCCCGATCAGACTTCCCGCGGCCGCGGGGCGATTCGTGACCAGCCGCCGCAGGAGAAGGCAGAGCATGCATCGCGGCCGCTGCACCGCCCAATGCGAGTTCCGAGTCGGTGTGCGGAAAGCGGATTGCACCCACCAGTGCGTGAGGCTAGGCGCCGCCACAGCAGCAAGCAAAGACGCCAAATGCTGCAACGATACCCATCGGTCGGAAGAAGCGGGTAGACACATGACGTAGGAAGGCTCTGCATTTTTACCTAACAGCGAAGACTGATAGGTTTCTAGCGGGCTCAAAAGATAGCATCTTGACTCCCCAAGGGGGTCTGGGCGGATGCCGGGGAGAATACGGGGACTCCCCCGGACTCCCCAGGGGGGTCTGGGGGCGGGTGCCGGGGAGGATCCGGGGACCCCCCAGAACACCATTCCCAGGCCACATATTGAATGCCCGGAGCCAACTGTAGGCCACTTCGTGTTCTTCGTCTTCCCAGAAAACCATTCCCAGGCCACATATTGAATGCCCGGAGCCAAATGTAGGCCACTTCGTGTTCTTCGTCTTCCCAGAAAACCATTCCTGTACCATATTTTGATTGCCCGGAGCCAACTGTGGGCCACTTCGTGATCCTCGTGTTCCCAGAACACCAGTCCTGTGCCATATTTGTTTTGCCCGAGCTGAGGCAGGCTGAGGCCGAGGCAGGCTCAGGCCGAGGCAGGCTGAGGCCGAGGCAGGCTGAGGCTGAGGCTGAGGCACGCGGAGGCAGGCTGAGGCTGAGGCTGAGGCAGGCTGAGGCTGAGGCAGGCTGAGGCTGAGGCTGACGCAGGCTGAGGCCGAGGCAGGCTGAGGCTGAGGCTGAGGCAGGCTGAGGCTGAGGCTGAGACTGAGGCTGAGACTGAGGCTGAGACTGAGGCTGAGGCAGGCTGAGGCTGAAGCTTAGGCTGATGCAGGCTGAGGCTGAGAGGCTGAGGCTGAGGCTGAGGCAGGCTGAGGCTGAGGCTGAGGCCGAGGCAGGCTGAGGCTGAGGCTGAGGCAAGCAGAGGCAGGCTGAGGCTGAGGCTGGAACTGAGGCAGGCTGAGGCTGAGGCTGAGGCTGTGGCTGAGGCATAGGCAAGCTGCGGCTGAGGCAGGCCGAGGCTGAGGCTGATGCAGGCTGAGGCTGAGGCAGGCTGAGGCTGATGCTGAGGCAGGCTGAGGCTGAGGCCGAGGCAGGCTGAGGCTGAGGCCGAGGCAAGCCGAGGCAGGCTGAGGCTGAGGCTGAGGCTGATGCTGAGGCAGGCTGAGACTGAGACAGGCTGAGGCTGAGGCTGAGGCAGCTGAGGCTGAGGCTGAGGCAGGCTGAGGCTGAGGCCGAGGCAGGCTCAGGCCGAGACAGGCTGAGGCTGAGACTGAGGCTGAGGCTGAGGATGAGGATGAGGCCGAGGCAGGCCGAAGCTGAGACAAGGTGAGGCTGAATGGGGGGGGAAGGGGGGGAGAGGAGGGGAGGCTGAGGCAGGCTGAGGCCGAGGCAGGCTGAGGCCGAGGCAGGCTGAGGCCGAGGCAGGCTGAGGCTGAGGCTGAGGCTGAGGCAAGCTGAGGCAGGCTGAGGCTGAGGCTGAGGCTGAAGCTGAGGCAGGCTGAGTCTGAGACAGGCTGAGGCTGAGGCTGACGCAGGCTGAGGCCGAGGCAGGCTGAGGCTGAGGCTGAGGCAGGCTGAGAGTGAGGCCGAGGCAGGCTGAGGCTGAGGCTGAGGCAAGCCGAGGCAGGCTGAGGCTGAGGCTGAAACTGAGGCAGGCTGAAGCATCCATGGGAATCCATAGGAATCCTTAGGAATAGGAATCCCTAGGAATCCTTAGGAATCCGTAGGCATCCTTAGGAATCCGTAGGCATAGTTAAGCATCCTCAGGAATCCTTAGGAATCCTTAGGTACCCTAGGAATCCTCAGGAATCCCTAGGAATCCTCAGGAATCAGGATTCCTAGGGAATCCTCAGGTTTCCTAAGGATTCCTATGGACTCCTAAGGATGCCTAAGGATGCCTTAGGAATCCCTAGGAATCCTTAGGATTCCATTGGATCCTAAGGCCGTTGCCACTGCGGCTGTCATTGCGACTGCGACTGCGAGAACAGCAGCATTCTACAACTGGATTCTCACCTGAATCTTAAGGAGAATGCTTCCAGATTAGCTTATATACATCGCTGTTAGGTTGCTTTGCCGGGATAATTAAATTGGGCCTCCGCCCGACCCCTAGAGAGGAGGGGAGAGGGGAAGCCACTCGATCCTTGGAGTGGGACGGCGCTCAACGTTGAGTGGGCCCCTGGGAATCCAACACACACCCACTGTCAACGACCGAGGGGTGGGCCGGGCGTCGCCACGACAGGAGGCAGGGCCTGAGCGGCGCTGTCTTGGTTCGCTTCGCCTCCCAGGGGGGTGGTGGGGCCCATCCCGGCAGCAAAGGAGTCAGACGAAGTGTTTAGATCTATAGATTGGGTTCTCCGATTGGCCTCCCATGGCCCGTGTGCCGGTGCTCAGAATCCTGCTCTTTACCCGAGTCGGAGATGTTCCCACATACAAGCCCACAAACATACATACATACATACATACATACATACATACATACATACATACATACATACATACATACATACATACATACATGCCTACGTGCCTACATGCATACATGCATACATGCATACATGCGTACATACGTACATACGTACATACGTACATACGTACATACATACATACATACATACATACATACAAACATACATACATACATACATACATACATGCATGCATGCATGCATGCATGCATGCATACACACAGACAGACAAACCGACAGACAGATAGACAGACAGACAGACAGACAGACAAACATGCATACATACATGCATGCATGCATGCATGTATGCATGTATGTATGGCCCCACGCGTGCTTCCAGCGAGGGGACCTTTTTGCCTGACGCGAGAGCCCCAACGGATGACACCCCAACCGACCTTTAACATGATCGGCCCACGAACACCGAAAAGAAATACAAAACTGTAAAACCTGGCAACGTTTTCAACGACACCTGATTGGGTGACGGACACATGCAATGCTGAATGTATCGATCAGGATGTCCCGTGCCGAAGGCTGTGCTGTGCTGCGCCGTGCTGCATTGCGATGTGCCATGCCGCGATTGTGCTCTATAGCGTAGTGGATCGGGCCCTCCTTCGCATCCGAGTCCTGATCGAACTGATCTGGATCTTAAGCTCGAGCTGCCTGAGCACATAGTAGCTGCCCGAGAGCTAATTGACAAGGGAGCATGCCAGGAGGAGGCGCCGCGGAACGTCCCAAAGGACGCGCCAGGCGACGTGCCAGGGGACGTGCCATGGGGACGCACCGCGGGACGCGCCAAAGGGACGCGCTGCGGAACGGAACGTGCCAGTGGACGTGCCACGGGACGTGCCAGGGGACGCGCCGCGCGACGTTCCAAGGGGACTCGCCACGGGACGCGCCACGGAACGTGCAAGAGAGCATGCCAGGTTGCAATGCTGAGTGGATCGATCTTGATGTTGTTAAAAATCCGGACTAACAATCCGCAGTCAGGATTGCTGAATAGCGCCTCCATAGAGAATCCTCTGTAAGAGATTCTCGATAAGGAACAGTGAATGGGAGGTCTTCCGGAAGGAACCCCTAATAAGGAATCCGGAGCAAGGAACCATTCGGAAACCCTTAATAAGGTTTCCCAGATTAAGAACTTCTTTACTAAGGATTTCCGACTCATGATTCCTGAACCAGGAATCCTTACTGCGAATCCCTTAGAACACCTGGTAGGAATACCTTTATAGGTTTGCCTTACTAGGGAAACATTACCAAAGTATCCGGATCAAGCTGATAGGGAGATGGGTGTATGCGATGGTACACATATATATATATATATATATGTATCGACATACATATATATATATGTATATACATATACATATGCATGTAAGAAAAATCCGTCCATTCGAATCCTATGGGGGCGGGGATGGCCCAGTGCCCAATTGTATACTACATGCATACAGATATATAATTAAATTGATAATGGAACTCGGGCAGGGAAGTATGGCTCAGCGGGTGGGTTGGGGCCATGCATTCACACTGGAGCGGGCCACCATGGCATGCCAGCGTCATGAAGTCGGTCCCCCGAGGCAGGATGAAGCCCGATGGAGCCGAAGCCCGCGTGGTCCGCTCCGTCGCCCCCACCCCTCGAAATCGATCCCTGCACATCGTCTGGACCAACGTTTCGAGTTTCGCGCAGCCCAATAACCGCGAGGGCGAGAACCGCGCGCTTCGGTTCCCCGAACCTCGCCCTTGGGGTTCGTCTCGTCCACCACGCAGTCGATCCAGCCTCCGTGGGAGGTGCTGTAGTACTGCACCGGCGAGCCAGCGCTCACATCCAGGGGCTTCACCGGCATCGCTGCCCGTCGGCAGCTGGAGGCGGGCTTCGCAAGCCTGCGCAAATCGATGCCTGGGCCGACCAGCTCGAAGCCAGGACGGCTGTCACAGAAATGTCTGACCGAGTGCCTACGACTGAGACTGAGCCTGAGCCTGAGCCTGAGCCTCAACTCAAACTCGCCCCTGACCAAACCTGCGATGCAACCTGACACGATCCACACTGACCTGACCTAACACGGCGCGACGTGATCTGACGCAAATAATGGGAAGACAGCAGGAAAAGACAGAAAGAACAATCAAGATCCTGCCACGACTGCGAGGGCTTCTGCTTGCGTCACCGTGCAAAGCGATCGATCTGCAAAATCCCCGGTCAGGGGTCCTCAAATGCCGCCCGGTGACGTCCACCTCGAAGGCCCACGACGGCGCAGTCCCCGCGCGGAGACGCCACGAACTTGCCGCTGCCACGCGCGCTCTGCCCCAGACGGGCAGTGGTGCGCGCGGAGCGCGATGGGGCTGGGGTGCACGGCGCGCTGCGAGCACCAAGGGTACTCCAGATTTCGTAATAAAAGGGAGGGGGTCTGGACCCTCCAAGACAAATCATTTCAGACCTCCCCCGTGGGAGAACCCTCCAAAACATCGTGCCCAGACCCCCCAGGCCCTCCAAGATAGCCTGGAAGAGACCCCCCCCCGAAATGAGACCCCCCTCCCTTTATTACGAAATCTGGAGTACCGAACTTCGCGCTTCGCGCTGCACGAAGAGCGAGTAGCCTCGCGCTCCCGCGCCGCCCCCACGGGGGAAAAGAGGAGGACGAGGAGGAATCGGGGCCGAACCGCAGAGCGCGAATCACTTCGAGCCCTCGGGGGCGCCCTTGCGTTGGAGGCTTAGAAATGGGCACCAACACCAACGCCGAAGGTTGCCTCTACCAGGGGAGGGTGATCCTAGATTTTGGTGTTGGTGGTAATATTTCGGCCGCCTTGGAAGCCCGGATATTACCACCATCACCGAGATCGGGATCATCTTTCCTCGGTGGAGGCACATCGCCGAGATTGGTGTTGGTGTCAACCTCTGGGCCTCCGACTTGCGGTGCGCGCAGAGCGCGCGGTGAGGTGAGGCTGGGGTGCACTCGGCGGCGAGCAAGGGGGGAGGTGAGAAGGAGAAGGCCTTCTCGGAAGGTTCGGGAGTCCCCCGGCCTTCTGATAAGTTGTCTGCGCCCTCCCCGAAGACAAACAAAGGAAAACTCAGAAGACGCGAGGGTTGCTGAGAAGCCCCGCCGCCTTCTGAAAAGGCCTTTTCCTTCTCATCTCCCCCCTCGCTCGCCGCCGCCTTGCGGTGCGCGCGGAGCGCGCGATGAGGCTGGTCCGAGGCGGGAATTCATACATGACCACCGCCTGGAGGATCAGTTTTCGGGGATCTCGGCAGCGGATATGGATACAGCCGGGCCCCCAGGGGGCCCGCATATATCCACATCCACCGCCCGCTGGGCACCGGGGACGTCGGCTCCCAGGCGGTGGACAATGGACAGCTCCCCGCCTCGCAGCGGAGGTGCGCGAAACGCGCTGCGGGCGCGCGTCCGCTGGTCAGCCGCGCCTCCCCGGCAGGCCGTGGCCCCGCGCCCAAGCAGGACCTCTCCGCGCGACGGGGGGGGAGGGCAGCCGCGGGCACAGGAGCGGGAGCAGGGGCAGCCGCGGCCGCAAGGGCGGCGAGGAGCAGGAGCGGCAGCAGGAGCAGGAGCCGGAGGAGGACCGCGACTCTGACTCTGACTCCGACTGGGGGCGAGGCCCGCGCGACGGGGCCAGGTCCTCAAAGCGAGCACGACGACGACGACGACGACGACAACGACGGATAAGACGACGACGACAGCGGTGAGACAGGGGCAGCCGACATGCAGCAGAGGCTGGTGCCCGAAAACCTGGGCACGAGCCAGGACTGAGGCAACATCAGCAGCCAGCAGCCACGGCGGAGTCAGGCAGAGAACGGCGAGGGCAGAGGCCGCGGGAACGAGGGGGAGACGGAAGGCTATCAGCAGCGGGCGACGTGCGGAAGCGGGAATGGGGAGAGAAAGGATGAGGGCGACGAGGTGGACGAGGAGGATCAGGGAGAAACGGAGGAGGAAGACGAGGTTACGGGGCAAACGTAGCTGCGAAAACGGGAAAGAGGGAGGATTGACAGGAGGCAGACGACGACGAAGGGAGGATGAGAGGAGGAAGACAAAAAAGGCCGATAACAGAAGGAGCGGGACGAACATACATGGATGTCCCCAAACAGCGCTTGCACCTCGGGCATCGAATTTGCCTTTTGCAAAGAACAAAGCCTGCGCGGCGATCTGGCGGCTATGCGGCCGCCTTCGCCGCCCCGTGGCCGCCTCGTCCCCGCCCATCGTCGCCGCCGGCGCGGCGGTCACGCGGCTGTGTGGCCGCCGTCGCCGCCTGCGCGGCGGTTTGGCGGCTATGTAACCACCGCTCGTCGCACCGTCGCCGCCTCGTCGCCGCTCGTCGTCTGGGCCTGCGCCGCGGCCCCGCGGCTACATTACGCACTATATATATATAGAGAGATATATGAAATATAGCTATATATATATATATATATATATATATATATGAATGCGTGTGTACATGCACATACATGTTCCGTTCAACAACGAATAATTATATCTACCTCCGCCGTCGCCCCCGGATTGAATCCTCCTCCCACTTTCGCATTGCGTTTTACATGCGAGTGTGCCTCAACGTCCATCCGAAATACGAAGCCATACCATCCCAGCAAGGGTGGCAACGCCCCCCACCAACACCACCCCACCCCACTCACCTTCTGCGACAAATATGGGCGCGCATGCGGTCCGATCAAAAATTCATCAACGCTCAAGACTGCATTGCACATGCATGAGACGAAATGCGCACGCGCGTGTCGTCGCGCGCACGCCGCAATCCACCTCCTGAAAAGATTGCTGTCGTAGCGAATTCAAAATCGACCGCCCCGAAAACATGTAAAAAACCACGGTTGCGCAACATCCGCTAAGCAGCGCACTCGTGCCCTTCCGAACTCTTGGGGAAAAAACCAGAAGATCGGTGTCATCATGTTCATAAAATGCCACCGAACGGGCCTCTCGCGCGCGCATATCGAAATCGTGCGTGCGCCTTTCCTGCGCGCTTGCTGTCGCAAGAACAGTGCCAAGCAGAGCCCCCCCCCAAAAAAAAACGAAACGATTTCGAAATGGAAAAATGTCACAAATGCTGTTTTCCGTTAAGCCGGACCGCGGGGAAGCGCGTTCTCGAGTGGCCGCGCGCTGCCTGCCCCTGCCGCTGCATCGCGCCATGCGCGCCACGGATGCGCGACCGACGCGGCCCCCGCGCCAGGCCGTCACGTGACCGCTGCGGGATCCATCACCTCGATGATGTTTCGTTCCGCGGTCGTCGGACACAGCGTCCGCGCGAACTTCGAAGCGCGCAGCCGTCGAATAGCAGACGGAGTCGGCGCGCGCGCAGCCGTCGAAGTGCTGGGTGCTGCCCCAGCCGCGCGGCCGATAGCTTGCGAGGGAAAACGCCTCCAAAGCTGATTTATAATGGAACGCGCCAGCGTGAGACCGACGGGCCACGAGAAAAGGGCCAACTTGGAGACCCCACGCGAGGAAGAAACGCTCGAGCGCGAGCGCCGCATGAGGAATTTGCGGGATCCCGGAGGCCGTTGGATGTCATGCCCGCGCAAGCCGGGCAAACAGCGCCACTGGGAAGTGGCGCTCGCGGGGTCCACCGCTGGCGCGGGGGCCGCTGGCGCAGACTCTGCCGCAACTCCGGCGAGGGCCCGCTGCTCCCCCTCGGGAGCCATGGCGCGCGGCCGCGCTGGTGGCGGAGGAGAGAGACCTGGCGGCAACCGTCGGCTTCGAAGCCTCAGCGGCCGCGGGCGTGGCGGCGCAATCGCGAGCCCGCCGCGCGAGGCAGCGCAGCCCGCCGCGAGGGCATCCTCTCCAACCGGGCGGGGGTCCCCCGGGGGGCCCCCGGCCTCCTCCACGACCCCCCCGCCGCCTTTCCGCGGCGCCCTCCTCCCCCCCCCCCTTTCGCTACGATTCTGCATGCTTTTCTGGCCCCGACGTTGCCCACTTTCTCGGCCTCCCAAGCACACTTTTTGACTACAATTTTTCTCATAATTGAAAAATGAGAAAAAAATCGCGTTCAAAATCGTGGGTGGTTTCGCGGGGTCTTACAGGGGAAGACGAAATCGTGACCGGAAATCGTGGTCAAAATGGTGTCCGAAATCGTGGGGAACTCGTGTCCGAAATCGCGGCCGAAATCGCAGCCGAAATCGCACGCGAAACCGCGGGCGCAGAATCGTGGGCCTGCCCGGTGCGTCGGCATGCCAAGCACGCGTGCCCGCGCAACATCAGGGACGGTAAGGAAGAGAGAAAGAGGAGGGAACGGCAGCAACAGCAGGAGGACCAGCAGCAGCAGCGGTAAGAGGAAAACAAAAAGTATGCAGCACCAGGAAAGGAGGAGAGAAGGAATCGGCGAAATTGGTCCGCCCGCTCGTTGCGCGCCTCAAAACACAAGGGACATGCTGAAATTCGCCAGCCCAGCGGGCCAGAGGCGTGCGAAGATCTCCGGCGAGTGCCTCACAATATTTCTACTTCGCGCGCGCGGGGCGGCCCCTAGAGGCCCCCGGACGCAAAGTACCTTTTTTGCCAAGTCGGGCCAGAGATGGTTTCCTCCTGGGTGCCGCTTTCAGGCGCCCCAAGCGATCCAAGAGGGCCCCAGGAGGCGCCCAGTCCAAGAAAGCGCCGAATCGTCAAACGATCGGTCCGCGACACCCACGATGGCTTCCAGACGGCCCACGACGCGTACAAGACCCCAGAAGAGGCCACCGCGGCTCTGAACTTAAATGGAAAAGGGTGACAGAGAGACGAGGCGGAATGACGCGCGCGCAGGCCGCATGCCGAATGCCCAACACCGGATCGGGTCGGCGACACACCATTTTTTTACCAAACAGAAACCGAAAAACTTGAACATATCATACTTTCCTTAAAAAAACGGTGCACCAACCCGCTTGGGGGACGCAGCCTCATGTAGAATCCTGGGGCAATATACACACGCGCGTGCGTCGTCGCGCGCGAATCTTGGAATCCTTCCAAAACCCGAAGTGTCGCAAGGATGTTAAAATCGAGCGCCCCGAAAACATATAACAACATAGTTTTGCTACGTCAGTTTTTCTTCCAAAAACCCGAACAAGAAAAACAAGGCGCTCGCGCTCTTGCAAATTTCAACGGGTACCGTAGGATTTGACACCAATTGAATGGGAATTTGCGAAATGTGTTGTTCGCGCTTGCGCGTGAGCTGGGGGGCGCGATCCGTGTAAAATGAGAAAATTCAGGCCACTCGCGCGCGTCGGCCATGCGCGCATGTCGAACTCCTTCCAAAACCTCCATCACCGACGCGAGGGCGCCGTCATCGTCGCTGGCGTGATCAGCATCGGCACCATCACTGGCCGCGCCGTCGCCGTTGTCACCATCGTCACCAGCGTCGCTACGATCATCTGGGGAGGTCCAGTCCTTAGAATAAGTGACGCAGCGGTTTGGGGGAGTGGCGCGGCGACCCTCCTCCAAACAGGGCGGGGGTGCGAGGAGGTCCACGACGGCGACGACGACGACGACGACGACGGACGACGGACGGCGGCAACGACGACGACGACGACGACTACGACGACGACGATACGGACGGCGACGACGACGAGCACGACAACGCCGACGACGACGACGACGGCGGCGGCGGCGACGCCGCCGCCGCCGCCGTCAGTCGTCGTCGGCGTCGTCGTCAGTGCCGAAGTTGTCGCCGTCATCCGCGCCGCCGCCGACGCCGCCTGCGCCGCCGCCGCCGTCGCAGTCGTAGTCGCCGTCGCTGTCGTCGTCGACGTCGTCGTCTCGTCGTCCCCTGCCGTCGTCGTCGTCATCGTCGTCGCGTCGTCCTCGTCGTCGTCGTCGTAGAATTCGTCGTCGACGGAGCCGTCGTCGTACTCGTCGTGCTCGACGTCGAACCGTCGCCGCCGTCGTCCGCCGTCGAGTCGCGGTCGTCGTCGCCCGTCGCCGTCGTCGTCGTCGTCGTCGTAGCCGTATTCGTAGTCGTAGTCGTAGACGTCGTCGTCGTAGTCGCCGTCGTCGTCGCCGCAGTCGCCGTCGAGTCATCGTCGTCGTCGCCGTCGCCGTCGCCGCCGCCGCCGTCGCCGCCGTCGTCGTCGCCGTCGCCGCCTCCACGACGACGGCCCGCCGCCGCCGCCCCCCCCGCGGCTCGGCGGCTTTCGCCCGCACCGCGGGCGCTCGCGCCGCCCGCGCGGACGCCTCCACGCCGCCCCCGGCGGGCCGCCTGGCGGGGCGGGGGCGGAGCGGAGCGCGCAGCGGCAGGGGGAAGTCCAGGAGCCCAGGGAGGATCGAGGGGTCAGGGACGAAGGGGTGATGGGGAGGGGTCAATCGACGGGGTCAGGGACCAAGGGGTCAGGGAGAAGCCAGGGAGGGATCGAGGGGTCAGGGAGTTGCGTTGGATGGCGTGGTCGAGGGGCCAGGGAGGTGCCAGGGAGGGGAGGAGTGAGGGGTGGATGAACATGGACGGGGAGAGGGAGAATGGCAAAGGGATGGTCAGGGAGCCGAAGAGAAGAGCA